AGCGCACACGACAAACTAACGCTGTGATTGGTTGAATGCAGAGTGGTGAGTTCACAGTGCAAGAGTTGCAGTGTGACCATGCCGATGTTTCTGGACAGTTCTGCAGGTTAAGTTCCACGCAAAGACGTGTGTACCTTTTTACTTTATAGTGGTAGAAGTTTATTTTTTTCCTTTATAAACATACAAGACTTGTTTTTTTTATTTTTTATTTTTTTTATTTTATAGACGTATACGTTGTATTTATATATAAAATATTTTACAAGGTAGTAGTGTAAATTATTATACTTTCTAGTCATGAATTTTTTAAAGTTTTGTTTACGGTCACATAGCTTTTTTTTTTTTTTTTTTTTACTTTTTTTTATTGAATAGGTTTTCAATTTAATCTTCAGAATTATTTTACTTTTAGAATCATATCATAATGCGCAGACATAAAGCTTACACATGTGCAATGGTCCAATGGTTTATTAGACTACGTAGCCATGTTATTATAATTTAAAGAACACAATGTAAGTGAGCGATTTGCGCTTAAACCGCCGTGAGATGTTTTTGATAGAAATATCAGCAGTAACTAAAAAAAAAAAAACAGCAAGCTTTTAATTTGTTTAAACAATTGTTGGAGACCACAAGGTTTAAAATTTTAATAAATCAAAATAGGCAGTTTTTTTTAAAATTTACACTGTTTTATTGTTTTCTATGTTGAGAAAATTTTAATTTAATATTTTTTTTAAAAAGTTCTAAGTACCAGTGTCTCACTACTGGGAGTAGAGAAGGGGAAGCAACTGGACTAGGCGGCTAAAATTCTGACCCAAATTAATTCTGAAAGTTCGCAATATTTTTGATGATATACATTTTTTCGCATCTTCGAGAACGCATTTAATTTTTAAAACGTTATATTTCATTCCGTATATTACCTGCGACTGTAATTACTTGGAAAATTTTTTAGGAATAGCAAAAAAAAAAAGTACTGCAATAAATAGCGATATTTGTCGCTGTTACACTATGTTAATTTTCCAATATTTTTCGCTGTTTCAGTGTGCTAATTTTCCAATATTAATTTGTCGCTGCTACACTGTGTGTGTTAATTTTCCAATATTTGTTGCTGTTTCAGTATGCTAATCCTGTTTATAATTAAAAAGCAACTCAAAAAAATAAATAAAAAAATTGAGACCTCTTAAAATACCAAAACAACAAACTTATTTTTTTTTTAAATATGTTTTAGAAAACAGCGACGCTGACCATGGGTTCTGACGTGCTCAAACTTTTCCTGGCTCTAGCTCTCATGCATGTGGTTCACGGCCAAACAGACGTACACAGAGAAGCCCTTTTCAAAGACAAGCTGGGCAGCTATGTTAACCCTGCCTGGAAGCGCCCGGTTCTAAACAAATCGGATGTAACAGTCGTGACCTTTAACTTTGAGTTCGATTCCTTCTTGGATTTTTTTAAAAAGTCAAATACGTTTGTAATCCGTGCATCGATGACTTTTTCTTGGAAAGACGACGTGAGTACATCAGCAGTAGTTATGATTTTAAATCTTCTCAGGTATCATTACTTCAACTTAGGTAACATAACTTAAACACAAAGGCGTAGCGAGGAGGGGGGGGTACATATCTCCCCGGGCGCCGATCCTAGGGGACGCCAAAATGGGTTGAAAAAATAAGTTAAAATCATATTTAGCTGCAGTTTATCATTATAAATATAAAAAAATATATGGGGGGGGGGGCGCCAAATTGAAAGTTGTTTGTCCCTGGGGTGGGGGAAAGTTTGTTCCCAGGGGCGTGGGGGTGGGGGCGCCAAATTGAAAGTTGTTTGTCCCTGGGGTGGGGGAAAGTTTGTTCCCAGGGGCGTGGGGGCGCCAAATTGAAAGTTTGTCTCCGGGCACAGGCCTCTGCTTCAACAGGTAATATTACTTTAACTCTGGTAGTATTACCCAGGTGAAATTATTTCAGCTATATCATTAACTTGGATATCCTTTACAATCGTTCACAAAAACATTTTTTTTTAAAATCTGTAATATTTGCGGATGTAATGTTCACACTAGATTGTATCGATTGTTCTATACAGTGTTTCTTTCAGACCTTTTTTTTCTCCGGGTGGGGGGGGGGGGGCTCTTGAAATCTTTGGGGGGGGGGGGGCGCACAGAATTTTCCGGGGGGGGGGGGGGTACTTCGATGCTTGAGAGAAACTCTGGTTCTGTATCAAAATGGATTAAAAACAAACAAAAGCAAACGTATGTATCTTTAAAAATATTTTACCTGAACTTATGAGTTTTTAATTAATTGATTGTTTTCATCGATGCTCATTTTATTTATAAAATTGATAGTTTCTGACCTGGAACCCGGACGACTACGGGGGTCTAAAGGACATGCGCCCCGACCTCAAAAATATCTGGCTCCCTGTACTCGGTTCAGTTCGCGACCCCACGGAAGACTCATTTGATAAAGATGATGGGTAATTACATTTCTAATCAGCGTCACACTAATTGGTGATGGTCTCATTTGCAGTGTTGTTACACCGGTAGGTGTGTAGTTATATGCTTGAATGCTGGTGTACTTGCATCTATAAGTGTTGGTGCTAGACTATGTGTAGTTACACATGTTTACAGAGGCGTAGCGACCCTTCCCGGCGCCCGGGGACAAACTTTTCGATTTGCACCCCCCCCTCGAGATTTTTATTTGCACCCCCCCCCCCCGCCCCCCCCTCGCTACGCTACTGTATGTTTATGATAGATTTGCTTTGCCTCTTAATCCCATACTCCCTGGAGCTATCTATGTTGAGGCAACTTGTCTTAATAACAGACTCCCTGTAGCCACATGTCTTAATATCAGACTCCGTGTAGCCATTTGTCTTAATATCATACTCCCTGTAGCCACTTGTCTTAATATCAGACTCCCTGTAGTCACTTGTATCAGACTCCCTGTAGCCACATGTCTTAATATCAGACTCCCTGTAGCCAAATGTCTTAATATCAGACTCACTGTAGTCACTTGTATCAGACTCCCTGTAGTCACATGTCTTAATAACATACTCCCTTTAGCCACATGTCTCAATATCAGACTCCCTTTAGCCACTTTTCTTTATATCAGACTCCCTGTAGCCACTTGTCTTAATATTGAACTCGTTGTAGCCACTTGTCTTAATATCAGACTCCCTGTAGCCACTTGTCTTAATATTAAACTCTTTGTAGCCACTTGTCTTAATATCAGACTCCCTGTAGCCACTTGTCTTAATATCAGACTCCCTGTAGTTATTTGTCTTAATGTCGGACTCCCTGTAGTCACTTGTCCTAATGCCAGACGATCTGTCTCTCCACAGCTATGCGGTTGTACAACATAATGGACAAGTCTATTGGAAGCTAGAAAATGTCCAACTACATTTGCGCTGCTGCGAACATTACACAGACTACCTGGATTGCAAAGTAGAGGTGGTGGTTTTGTGATGTTTATTTTGGTAGTTATTGTGGTGGTTATTGTGGTGGTTATTGTGGTGGTTATTGTGGTGGTTATTGTGGTGGTTATTGTGGTGGTTATTGTGGTGGTTATTGTGGTGGTTATTGTGGTGGTTATTGTGGTGGTTATTGTGGTGGTTATTTTGGTGTTTATTGTCGTGGTTGTTGTCGTGGCTATTGTAGTGGTTATTATGGTGGTTTTGTGATGTTTATTATGGTGGTTTTGTGATGTTTATTTTGGTGGTTATTGTGGTGGTTTTTATGGTGGTTTTTGTGATGGTTATTGTGGTGGTTATTTAGCTGATTGTTTGCGTGTCTAATTAATGTTAGAATCCTAGCTTGAATGTGGATTGTAGTAAGTGGTTGTTTGTGGAATGAAACAAGAGTTGAATGGGTTCAGGGGATGTGTTACAGATGGGTGGATGATTGACCTGTTGTGATGACTTCTTGCAGTGTGTGCAGTGGCGTCGCTAGGTCGGATTTCATCCGGTGCGGCACCTCATGGTGTCACTCCCCCCCCCCCCCTATTTTTTTATCGTTACACCCCATCCGGGTATAATTTTGAAGTGTTCAAATTTAATACTAAAGATGTTTATCTACAGTCGTATGTTAATACAGCTTGGTGTAGCATTGTTTTCTCTATAGTTTTTATCTTTACGTCATGGTGTCACGTCCCCCCCCCCCCCACTCCCTTGTCGGGATCGTCATTATGTATTTAACATATATTTTAACTCTAATTAACAAAAAAAAAAACATATTTAATCTATATAGGCCTATCTAACAATGTTTTTTACTTGGTGTTATCCCACTAAATGGTGTTACCGCACGCCCAACCCCCCACCTCTAGACGCCTCTGGGTGTGTGTATGTATGTCCGGGCTTTGAAGGGTTAATTGTAAGTAGTTTATAGAGGGTGATAATCAGCCGTCATCGATAATAGTTCTCAGGTAATTACCTGGGCTTAGTCGTATCGGATAGTACATTTTTTACACAGTGGCGTAGCGAGGGGGGGGGGGGGGGGGTTCGGACCGCACCGGGTGACACCATTTAGGGGGGTGACACCAAGGCAAAAAAAAATAGCAAAATATATAGAGAAAATGGTAATTCCACTTAATTTAGTGATTAATTTGAGTGTTAAATAGTCTTTTAATAGGTGCGAATTTGAAAGGGGGGGGGGGGGGAGTGCAAATCGAAAGTTTGAAGGGGGTGCAAATCGTAATATGAAAGTTTGTCCCCGGGAAGGGTTGCTACGCCTCTGGGGGGGGGGGGGTGACAACATTAAGTGCCGCACCGGGTGACACCCGACCTCGCTACGCCACTGCTTTTACATCTTACTGTTACAAGTTTATAAGATTATCAATGAATTCAGTACATGCTATGAATTAGCCGGCTTATAAGATTATTTTAATTCCAGTTAGCTGCTATAATTTAACAGTTTATACGATTATCTTCATAACAGTTGGCTGATTTGAATAAGATAAGGGTTGTAAGATTGCGTTTAATTGCAGCTTGCGTCTGATAAATATCCAGCTACTAAGCTGGTGTTTGTGAAGGACATAAATCAAACGGATACCATCCGCGACACGACGGAAGTTGGATACAAGATAACGCACATCAGCATCACAACACATAATAAAACGAATGCCTACTTTTTAGATGGGGGCTACTCTACGATGCAGGTACCATCTTCTCATGGCAGATTGTTGGACTCTTTAACGTCTAACTCTATCTCTCGCTCTCTCTCTCTCTCTTTATCGTTCTCTCATTGTCGTTGTCTTTCTCGTTTGCTTTCTCTTTCTGTCTCCATATCTTGCTATCTCTTTTTTATCGTTCTTTCTCTATCGTCATATTTCTCTCTCTCTTTCTCTGTCTCTGTCTCTCTCTCGCTCTCTCTTTATCGTTCTCTCTCTATCGTCATCTTTCTCTCTCTCTTGTTCTGTTCTTATAAAATTGAACGTTTGTCTAGATGTTTATAACCAAATTTATAGCTAGATTTTTCTGATCACTAGTACAATAGATAGATTCTCTGTTCTTAAATACAATAGTTAATTCTTTGCTAGTAACATAGCTAGATCTTCCTGATCGCTTGTACTGTTTTTGTACAATAGCTAGACCTTCTTTTATATTGCTAGATTTAATGTATATAGCAAGATCAACTTCAGCTTACTAAAATCTTTGTGTCATATCTAAATATTATATATCATAACTATATATTATATATATGTATACATATATAATATAAATATCCCACCCACCACCCCTCACCGTCATAAAATTTGTCTGAAAGAAACACAGTCACCATCTAACCCTTTGTGCTTGCTGACAACTATTCCAGTTGGCCTTTAACATCAAGCGCCTGCTGTTGCCCGAAGAGCTGATGCAGGCCTTCGTGCTGGTGGGCGTCTCCTTCAACTGTATCTTCTTGTCTACCATCCCGCCTGAGGCACGAGAGAACATGAGTGAGCAAGTTCTTATATTTCTTATCTATCTTGGTTTCCTGGTCAAATGTATCACAAACATGAACATTTTACTATCACACTTATATATATATATATATATATATATATATATATATATATATATATATATATATATATATATATATAGGTATGATAGTAAACCATTCATGTTTGTGATACATTTGACCAGGATATATGTATATATATATATATATATATATATATATATATATATATATATATATATATATATATATATATATATATATATATATATATATATACATTTATAAATACATACATTTATATGTAATAAAATCAATCTTATCATGTCTTCATTCATACTTTGAGTTATATAATCCAGCTCGCACAATATACTCGATTAAATGTTCCTGACCTACCTTTTTTACACACCAGGTCTGCCATTCATGATGTTCATGTTCTTCTTTGCGTTCATGACCCTACATGCCATCCGGAGATTGGCGGTTTATACTACTCTACTCCACCTACTATCTGCATCGGCTATGGTTTTGGCTCTCTGCGTCAAGGGGTGTTATGAGACAGAACAGGTGAGCTGGGTGGACTTTATGACGTTCTATTGACAATATCCCGGGAATTGAACGAGACTTTCGAGGCGTTTGAGCTATTTATTTAACTAGCGTGCCCGTCCCACGCGTTGCAACGGTTTCAGAAGAAATCTGACATATATTCTCAAACGCGTGATTTTGTCTTCTTAATTCAAATTATTTAAGTGTAAACAATGTCTTAGCTTGGATTATATTTATCGGGGCACGAGTTTATCCATACTACCTCCCAGCACACTCCAGGCCCTGCTGTATGAAAGCCTTGAGTGTATGTTATTCACTCAAGTAATAGTGAGTTAGACACTCTTCGGTGACCGCCCATGTGTCAGTGGCGCAGGGAGCTCTGGCGAGCCACCGGTTATGTTGCCACAGGGGCGCCGCAGGGAGCTCTGGCGAGCCACCGGTTATGCTACCACAGGGGCCCTGGGTACGGCTCCTGGTTTAGCTTAATCATTCAATGTTAGGTGCCACCTTTTTTTTTATTTTTTTTATTTTTTAATTATTTTTTTTTTTAATTTTTTTTTTTTTTTTTTTTTTTAAATGTTAGGAGCCACCGTGTTCCTATCGGATTGAGCTGTTTAAAAAAATCTAGACGGCGTAGGTTCTCGCGCAGTATCCCACGGCGCTGAATTGCATTCTACAGAGGCGCCGCCCCTTCGAATTTTTTTTTCCTCACTAGGAGTATTCTTATAAAGACTGTGTAATGTATAAAAAACTAAAACACAGACAAAAGTATATACTTTCGTTTTTTTATGCGTAGATGCTTCTTCTTCTTTGTTTTATTTTTAGTGTTGGGACGGATTTCCCTCCAACACAATTGAGTATACGTGTCAAGTGTTTCAGCCTTCTTTTCTTTTTGGATTTGTTTCCATAGCTTTTCTCCATGTATCCAACCAAGAACAAGCTACAAGGAAGCAGTTGTTTGATTTTGGAGTTGTCTCTCCTACAAGAGTAGTTGTCCCCAGCTAACGAGCCTTATCTGCCCGAGGGTTCGAACTCGAGACTTTTCGGTTTAGCAACCTTGAGCTTTACCGACTTGACCACGCCGACCTAAGCATAGATTGATTAGCAATCGTTATTTTAAAAAAAAAAACTCTGCTAACGAAATACAATATTTAAACGGTAGGCCCGTAGGACAAAGGGAAACAACCAAGTCACTAATACTTTTTTTCCTCAAAATACGCTAAACATGGTTAATTCCTCTGAATATTCAAAATTCAATAATATTCTTTTTTTTATTTCTGTTGTGAGCCTTTGGGGGCCGAAATTGAATTTTTTTCACAGAAATCCTCCCTATAGTATCCAAATTAACCCCGCAAAGTTTCATGGCGATCGGATGAAAGACAAAAACACCCACAAACCCACATATTTTCATATATATATATATATATATATATATATATATATATATATATATATATATATATATATATATATGAAAGGTAAAGATAATCTTTTGAGCGTTTCGGTCACTTGTGCAGATGAAGTAGAGTATATATGTTTCTATGAGCTAGCTATTTAAAGTATATATAACCCTAGACTATTTTAATTGTCATTATCGTGTGTCATGTACCCACAATATTTGGAAGAACTCATGGACATCCTTCTGACTATAACTTGTATCCGAACTCGAGACTTTTAGGTTAGCATTCTTTCGACCATTTAGTCACACATCACCTTGTTGTTTTAGTTGTTTGATGCTGTTTTTTATTTCAGAAAGAAGTGTATAGTCTGAAGACAAAGTCACGTTACAAAATCGAACGTAAAACAAGAAGAAGTGAGATGTTTCATCTGACTTCTTCAACCATTCACCTCACACTATGGTGGGCAATTATTTCCTACATGGCGTTTGACTTACTGTTTTAAATTGTAGGGTTGTCTATCATTCGTGTAACAATGGTCTACATGACATATGACTTACTTTTTTAGATTGCAGGGTTGTCTATCATTCGTGTAACAATCGTCTACATGACATATGACTTACTGTTTTAGATTGCCTGGTTGTCTATCATTCGTGTAACAATGGTCTACATGACATATGACATACTGTTTTAGATTGCAGGGTTGTCTATCATTCGTGTAACAATCGTCTACATGACATATGACTTACTGTTTTAGATTGCAGGGTTGTCTATCATTCGTGTAACAATCGTCTACATGGCATATGACTTACTGTTTTAGATTGCCGGATTGTTTATTATTCGTGTAACAATCGTCTACATGACATATGACATACTGTTTTAGATTGCAGGATTGTCTATCATTCGTGTAACAATGGCATATGACAGACTACTTTAGATTGCCGTGGTCGTATACATTGCCATTTTAGTCTGACAGTGCTCTATATAACTTGTTTAGTTTAATTACTATCTGAAATTCAATAAGTAGGTACTCATTAAACAGCTTTATAGATACATTGATAGTTAAATGTGGATATATGTAATCTACACCTTGAGTATAAATGATTCTTAAAACCCACTAAATTGTGTCATTTAGAGTTTTATAAATTTTTAATGTAGTTTTTCTTTTGGTACTTTCTTTTAGAAATTCCACCCACATAAAAAACAATGTTATGTTAAAAAAGATTGTTTTACAATAGTTGTTACTTCTGACTTAATATTTCTGTAACTTTGTGCTTGCTTCAAAATTACTAGTAGGTTATAAATGATATGAAACCATTTGCAGAATTGTTTTAAGATTTTGATAACAATGTTACATATCTATTATTACAATTACAAACATTCCTAATTTATTTGCATTTAAAGAATTTTCATTTTTAAAAAAAATTCATTTTTGATTGACATTTAATATCTATATATATAATTCTCTTCTTGGAGACAATAGAAAACAAGCTGCCTACCACCCCCACCCCTACATGGTCTGGTGAGCTGTGGTTCACGCTAATGTTTACACCGGGTTTAGTGACGACTATTAGGGGCAGATAATTTAGTTTTAAACTTAGGAAAGGTAACTAAGAGGAGTTTACTTTTACGGGGGTGGAGGGTGGGGGGTAGGGGTTGGGGAAAGGAGTGGGGGGGGGGTTATTGTCCTTAACGAGCTACTGATAGTGATTTAAAGCAAATATTTTCAGTGGCAGCGTTGGTACAAATTCACAAATTATGAATTACTGAAAAGTAGAAAATAAAACAACTAAATAGCGGCGTATGATACGCCGCGGGTCGGCTCGTAACCAATGTTTCTTATTTTTCTGACTATTTTTACCCCAGCGTGTGTGTTGGTCAACACAACTATAGCTAAACTAGTTACAGACAAAATACAAAGAAGCTTTTAGAAAGCATATATTTGTTTTTTTTTAAACCCAAAGTATTTATTTTGTGTTGTAAATTAAACACATTTACAATATTGATCTTAATATGAATCAAACATTTTATTTATTTATTTATTTTAAATGAAACTTATTCATTTTTTGTACAAATTGAACACGTTAACAATGTTGATATTAATATGAATCAAACATTTTATTTATTTTTTAAATATTAAATTCAAAACATTCATTTTTTTGTGTATATTGAACACATTAACAATGTAGATCAGTGGCGTAGCGAGGTCGGGTGTTACCCTGTGCGGCACTTAATGGTGTCACACCCCAGAGGCGTAACGACCCTTCCCGGGGACAAACTTTCAAGTTTTCGATTTGCACCCCCCCCCCCCTCAACCTTTCGATTTGCACCTCCCCCCCCCCTCATGTTTTTCTCTATATATTTTGCTATTTTATGCCATGGTGTCACCCCCCTAAATGGTGTCACCCGGTGCGGTTCGCACCCCCGCCCCCCCCCCCTCGCTACGCCCCTGATGTAGATATAAATACGTGTGCTGACATCTATATCGCTGCTTTAAGTGTTATTACATTCCAGCACAGCAAAAACATAGCAACACCTAACACTTATATCTAAAAGTTTAAACACCAAAACCTGATCAAAACATAACTCTAATATTTAACTCAACTTACAACTAAACCCAACATATTAGCAAACATACATCAGTTTCAACCTTCACAAATGTCTATGCTGAGAATTGAACTTAAACCTATACCACTAATCATCCTACAACTGTACTTATAATCTACTTATAATCTAAACCTATTCATAATACTTAGCTCTAAACTGATCTTCAACTGTTTGAATACACGTAGACCTACTTCCTACATACATGTCCTCAGTAGGCAGGGGGGGTTAGGGGAGTTAAAACCCCCCATAGACCCCTCGGTATATATTTAAAAAGTATGAGGGGGGTGCCAATCGAAAGTTTGAGGGGGGGGGGGGGGATGCAAATCGAAAGTTTGTCCCCGGGTAAAAATTGGACCCCCCCCCCCCTTGAGACGATTCTGGCTACGCCACTGCATGTCCTACGCTTTGATTATACATTGACCTTATAATAGAGACTAGACATACACAGTCACGGCTTAAGTCCACCCATTAGGACGTTGTACTTTAAAAAAAAACATAGACCCTATGCTAGACATTAGACATAGATATGATGTTAAAATATGCATCGCGGTTTTCCACGTATACAATAAAACTCAAACAGTACACATCGATACTGCAGTAGCGTAGCGAGGAGGGGGGGGGGGGGGGGGGGGGGCGGGGGGGGGGGGGGGAAATATGTCCCCGGGCGCCGACCATAGGGGGGGGCGCCAAATTGAAAGTTTGAGGGGAGGGGTGCAAATGAAAAGTTCGAGGGGGGGGGGGGGGTGCAAATCGAAAGTTTGAGGGGGGGGGGGGGAGCAAATGAAAAGTTAGAGGGGGGGTGCAAATCGAAAATTTGCTCCCAAGGGGGCGCCAAATTGAAAGTATGTCCCCGGGCGCCGGGAAGGGTCGCTACGCCTCTGCGATACTGTACAGAACATAGACGACATTCATAGATCTACTCATAGACTCTAGACTTAACACCTGTCCGCATTACCTAGGTCATACAACTATAACATACACACTAGACATATTTTAGACATCTAGCTTGACATTTACATGTTTCCTACAGACAGCAATATACATGCGTGTTTAAGTTTGGAGTATTTATAGTTATGTGGTGTTGTAAATTGATTTTAGTCTTTGAATTTCAATATGCTTTACGCAGAATTTTTTTTTTTAACTGGAATACTTTTGGACATAAGTACAGTTAGCTGATATTGCAAATTAAACAAGATAAAATGTTTCAGTAAATTTATTGTTCTAAATGTTGTCGATTCTGCGTTAGTTTTTATTTTCCACTAAACATACGTTGGTTGTCTTGTGTATGTTACATAAATAAAGTAATAATAATCAGAACTTGTTCCATCCTCGACTCATTAATATTGTGATTTGTCAGACGATTAATTATTAAATAGAATTCCCTTTCAAGAGTTGACTCAAATTAAGATTAAATATAGGAGTCGGCGTGGTCGAATCGGTAAAGCTCATGGTTGCTAAACTGAAAAGTCTCGAGTTCGAACACTCGGGCCAGCCACTCTTGTTGGTTGGACAAAAAGAAAAGCAGGCTGAAATCGGAGTCAACAGCCTCAATGGCGCATATCAAGTTGACACGTATCCTTAATTTGTGTTGGAGGCGTGGTCGAGTCGGCAAAAAGCTCATGGTTGATCATTTCAAAAAAGTCTTGAGTCCAAACCCTCTGGCAGATAAGCCTCTATATCTTCCAACACTAAACAATTAAGAACGAAGAAGAAGAAGAATACTAAAAATAATTTAAATAGTATAAAGCTCTTAGTCTAGTAAAATGGTTATTCTATACAGTATCATGCTATAACAGCAATGCGATATAATTCAACCGTAAGGTGGGTCTTAGCTACCTTATGTTTTATTATGTTTTAAGGTGGACATCAAGCAAAATTGAGGCTGGGAGTAGCATGTAGTGACATCTAGCCTTATGAAGCCTTTAGTGACATCTAGCCTTATGTAGCCTGTAGTGACATCTAGCCTTATGTAGCCTGTAGTGACATCTAGCCTTATGTAGCCTGTAGTGACATCTAGCCTTATGTAGCCTGTAGTGACATCTAGCCTTATGTAGCCTGTAGTGACATCTAGCCTTATGTAGCCTGTAATGACATCTAACCTTTTGTAACCATGAATGACATCTAGCCTTTTATAGCCTGTAGTGACATCTAGCCTTATATAGCATATAGTGACATCTAGCCTTATGTATCCTGTAGTGACATCTAGCCTTATGTAGCCTGTAGTGACATCTAGCCTTATGTAGCCTGTAGTGACATCTAGCCTTATGTAGCCTGTAGTGACATCTAGCCTTATGTAGCCTGTAGTGACATCTAGCCTTATGTAGCCTGTAGTGAGATCTAGCCTTATGTAGCCTGTAGTGACATCTAGCCTTGTGTAACCATGAATGACCACTAGCCTAATGTAACAGGGAGTGACATCTAGCTTAATGTAACATGTAATGACATCTAGCCTTATGTAGCCTGTAGTGACATCTAGCCTTATGTAGCCTGTAGTGACATCTAGCCTTATGTAGCCTGTAGTGACATCTAGCCTTATGTAGCCTGTAGTGACATCTAGCCTTATGTAGCCTGTAGTGACATCTAGCCTTATGTAACCTGTAGTGATATCTAGCCTTTATTTATTATAAGAAAGACAGTGTCTATTAAAACCCTTGTAATATTGAACATAGCAGATGTGTGGTAGCTTTCACCGTGATCAATAACCGACTATAAAATTCGAATGATGGACGTTTATGTGCTGGTTAAACATTAAAGGGGTCGTTGGATTTAAAAAGGTGAAAAGTCGAATGACGTAAGTTTAGAGTGTGAATGTTAAAAGCTGGCGTTCTGCCAAGTATAAGAGGGAATAATGTTGTTGTTGTTGTTGTTGTTTTGTTGACATGTTTGTGATGGTACAGTTACTAGTTCTTCGTGAATGATCAAGGACGGGCTAGCTTGTAATTAAGAAATATAACAATTTTTGGGCTTAAAATAAAAGCGGTATAGGATTGTACTGTTTCTCATTTTAGTAGTTATACAATAGGAACAACGATATCACAACCTCACATTGTGTTTCCTATGATGAAGTACCACAGCGTATTTTATTGCAATGACATCATCTTCATCACTCATGCAAAGGGACGCAACATATCTCCGACGTACTCGGTTTATGTCGATTTTTCCAAACTTTTCCACAACATTACGACTGCTTCTGATACACTGACAACTTAACCTTTTCTGTTTGTTTTGATCTACCTACTTTCCTCTTTTCTTTGGAATTCCAGTCTAGTGTCTGTCGGGTGATGTTGCTAGTTGGTTTACGCAAATGACAGAGAGTGACAACCAACGCGTTATTGTTGCAAGTGGTGTAGGGGTGATAATTCTTCTTTCTTCTTCGTTCTTAATTTTTAGTGTTGGAAGGGATCGAGCCTTATCTGCCACAGGATTTGAACTCGAGACTTTTTTTTTTCGAATTTATCAACCATGAACTTTTTGTTTGACTCGACCACGCCTCCATCACAATTAAGGTTACGTGTCAACTGGTTGTTCGCCGTTGAGGCTATTACTCCGATTTTTCAGCCTGCTTTTCTTTTTTGAATTTGCTTCCATAGCCTTTGTCCAACCAAGAACAAACTACAAGGCAGCAGTTTGATTTTGGAGTTGTCTCTCCTAGAAGAGCGGCGGTCCCCAGCTAACGAGCCTCATCTGCCCGAGGGTTCGAACTTGAGACTTTTCGGTTTAGCAACCATGAGCTTTACCGACCAGACCACGCCAACCCCAGGGGTGATACAATTATATCGATATGTGTTAGGGAGTAATCCTCATAACTATTGATGGCTGTAAATAAACAGGTGTGAGACCGAGTAAATATTTTTGTTTGCGCTACACTGAACACCGATAGTTTGTTTTTAGCTGAAAATATATTTTTTGTAAAACTGGAATGAAGTTATGATAACTTCTGTAAAATGGTATGAACAAATACAAGGTTTATTGCAATTTGTTGCAATTTGTTGCCTTGAACGTTGGCTAAAGTAACGTGATTACCCTGCCTCCAACTGGAGTTCTAGATAGAAATGTAAATACGGGCAACCTTAAAAAAGTTGAAAGATATTCAAGCAAATTCTGGACAACAAATGTTGATGGTAATCGTTGTTGTTGCCTAGAGCACACTGAGCTCAAGTTATTGCGTACCGCCGCACCCAGTCACGTCACCAAGAGGGGTGACACCCCAATGCTCCTCTCCTAGGTACGCCATTTTGTTTACATCGATATACCGCCCACACAAAAACACCTGACTTGAGATCGATGGGGGTAGCCTGACGTCATCAGGTGTAAAGGTGAGGACTAAGGGGGGGGGGCGATCTCCACAAGCTGTGATGTTTATGAGAAGGAGAGCAGACGACAACCCAGCTCGGTGATTGGTTGAATGCAGAGTGTCAAGGTCAAAGTGCAGGGAATGCTGGGAGACCATGTAGAGGTTTTTGGACGGTGTTACAGACTTGTTTCCTCGGTAAAACTTGCTGAGACGTATGTACCTCTTTATTTTATAGTCGTTAACCTTATTTTTCTTGATTTCATAAATTATCTTACTTTCTAGTCATACACGTTTTTGTACTGTCTGGTATTTAAGTTGCTTTACTTTCTAGAGTTATTGTGCTGTTTGGTAAATAAGTTACTTTACTTTACTTTCTAGACGCAGAAGGTATTGTAATTTGTAGTCGTATACGTTACTTTACTTTCTAGTCATACAAGACGATTGTTTTTATTTTTGTCGAATATGTTGTTAAATTTAGTCTGTTAGCCATTTATCTTTATAGTCGTGCATGAAATTTTTTTTTTTTATTTATAGTCGTATTTAATTTTTTTTTTTTGACGAATAAGTTGTTTGGCTTTTTCTTGTGAGTTATTTTACTTTACAGTCGTGCATGTTATTTATGCTCGTATGATTTTTGTTTTGTTTTTTTTTGGTTGTCATGGTTGTGTCAAATCTGTGGTGTAATTTTTCTTTTGAGTTATTTTACTTTTCAGTCGTTTACGGTATTTTAATGTATTGCCTTCTTAGTCACTTTGCATTAAAACTGTATTGGTAAACTGTCTAATAAAATACATACAGTCAACAATATTTTTTTTTATATTAAAATCTTTGAAGTAGTCTCAGGTTCACATTCCACTTTTAAGACCTATAGGCCCACATTGTTTTATACTTTGTAATTGCATTAATTAGTATAAGTTACAAACATAATTTGAGTTAAAATTTTTGTATTTTATTTTTTAACGTCAACATACTATTTGCAAAGAAAATAGCTTTAAACAAAATACGTTTTGTCTACGTTTTTATTAAAGATTAACTCTGGGTACCCAGTGACTTATCGAATAATTACTAGATACAATTAATTATAATATTACATATTGCTTTAGAATACTATATTTAAAGAGATTGATTTAATCAGTTTTAAATCTACATTTCTCGACGCATCTTTAATATTAAGAAAAATATATTTTTTAAAAATGTTTTTAAAAATTGGCTACTAGCGCTAATTTTGCCCCCTTTCACTTTGGTGGGCTGAGGGGGGGGGGGGGGTGTGAGGGATTTGGGTTTTTAAGTAGAGCTGAAATAAATTTGGGATTACCGAGAATTAAAACGATGCAAATTTTAAGCAATCGGAAAAGTTATGTTATTACAATGAGTCACATCGAAGCAAACATTTTTCCCTTTCAAACGTCTATATCTATAGCAGTCCTCAAAGAGGTTTTTTTTCTTATGGTATTATTTTAGAGCCTATTTGAATGATTGCTATGACAAATGTTTTCTATTTACATGTTGTGTATTAAATTAATAAAACGAATAGTTTATTCACTTATTAAAAAAGTCTTTAGTTATAAAGTATCGCAAAATTTAAAGAAAACAATATATTTGAAATAGCGCGCTTGAATTACCGTCTGTAAGATATTTTAATAGAGATGTTAGCGATTATTTAATCAATAAAATATAGTCAGCTTGAATTCATCAATAGATTGATGAAGGGTTATCCATGTGCGACATATTAACATGTTTAAAAATGTTACATACTAAAAAGCGTATCGTTTTAAAAAAGATATATTTTAGGTCATGCAGTTTAGTTATTTACTACGTTGTTGAAAAGAGTACTTTAAAATTAAATAAATAACTATTCAAATAACACTTGTTGTGCTACATAGCCTCACTACTAATAGAGCAAAGGGTGGGGGGGGAGGGGGCAAACAGATAAGATGGATTAAAAATCTAAATTTAAAAAAAATTAGAAACCTACAATAATCTCAAGAGTTTACTTTTATTTTGTTGTTGTATCGCACATTGTAAGTTTTTAAGTCTTTAGGAAGAGTTATCTTTCATAGAATGTCTATCTAACCTGCAACAATAACTTAAAAAAAAACATTCAATGACATATATAAACGATGCCACACACGAATAACACAAGGCACTTTTTAAAAAATCGACATTTTGGGAATTTTTTTTTTCAACTACCGAACTGTAATTACAATGGTTAAAATAAAAAAAATAAAAAATATTAATTAATTTAACCTTTATAGTATTTGTTAATACTTATGTTAGCTTTAAGACAGCTGTATCATTTAGACAATGAAATGTTTATAATATATTGCCAAACAAAAAATTATTGCTCAAGAATAAGTAGTGATAAAAACACAGCTACAAAAACAGCATTTACAATGAGGTCTAGGTATAATGATACGTTTAAAAATATATATAAAAAATTGCTCCCCAAAATATGTTACAAGTTTTATTAAGCAAATGTTCTACAATACAAATACTTTTTTCTAAAAGTTATTAACAATCTGGCACCTAAATTTAACTACGGCCGAAACGAATACAATATCATTGTGATAGAATTTGAAAACTAAGAATCATTTTAATATATTTAGGGAACAATTATAGGTAGGGATATTAATTTTTTTTTTAAATTTCTATACATTATAAAATGTATCACAACTTAGAGGATTAGTTTCTAGGTTAGGGTTGTTGACAACTCTTTGCGAAACTACATCAAAAGTATTTTATATTTTACAATGTCAACAGTGAAAGATATAACAAACATGTGTTCTCGAGTTTTACTTTTAACACTCGGGCAGATAAGGCTCGTTAGCTGGAGACAGCCACTCTTCTAGGAGAGACAACTCCAAAATCAAACAACTGCTGTCTTGTAGTTTGTTATTGGTTATTCTTTCCCTTCGTCTGGGCGAGAGTGCGCCCATAACGAGAAAAAAAGAGGTAGCAATTTATAGTCACGTTTTAAAACTATTTTTAACTTCTAGCTAGACCTCGCCCTCCCCCTCCCCCCCCCCCCCCCCCCCCCCCACACACACACAATGAACAACGTCACACTTCAGCCTGTCAGCCCTCAAAAAGACATACCTCCTTCCCACCAAACTCCTACATAACTTTATTCGCCCCTCCCCTCCTGCCCCCTCCTGACTCCAATTCTAAAACTTTTATTTAAAAAAAAGGTGAATTGTTGTCTAGTTGTTTTTTTTACATGCAACTCTGCTGGGTAACCCCCCCCCCCTCCCCCCCCTGCCCCCACCCTTTATGTGTCGCCCGTCGTTTTTTTCCCGTGGCAATAAATTATTGAAGACCTGCTTGTGCATTCCTTGATTTATGCTAATGAGGTGTGCTTACACGCTCCAAACATGTCCAGGCAGGCTTTTAGATTTCTGTTCGCTGCGAAAACACATAGAGACACTTGTTTTATATTATTTGCTATTAACATAAGAAGAATTAAGTTAAACTTCGAACCATTATTATGGAAACTTGTATATTATAAGTAATAGCCACAAAAAATAGTTACCAGTCTAGCCGCATTAACTTAAATAAAAACCGTAATTACTTCTAGTTATTGGCAGAACAAGGTTTAAATCGTAATGTAGAAACACGGTATCGTTATTAGTACTAGAAACATAAAGATAAATAAAAGGTATTGTTACAGAAACATTTTTAGCTATTACCTTTACTCAGTTAGGGTTTAAATCGAAATCTCGAAACATGGTATAGCTATTAGCATAAGCAGCATTAATTTAAATTTAAAAAAAAAAACTTTGTTAGAGAAGCGTGTTATATTTATTAGCAGCATTAAATTAAAATGTTAAATTCGTAATTTGGAAACCATTTCTCGTTATGAAAATTGGCAGCATTATATTAAATGAAAACAGAGGTTAATATTTTATAGTTATTAGCATTAGCAGCCTTAATTTAAAAGAAACGATCGGCATGGAAAAACTGTTTATGTATTAGTTTAGCACGATTAACAGAAAGAAAAGCCATTGTTACAGAAACATTTTTGTTATGAGTATTCGTAGCAAACAATTACACACAAAATCCATTTTTATGGAAAAAAGTTATAGTTACTGGTATTAGCAGGATTAAAAAAATTAATCACACTTGTTTCAGAAACTATTTCGACTTATTAGCATCAGCAGTATTAATTAAAATTTCAAACATCCGTTTTAGAACCCTCATTGGATAATTAATGGCCATAAGTAAGATATTAAAACGAATCTTTTTTTAGGTTTAATTTTTAAAGTTAAACCTTTGTTACAGAACTGGTTACTTTGTTTTAATAATTTGATTGAACTATTACCAGAGCAGAAAGTTAGGATCGAGTAAAAAGTTTATTGATATTTTATTTTCTCTTTCATCCATTCGTGTATATTTTAAAAAAACATGTTTACAAATGAATAAAAATAAAAACCTATCTGAAAATGTAAATGCAATAAACATAAAATAGAGAGTCTTCTGTAAAAATGAAAATTATATTTTCTTAGCTGGAATTGAACATTTTGACTTTTAAAAAATCAAGTACTGTTTACTGTTTACGTTTAGCATGTTCATAAATGGTTTACAGTTAAGGAAGAAAAATCTAGCTTTAAAAAACTTTACAAGTTATTGTTAAATAAACTGACAACTAGTTAATTTGTAGTTAAAATTAAATCGTTTCTATTAAAGAAACAAATGTACTTTTAAATCAACAAAATAATAATGCAAAACAAATTGCTCAACAACAAAACATATGCTATGGAGAATGTAATTATTGATTGCAGGGCCGGCACTACTTATAAGGCGAACTAGGCGGTCGCTTAGGGCGCCATCCCAAGGGGGGGGGGGGGCAAAAGTTTTAATCGCTATTATAAAAAAGTACCTAATAATTAAAATGGTTATCTAATTTTAATAGGGCTTGTAAGTCGCGTTCTCTCTGCCTTTGAATTAGAAATCTGTCCTGGTGTAAAGAGTTTTGTAAAGTGTTGTACTTGTTTGGTAAGTTTTGATGAATCATTTAGATTTGGGAGTAACAGCGGAAGGCTGTTGCAGATATGGTCGCAGATATAATTTTTATTAAGCGGTTATGTAGACGAAGGTCTAGTGAAATCTGATTGGTAATAGAGAAATGATAATGCAGGGGATGAAGTATCGCAGTTCTGGAGTTCGGGAGTATTGAGGTATCGACTGTTAAAGTGTAGTAGTAGATCCAGTGAAATCGTTGATTGGGAGAACCGTTTGTAGAGTTTGATGAAGTTAAATGAGTTGGTGTCGTAGTTCTGGAGCATCGAGTCTAGATAGTAGTAGGTCCAGTGAAATCGTTGATTGGGAGAACCGTTTGTAGAGTTTGATGAAGTTAAATGAGTTGGTGTCGTAGTTCTGGAGCATCGAGTCTAGATAGTAGTAGGTCCAGTGAAATCGTTGATTGGGAGAACCGTTTGTAGAGCTTGGTGAAGTTAAACGGATTGGTGTCTTGGTTCTGGAGCACCGAGTCTAGGTATGTTTAGGTATAGAAGTTTTATATATGTTGTGAATGTAGTAGAGTATATCGAGTAGTAGAGTTTATCGGATGTTAGATCATTCAAATTCAGTACGGAAGAGTGTTTCTTCCAAACTCTGGGGGGAGGGGGGGGGGGGGGTCCACTGATAAATGTATATATTTTCTATATAAGTTCCATTTCGTTCGGGGGGGGGGGCGGTAGACTTTCTTCGGGGGGAGGGGGGGCTCCGTACCCCGAAGAGATTCCTCGAAGAAACTGGTACGAGACACACTGCAAAGATAGGTGGGCGTTCTCTTGTTGAAAAATCTTTAGTTTTTTTAGGAATCTATATTACCACTCTTAAAGTATTAATATATAATATTAAAAAGGATGGAATTTAAAACTAACCATAAATTTTGTTTTTTTCTCAAATTATAATTTGTTTTTTATATTTAATCAATAATTCTAACATTGTCTAAACTCTAAACCAGGGGTCGGCAACCTGCGGCTCGCGAGCCGCATGCGGCTCTTTTGATGTCAAGAGGCGGCTCTTCAACTCCATTCACAAATATTAATAATTATTTTATTTTATTTTCAAAACTCATCACAATATTGTTCTGCTACACTCGATAATGAAAGATATTATAATAAACACTCGCTATTCTATTGTAATATTAATCTAATCCCTATTTCAATGTAACTTCCTATTAACTTTTCTATCCCAAATTGCAACATTCAACTTCATGGTGGATATCACAAATAAACTAAACGAGCTTAATGTACAACTGCAAGGAAAGGAAAACCCAGCCTATGCCTTGCTTGAAGAAGAGTTGTTCGAAAAAAAATTTACTTCATTTTGTTGAAGACACGGAAAGCGGTAAAATACTTTATTTCGAAAAATGTGGGGAAAAAATATCGTGATAAAACCATGAATCACTTCAACATTACTATAAACAAAATGAAGGATGGGTTCACTGAGAGATTTGAGCAATTCAAAACAAATGCAAGTACTGTAACGTTTATACTAGATTCTCTCAACACAAAAACAAAAGAGATTAACTTAGAGCTATTTGGAATTGATGCTGGTTCTCTACAAATTAAAGTGCTCGATTTAAAAACCAAATATTTGTGGAGTGGTAAGTTTACTGATCTAAAGAGCAAGTTAAAAGAATTGGAGTTCCAGTAAAACATGCACGTTTCGCTGCATAACTGGAAAGCTCTAAATTAAAACCCGCGAGTTATGGCACATAGAATAGTCTTCCAGGATGGGACAGTGAGGTGAAGAAGTTGGCATTTGGAGTGCGAGCAAGCGTTTTCTTGCACAAATATAATATAAAAGTTAAGTAAGATAAGAAGCCAAATAACAAATAAAAATCTAGTGGCGTGCTTGAAACTGAAAACAAGTAATGAGCCAGGGTTGAACAAACTTTCAAAAGGCATGCAAGGCTAAACTATTCAATAATTAAAATTATATATTTTGTTTACTGATTTTATTATTCTTGCAGAAAAAGATACCTATATATATATATATATATATATATATATATATATATATATATATATATATATATATATATATATATATATATATATATATATATATATAATCCTAATCAAATATCCTAATATTGAATTAAAAATATTAGTGGCTCTTTAACAAGTGGATATTTGGAGAAATTGTGAAATTTGGCTCTTCCGTCTCAAAAGGTTGCCGACCCCTGCTCTAAACAGTTAGATTTCTACTCGTGTTTGAATTTTTTAAGGCGTCCCTTGTTATTTGGGATCCAAAATTAGACATTTTTATTAGTTATTAGGTATTCATTGGAAAGCATGTCATCAAAATTGAATAAAAGTATGTTATAATAAAGGTACCGTATTTAGACTCTCAAACAAAACATACAGTTAAGTATTCAATAAATAAAATATATTGTTTTTAACAAGATTATATAGCTTATATTAAAAAATTATTATAATTATTACGTAATGAAATTTAAATCGTTTTATTGTGCTTTTTAAAGCATGTCTTAATTATACTTGGTTAATTTAGCTATTCTTGTGAAAGTTATTTCCCGTGAATAAAATTTTGGTATTTGGATTTTCAAATGGGAGATAATTCGTTGCTTAACTAAACATTCATTTCAAATTCCTGCACCTTAGGCTTAGGTTGACCGCTTACATATAAATACAACTTTAAGTTATTATTTTCTATTGTAAAAATTATATAGAGCTTAAATTCTAGGTAGTTTTTTTTTAGCAATATCAAGTTGAAAAACAAATACATCAGTAGCCGATGTAGATAGCAATACTAAATGTTAGTAGACATACAGTCTTAGTCGTAAATTAAACATCTAATTAAGTGTCTTTTCATATTTTTCACCCTCTCCTAAAGGATTCATATATAACAAATATAGGCTGGAATCTATAACATTTATAACCTTTTATTTTTCAAAAACCAAAAATCGTTAGATAATCACACAATATAGAGACATCTTGCAATTATATCTAAAGAAAGTCAAGCTTAAAACATGCAAGGTCCGTTTTGGAACTTACATTGGGATATCTGCATAGAGCCCAACACTACAAGAATATTTTTTTTCGGTGGGGGTTTTCCAGACTTTTTTTTTCTCCCGGGAGGGTATGGGGGGGGGGGCACTTGACATTTTCTAAAAGGGGGGGGGGGGGGCTATGTCGTAAGGTACAAAGTAGACTCGTGGACTTAACAACAATTTCAATAAAATGTGATTACGCTTGCAAACTGGAATTGAAGGAATTAGTACAAACTTTTGAGACAAAGAGGGAAAGTAAAATTTGATTTTGATGTCTACTTATAACGTGTATGCAGTTGTTTTAATTAATTTTTTTTTTTACACATATGTTTTAGTAATTAATTTGTGTGAAAGGGAGCGTTTTAAGAAGTTTTGCCTAGGGCGCTAAATAACCTGGCGACGGCACTGGTTGATTGTTATCAGTTGCGTAGCGAGGTCGGGTGTCATCCGGTGCGGCATTAAATGTTGTCAGCCCCCCAGAGGCGTAGTGATCCTTTCCGGGGACAAACTTTCAAATTTTCGATTTGCACCCCCCCCCCTCAAAATTTCAATTTGCACCCCCCCCCCTCAAGTTTTTCTCTATAAATTTTGCTATTTTTTGCCTTGGTGTCACCCCCCCTAAATGGTGTTACCCGGTGCGGCCCGCACCCCCTCCCCCCCCTCGCTACGCCCCTGAGTGTTATCGGTGTGTTGCTATCACTAGAGTGCAAATGCCTTACTGTTTTGATTCTCCAGTGTGTCACTAAATAATTATACAATTCCTCTTTTCACCGAGCTATCCATTGGCCTGCTGAAATAGACTTCAAATGTTTCTTGAGCTAGGCATTTGAAGGGATAGTATGGTCATCACTATACCCAGCCGTATTTATTTCCCCCAACGTAGCTCAGGTACCCGTAAGAGCTGGATGGGCTCAGTGTTTCTTCCAGACTTTATTCTCCGGGGGGCACTTGAAATTTTCGGGGGGGTTAGACTTTCTTCGGGGGGGGGGGGCTGACCCTGTTAAAAGTATATATTTTCTATATAAATTATATAAATTTCATTTCGTTCGGGGGGGGGGGGCGGTAAAAATTTTTCTTTCCCCGAAGAGATGCCTGGAAGAAACTCCAGGGCGTGCTACAGTTGAATGCATAAACTGAGAACCGAACTCTAGACCTTCGGGCTAGTAGCCAACGCTCTACCATTCAACCACGCATTCCCATAAATGTTTGCGCCATCGAATTTTATCCCTACTAGAAGTTTACTGTTCTTCCAGAGGATAAACACTTTTTATACTTACAAAACAACTAGAAATGAGATGTGCGTTTTATGAAGATACTAAACAAATATCTATTTATACACAACGTTTTAGAAATCAGTGAAGTGGACAATGGCGTCTGACCTGCTCAAATTCCTGCTGGCGTTAGGACTCATGCATCAGGTTCATGGCGAAACTCACCAACACGTACTCACCCTTATCAAAGACAAGCTCAGCCGTGATGTCTACAATCCCCGGGTTCGACCTGTCAAAAACAGTTCGGACACCACGATCGTCACCGTCGACATTGTTCTCGATTCCATCTTCAAAGTTCATGTCAAGTCGGATATGTTGTACTTTAATGAGAGTATATGTTTCGTTTGGACTGATGAGGTAATTATGTTTTTAATTACGTTTTTACATTAACTTATGAAGCATAATTGAGTTAATATTACTCGGTTATCTTTATTTAATCCTAAAGCACGGGTTCCCAACCTGGGGGTCTCGACCCCCTTGGGGGTCGCGAAGGCCTTTCTGGGGGGTCGCCAACTGGCATACTAAACCTTAGTAATTAGAAACAAAACATAAATATTTAGAAGAATTTTTGAAATTCGGCTTCATTAACATCACTGGAAATGTAATAGAGAAGAAACAAAGCGCACTGTACAAAGTTGTTCTCAGTCACGAATCTATGAAATCTTCAAAACTAAAACGTCATTTTAGACGAGTCATTCGGAACACACCAAAAAAAGATATGGAGTTCTTTCGTCGGTAAGAAGCTAGTTGCAAACGCCAGAGACTTGATCGAACAGGAAGTTTTCACTAGCATTAGTGCAAGCATCAAATGAAGTCGCGATAGAAAATGCCAATAAAAAACAATAGGAGAAAATCTCATCAAGCGCTGCATGTACGTAAATGTTAAATAACACATTTTTATTGAAATTAAGCTTTCACCATTGTTTGCTTTCAAGTTATTAAATCAACAGACGTGAGTTCGTGTTCGCAGTTGCTGGTCTGTGTCTATATTCATGCTGGTGATAGCAAAGAGGAGTTGCTCTTTTGTGTAGATAGCATGGAGAAAATAAATACCTTTTTTGAAACTGGATGATTAAAATGGGTTAAAACTGCTGTGGGGGTTTATACGGATGGTGCGCCATCAATGTTTAGGTCAAAATCGGGCTTTCAGAAAACAGAAAAGATTTAGCTCACTAACCACTGCCCTAACCAATCGACATCAAGAGTCCATTGCTAGTATAAGTCGTAAATTATATAAAATCTGGAGCCTTCAAAGAACTAAGCAAAGACATTAATAAAGATCACGAGGTTCTGCTCTTCTACACTACAGTACGCTGGCTGTCAGACGAAATGTTGTGCATTGTGTTTTTGAATTGAAATCTGAAATCAAATTGTTCTTGGAAGTGAAAAGGAAACAAGACTTTTTGGTATACTTGAAACAATATACAGTGGCTGGAGAGAGTATCATACCTAGCAGATGTGTTCGAACTTCAAGATAAGCTTAACCTGAAGCTTCAGGGAAAATGAACGAATATTATAACTTTCCATGATAATCTCGGGGCATTTTTATCAAAGCTGCAAAATCGGTAAAGAAAATAAATCTTGGAAATATTGTAAATTTGTGAAACTGCGGTGTGGTAGATGAATCTGATTGTGAAATAATTAAAATTTTGAAAGAAGCGATTTCTGGGCATCTCGAATCTCTTGAAAACGAACTGCATCGCTATTGCTCTGAGCTGAAAAAAGTAGAATCTGCATTGACGCATTACCCATTCTCTTCTTCCCTTGATGTTGCCAGCATTCCCGATGAATTACAAGATGAATTCTTTGATTTGCAGAATGATTCCGAGTAAGATGAAAAACTGCAGACACAATTTTGGTGTAGTATTCACCATTCATACCCAAACGTAAAATTGATTGACTTTTCGAGAATATATTTTCAACACTATTCTTCGATTAAAAACAAAATTAAGATAATTATAATGACATAGGTTGGCGTTAACAAAAAAATTTTTAAATTAAAAACTTAACCACGAAGGTTTAGTCAATAGTAGGGCCTATGCAATTTTACTCATGCTATTAAAACAGTTAGCAAGAGTAGTTCATATTGAAAGTCTACTAGAAAATCTTATTTTAGTGCTTATTAATCTCCATACTAATTTCGGCTTTTTAATTCTAAGGGGGTCGCGGGTCACTTACTTTTTATAAAAGGGGGTCGCCACTCGAAAAAGGTTGGGAACCACTGTCCTAAAGCATTCTAATAACTTAATTTATTAGGAATTATGTTTACATTATGCATAGGCAGAGGCGTAGCGAGAGGGGGGGGGGGGCGAGGGGTGCGGACCGCACCCGGTGACACCATTTAGGGGGTGACACCAAGGCAAAAAATAGCAAAATATATAGAGAAAAACTTGAGGGGGGGGGTGCAAATCGAAAGTTTGAGGGGAGGGTGCAAATTGAAAACTTGAGACTTGAGGGGGGGGGGGGGGGGTGAAAATCGAAAGTTCGAGGGGGGGGGGGTGCAAATCGAAAGTTTGAGGGGGTGGGGGTGCAAATCGAAAATTTGAAAGTTTATCCCCGGGAAGGGTCGCTACGCCTCTGTGGGGTGACACCATTAAGTGATACCCGACCTCGCTAGGCCACTGTGCATAGGTGTCCTGTTTTAATCTATTATCCCGAGTACTTTTTAAAAAATCGATTACCTTAATTTATGTTTTTTCCTCAACTCATTCATCAGTTTAAAAAAAATCGATTTTTAAAAGCGCAAGCTATATATATTTTAAAATATATCACATGAACTTATGAATGTTTTATAAATATGTTTTTCGTGATCAGTTTCTGACCTGGAATCCTGAAGACTATGGAGGTATACAGTCCATAAACCCCAGCCCAATGATGCTCTGGCTACCTGTCGCTTATTCAATGCACAAACCCGAGAAAAAACATCCCCTTGATAATTTTAAAGGGTAATTACATTTCATTTCTCTCATCAGCTTGTAATGAGTAGTGATTGTCTTAATAGCCCCGGTAATATTATTATACCAGTAGATATGTTGTTAGTTTTGTGAATACATATATACTTGTATTTATCATTGTTAGTGTTTGACTTAGATGTAGTTATATGTGTGAATACTGTAGCTGAAGTTATAAGTGTTACAGGTAAATAACGTGTCAGCATCACCAGCATTCTTGTATACCACTTGTGGAGAATACGGACGCAATAACACTTCTCCATCGTACTCGGTTCTGGGCGATTCATTTAAGTTGGGTCCACGATATTCCATCTGCTTCTGCTTCTTCTACAGCTGACTTTTTCGTTTGTTTTGGCTTACCTGCTTTCTTCTTTACTTGGAGATTCATATCTTGTGTCTGTCTGGTGATGTTGCTAGATGTAGCAACTTGTCTTACTTTTGGACGCCCTGTAGCCAGATGTCTTACTGTTGGACTCCCTGTAGCCACTTGTCTTACTGTTTGACTCCGTGTAGCCACTTGTCTTACTGTTAGACTCCATGTAGTCACTTGTTTTACTGTTGGACTCCCTGTAGCCACTTGTCTTACTGTTGGACTCCCTGTAGCCAGTTGTCTTACTTTTGGACTCACTGTAGCCACTTCCCTTACCGTTCGACTCCATGAAGCCACTGTCTTACTTTTGGTTTTCCTGTAGTCACTTGTTTTATAGTTGGACTCCCTGTAGCCACTTATCCTAACGCCAAACCAACTGTCTCTCTACAGCCTGGTGACTGTATATCATAATGGACTTGTCGTTTGGAATCCTGAAACTCTCCCGTTAGATACGCGCTGTGTAAAAGGTTTGTTTGACCATCTGGAGTGCCAAGTACAGGTGAGTACGTAAATTGGTGGTGTTTAATTGGGTGGTTATTGTATTTGTTAATAGGGCGGATATTGTATTTGTTAATTGGGTGGTTATTGTATTTGTTAATAGGGTGGATATTGTATTTGTTAATTGGGTGGTTATTGTATTTGTTAATAGGGCGGATATTGTATTTGTTAATTGGGTGGTTATTGTATTTGTTAATAGGGCGGATATTGTATTTTTAATTTGGTGGGTATTGTGTTTGTTGATTGGGCGGATATTGTATTTGTTAATTGGGTGGGTATTGTATTTGTTAATTGGGTGGGTATTGTATTTGTTAATAGGGCGGATATTGTATTTGTTAATTGGGTGGGTATTGTATTTGTTAATAGGGCGGATATTGTATTTGTTAATTGGGTGGATATTGTATTTGTTAATAGGGCGGATATTGTATTTGTTAATTGGGTGGATATTGTATTTGTTAATTGGGTGGGTATTGTATTTATTAATTGGGTGGGTATTGTATGTGTTAATTGGGTAGGTATTGTATTTGTTAATTCACTAATCTCGACCGTTTTTTACACCTCCCTGAGTGGGAAAAACATAGTTTTGCAATTTTGTCCGTAATTATGTGTGTATGTATGTATGTGCGTATGTCTGTGAACACGATATCTTGTGTACTGTTACAGCTAAGTTGATGAAATTTCATATATAAGTAGTATATAATGTGTAGTTCTATTTCAACTTTTCATCGATTCCCGGTAACCGAAAGTCGAACTTATTCTAATTGTAGTTTTTCAAAAGCATAACTTGAGTATTGTTTCAGATAGATAAAGAAAATTTCACTAATAAGTAAAAGATATAATTTTCTGCCGTTTATCCAATTTTGAGTAAATTCCGTTGACAGGAAGTAATAATTTACGCTGTTTCCGATTTCTCAAGTGCTAATATTCCGCACTATTATACACATATTGTTTGCCGTTCACTTGTTGTGGAATTCTTTTTTCTACGAGATTCCATTTTATTTTTGAAAAAATTTAAAGTTATTAAAATTTGATTACAAATCATGTTTATATCCAGAGCTGCCATCCCCCGTCGAGTTATATAAGAATATTCAAGAAAGTTTAGGGGAGATCACTCCCGTTTTATTGTGATGGTTATCGTAATTCGATGTCTAACGCGATGATGTTTGATTACAGTTGTCGTCTAAGATACACCCAGCATCTGAGCTGGTATTTGTGATGAAGAGAGATCTGTTGGAGACCCACCGCGACACTACCGATGTCGGCTGGAGGGTTCTACACACCAATACTACCATCATCAACAAAACAATGCCGCCATCGAAACTCACCTTCTCGACGATCCAGGTACTTTTTCTCAGATCTAAGAGTTGCAGTGGCGTAGCCAGGATCGTCTCGACTTGCACCCCCCCCTCAAACTTTCGATTTGCACCCCCCCCCCCTCAAACTTTCGATTTGCACCCCCCTCCCTTCAAACTTTCGATTTTGAAAATACTAATTATTTTAGTTGACAAAAATAAATATTTAAAAGTTGATGTTCTAATTTCATTCAAAAGTGACTTAACAGGCTTTGCAAGTGGCCTACTTACTTACTGTCCAGTTTTTTAACTTATGACTTTCAGTTTATCAGCCCCGTTTTACTATGATCTTCTTTCTACGCGTCAGCAGCATTTATGTACATTTTCTTTACTACAGCTAAATTTTAATTACATCATATGTGCCATATCTAGATCTGTTGTTATATTGCTAGATCTTCGCCGCAGAGCTAAAGAAGTGCGACTAACATTGAGTAAAGAGCAAAGTATGCGTGTGAGACCTAACGATCCAAATGTAGAGTTAATGTGTTGTTTTTTTACCTTGTCGTATGGTGTGGTAACCAGTGGCGTAGCGAGGTCGGGTGTCACCCGGTGTCGCACTTAATGGTGTCACCAACCCCCCCCCCCCCCCCCCCCCCCCAGAGGCGTAGCGACCATTCCCGGGGACAAACTTTCAAGTTTTCGATTTGCACCCCCACCTCAAACTTTCGATTTGCACCCCCCTCATGTTTTCGATTTGCACCCCCCCCCCCCTCAAACTTTCGATTTGCACCCCTCCCCCTTCAAGTTTTTCTATATATATTTTGCTATTTTTTGCCTTGGTGTCACCCCCCCCCCCTAAATGGTGTCACCCGGTGCGGTCCGCACACCCGCCCCCCCCCCCCCCCCCCACTCGCTACGCCTCTGGTGGTAACTGTTCTGCCAAGCAGCTATTACTTTCCCTAACGTGAGACAGGTACTAGCCGAGCTATGTATACATAAGGACGTCCGTACCGATATCTGAGCTAAAAAGTAATTCTTTAAAACTAGGCAACCGACAAACTGAACCAAACTGAATTTGAGCAATTACTGAAGAAATGTACTAGTTTTGTTAGTGTATTAATGAAGTAGATTTGTTTAAGCGTTAAAACTAATTATGTTATTAACTTGTCCATGTTAATTTTTATCCCAGGGAACACTTGTGATTGCTATTATATTATTTGTGCCTTGTCAAATACTCCGCTAACTGATTATCAACGTATATTCTAGCTAGACACTAACCCATTACATGTGTTTGCAACTGTTTCAGTTTGACTTCACAATCAAGCCTTTGTTTTCACATATTGATGTGATGGTTATCTGTTCAATGGCCATGTTTTCTTTTCTCTGTGTGTTGATAAATGGCTTAATTCCAGATAAGAAAACTAAATTTTCAATGGGTAAACATTTTTTCTGGTTTATAGTAGCTGTTTTAAAGATAAATATACAAATACATTTTTATACAGATACATTATACATATTTATATGCATATATTTATATATATGTATATACATATGTAAATATATAAATATATATATAAATATATATATATATATATATATGTATATATATATATATATATATATATATATATATATATATATATATATATATATATATATATATATATATATATATATATATATATATATATGTATATATATATATATATATATATATATATATATATATATATATATATATATATATATATATATCCACACATTTATTTATACTATCATTGCGCTGTTTCTAAGTAAAGCATAGAGCTTGTAGTAAATATCTGAAATAATTTCGTTTTACTTTTAAGCTTTGAATTAGGTAAATCTACTCTAAGTATACAAAAAAGTAAACTAGGGCGAGTAGCACTAACCCTTCATGAAATAAACTTAAAACTTAACACTTAACCCTAACCCAAACCTCACTTATTACTCCCCAGTTTCACTATTGGTGATTGGGCACGGCTATTTTGTGTGCTATAGTATACACGGTATAATAGATGTGGCCCGCCTACTGAATTTTCCACTTACCCTTTTCATTATTTCTGTGATGATGGAGTATTTGGTGGAAATTTTAGAGCGGGATCAGGTGAGTACGTCTGTTGAACATGAAGGTTTTGTTACCATTTCATCAATTAATATATATCTTTAAAAAGTACGTGAAAAATATTATAGGGGTTTTATTAATTAAATACATATTCAAAAAACACCATTTACAACGTTACAGGGGTCTATCTTTTGTGGAGTAATTATTTACATAACATTTTTCTTTGGTGGAGGTATTATGTACATAACATTAATTAAATATATCTTTAAAAAGTATATGAAAAATAGTATATGAGTCTTTCTTACGTGGAGGTATTATTTACATGACATTAGTTAAATAAATGTTTAAAAAGTACAAGAAAAAATATTATAGGGGTCTTATTAATTAAATACATATTTAAAAACGACATTTACAACGTTATAGGGGTCTTTCTTTTGTGGGGTAATTATTTACATAACATTAATTAAATATATATTTAAAAACGGCATTACAATATTATTAGGGATATGTGTTTCGTGAAGGTTTCATTAACATAGCAAGTGTCTTTGATAATTACCTGGAAAAGTTTATTATGTTTCTGTCTTTCCTGTAGGTTTATAACCATTTCAGGATGTTAAACGAATCTTTGATAATAACTTCCTCAAAAAGATTATTAGGACCAAGTTTTTGCATAAAAATGTATTACAATAACATGATATTAAATAGATTATTGAATAACTTTACCCATACAACTGTTATAGTTGCTGCTTATTTGTTTATTTGTGTTTATGTTTTGTATCCAGGAAGAAAAGGATCGTCTAAAAGATGTGAATACAAAGGCCACATCTCGAAATCCTGTCGCATCGAAGAAAAACTCATCCAACACGGCCGAGGAAAATGGCTGGGATTTCGAATTAACCGCCAAAGATGCTAACGCCCACGGCAAGATAAACAAACTCAAACGCTACAAAAAAATGGCGGAGAATTTTAATTGGGTTTCTTCTTTCTTTTTCTGCGCATCATGGTTGTGTGCAGTAGCCTTCATAGGATATGAATTGATGTTTTAGAATGTCGTGTTACTCTCGTTTCCTTGAAGGCCGCCATTGCTTTAACTGAACAAAGTTAAGCTAAAATTCAATTTATTATTTATTTATTGTTTTGTCTCAAGGTCAAATAGTAAATTTAGTTTATCTGGGTTTTTTCAAAATCATCTTTGGAACATTTATATTTATATTAGAATTGTTCATTAAAACTGTATAATAAAAATCATTGTCTCTTAGTTCAACTAACATTATTCTGCTTTTACAGATGTATAATATTATTTTGAAATATATACACCTTTATAAACATGCTCTGTTTATTTTAAATCAGGTAGCATTAAAACGACTTTCACTTAGGTAGAATTGAAATTACCTTAACAACAATAATTATATTTTTAAAATCTTTATGAAATCTAAATAAAACGATTGCTTTGTTGATAATTTAAGGTACCCAAAAGAGCTTACTCAAAGAGTGTGTCGAGTGAACACGAAATTAAGCTTATTACCTATGTACATAAAAAATATATAATTGAAATGCTAGATAACTTCTAGGGAGTCAGCTTTTTAAATTATTTTTTAAAATTTGATCTCGCTTTTTAAACTTGAACCATGGAGGAAGCTATTACCATCTTGATTTTTTATTTACCCAAGAACAACATTATCATTTTCAGTAGATATGAATTTTCATGTCCAGAATATTATTTAGTCATCAAATGCTACTTGATTACTGTTATTGCCATAATTACATCTACACGTTTTTCAATTGATCTAAACATAATTTTATCAACATTTAAAACATGAACTGATATAGAAATTCATCGCTAAACTAATGTTAAATAAATTAACAAATTTTCCAAAATTTTTTAAAAAGAATTGTGTGGTCAATGTCATTTTGGTTCTGGCTCAATACAACACTGATCAACACAAAAATTTGTAACATTTCAAATTGTTTCTAAATTATTTCGATTAATGAATTACGTAACATAATTTTTAAAAATATAATATCACAGGTATAATCAATTTAGGCTATCTACATACTTTAACTTAGAGTTTGAATTGACCTAAGGATAAAATTGTGAGTTGTTTTTCTTGATGTTAACGCTATTCAAAAAGAGCTAAAGCTTTCGTGATTACTTAGAAAAAACACATTAATTGCTCATTTGTACTAGAAATTAGAGCCCATTTGGAGTTACATTTATCATTTGCTGTTATGGTTCTTGGGACGCATGAAAAACCTTGGCTCATTCTTTTTCTAAAAACCATAAACTACTCCATATCATATAACCAATGCTTATTTTATTAGTCGATACAATTATTTATAATAACATATGTTGCATATGTATTTTTATTCAAGGTCAAAGCATGCAACTTTTATATAAAAGTAATTATTACTATATAAAAACAAGTTTATTAACAAAATGTAGCTTTTTAAAGATAATTTTGTAGTTCTTGCTACAATTATGTATTATCTGTCTCGGTATTTGAATAATGAGCATACTATTTAAATGATATAAACTCACTTTTAACAAATTATATCGATTCGTTCTTGTGAAACATTCAGTATTATTTCAAAGTCTTTAGTCCATTGCTGCTACAAGTTTGAAATAAGGATTAGTAAAAAATATATATCTTAAATTCAGCATAACCGTATGTTAAAATTCTTTTATATTTTTCATATGTAGGAAATAAATAAGACAAACAAAATTACATATTTTCCAATACAAATATAGCAACCAACTGTTTGCATAATTTTCGGCGGAAATGAATGAAATCATTATAATATTTAAGTCTAATTGAAATTTCCTTTCATAAATCTTTCTTGAAGGTTTAAAGTTGTACACAAACTGTTGTCAGATTTACTAAAGTAAACTTAAGTTCACTGATTATTTACTCTACATATTACTATAGTTATGCTTTTGTTATAGAAGTTGTGTTTTTTAATTTTAATTTAGTAGTTTGATAGATGCTTTTATATCAAGCTTTTTAAATCTACCTTTAAAGATTTTTAATTTAAAATTTATTTCAGAATTTCGATAAGTGCCATTTCGATTCAACGGCTACAGTACCTGTTCATTTGATAGATATGATTTCAAAGACAATGTTTCTTAATTTAAATACGCTGATTTATTTAAAATTACAAACATTTTATTGCACGTTCACATGCCCCCCCCCCCTCCCATCCCCCGCTACTGAACATCTCCTACTGTTAAGTTTGGTTTAATATATATTTTTGTGGTATTTTAAATTGATTTTGTACGTTGAATTTTTTTTCGTGCATCTATTTTATACATGGAAACAATATCTAACAAACAAATATGTAGAATAATTTTGGACATAATTAAATATAGATGATATAGCAAAAATAAATAATGAAAACAGTTTCAATAAATGTATTGTTATATTAGTTGACAGTTCTGCGTTTGTTTGTTTTTTTGTGTATGTTTTTTGTTTGTTTTTTTCTAAACAAAAATTGCTAGCTTGTGGTTTGTCATTTGAATAAATAATAATTAGAACTTTTCAATCATCGGGTCATTAACCTTGTGACCTGTCAGACGAAAAATTACTAAATTAAAATTCTCAAGCTTCGACATACATACAATTAAATTAATATAAATAGTGAATGTAGTTTGACAGAACCCACAGTGGAGTAACGTTTTCTTCGACACAGCGACTCACTTCCAGACGGAGCCCCCCCCCCCCCCCCCCCAAGAAAGTCTACCCCCCCCCCCCCCCCGAAGAAAGTTTACCGTCCCGTTCCCCCCCCCCCTCCGAAAATTTCAAGTGCCCCCCCCCCCCCCCCCACCCGGAGATAAAAGTCTGGAAGAGACTCTTTTTAGCAGGAAGTGACTTATGTTCGTTAGTTAGTTCGTTCGTTCGTTCATTCATTCATTTACTCATTTATCCATTCATTCAAAGTATCCTGGAACCCTTATTTGTGTTCTGTTTTGCTGTTCTTTTACAGTCTGAAAAAAAAAGATTGACGTCAGTCATTGAAATAACTTAGAGTGGCAAAGAGCGGGGAGGGAGGGGGGCGGTAGGGAGCGTCCTATCATGTAACAGGTTATTTTATTCCAATTGAACGCAGACACTTACTACTGAGATAGCAATTTTTGTCTTCACTCTTCTGTACCGTTCAAACTATGTTGGGGGATATGATAATTATCGATCAAAAGCGAAAGAGATACTAGTTGTTTTTTTTTCTGTTTATAGCTGAAACCCACAATGTCGTAACGATGACTAAAGAATGATAAATTGTGCTTTTGTTTTTTCCTAAAACAAAATTACGGTATAAATATGTCGCTCTGTCTTGTATTCTGAAGGGTATTGTTAGGGCTAGATTGTAATTTAGTGATATTTTAGGGCTTGAATTTATTTATAGACATGATGAAACGTTTGATTTGTTTAGTAATTGTTAATTATTGTAAACGTGAAAGCATCGATGACACGAACTCGTATGTTTCTGTATGGGGAAGTGGCACAAAGGTTTCAATGCAATGACATGGGGATGACATTTACCATGATAGAGAAATGACATCCGGCATGGTGTTACAGAAAATGACATTCAATATCATATAGTAGGAAATGACATCCAGCATGGGGTTACAGGAAATGACATTCAATATGATATTTTAGGTGATCAGGGAATCCCGTTCAACATAATATAACAGGGAAGTAACATCCTGAATGGTGTTATAGGGAATGACATTCAACTTGATATAGACGAAAAAGACATGCAGCATGGTGTTACAGAGGGTGACATTTAAACATGATATAGTAGAAGGTGATGGTTTTACGGGAAGTGACGTATATCATGATATGATAGGAAGTGATCCTCGCCATTATTCGTGACTATAATTAGAATTTAGGTTTGAAACGAAGCATAACCATTTGTCGGTCTCTTTATAAAGATGCAGGACTTTTGGCCTACCCTAACATACCCCGTGCAGAGTTTCTTCCAGTTTCTTCGGGGGGGGGGGGGAGGTCTATGCCCCACCGAAGAAAGTCTACCCCTCCCCCCGAACGAAATGGAATATATTGAAAATATATAATATATACTTTTACCAGTTTCCGCCCCCCCGGAAAAATTTTGACCTCCCCCCTCCCCCGAATATATCAAGTGAGAAAAAAAGTCTGGAAGAAACACTGACCTCGTGCACGACATCCGCGAGACTGGCACCCCACTGGACCCGGAGAAAAATAGAATTAAGACAAGTTGTTTTCAGCTGTATCTGAAACATTTCCTGAGCTTTTACTTAAAATAAAATTGTTCATATTGAACATAATAAGTGACAGGTAAAACTTCTTTATTGTTAAAATAAGAAAGCATTTTTGTTTTAGCTAAAAAATGTATTTTTGGTTAAAACAAGAGGGTCGGTGAAATCGTATTTGAAAATATACTCGCTAGTTAATTAGTACTGCCATAATTTGCTGTTTTACGCGATGCCTAACATTCAATTTATTTCAATTCAATTTATTCATTTCAATTTATTCAATAACGGTAATAATATTGTAGACACGGAGGCCTTTTTTTCACATTGGCCGTTTAAAATAAACAAACAAAACAACAACGTAAAAACAACATTTAAAAAAACAATTGTGTAGTAAAGAGAAAGCAGTAGCATAGCGTCCAATATGTCTTTGTTACGCTTTACCGTAACGTCCAGCTAGAATTCGAGAGAAATATAAATATGTATAATCGTAATAAATGTCCAGGGATATTCAAGAAATCATATGTACTAGAAAACAAAGGGCTGATGGCAACAGCTGTTGTTGCCTAAAGCATACGGAGCTCTAGGAAAATTATAATTAAATGAGTGGTCGCGTAACCCCAGTAATGTCACCAAGTGGGGATGACACCCCCTCACACCCCTCCTAGGTACGCCTTTTTGTTTACAACTCTACCCGTCACTGTGCTCATATGACGTCACCAGGTGTAAAGGGCAGAAGAGACGGGGAGGGGACGATCCCTAAAAGCGTTAATGTTTATGGGACGGAGCGCAGACGACAATCGAATCGAGCTCTGTGATTGGTTGTCTGCAGATTGTGCATTGTGCTGCCCGTGCAATGCGACCGCATCGAGAATTCTGGACAGTGCTGCAGCCTGCAGACCATAGAACACGCTAGAACGTATGTACCTCTCTACTTTATGGTTGTAAAAGTTGTTTTACTTCATGTTGTAAGTGATGTTACTTTATAAGTTATTTTTATTTCGTATACGTCATTTTGTTTTTGTATTAGCTATTTTACTTTCGTATAAGTTATTTCACTTTCTTATAAGTTATTTTACTTTTGTGTAAGTTTTTTTTTTCTTTATTGTCGTCCTACACTTTTTCATTATTTTCAAGTCTGATAAGTTATTTTACTTTATAGTCGTATAAGTTACTTAACTTTCAAGTTATAAAAAACGTGTTTTTCTTTTTGTCGCTACGGTTTTTTTTAATTTAGTCTGCTGAGCTCTGTTTATTTTTTTAATTTTTGTTGACTCATAAGCTATTTTTATTTATAGTCGTATGCTAGTTGTTTCTACTTTTTAGTTGAAAATTTTGTTAGTTTTTTATATTTTCACTTTATAGTCGCATAAGGTATTTTAATCTATTTCCGCGTAATTCCTATTACTTTAAACTATAAATTTTGACCTTGTGGTATTATGATAAAATGTGTTTAGCTTATTAAAGTATTTTTTAAAAAATACACATATTTCGATAAAAATCGAATGTATCATTTAGAATTTAGTAATTGATAATTCATAAATTCGGCATTTAAAAACCTTTAACTATATATTTCGAACGTTTTGAACTTCTAAAGCCAACATGTTTCGTTTTATTACGATGCGAGGTATATAAAATGTTCACACTAATGCGGCCAGCGGTTAAATTCGCGAATGTACTACGCCTTTAATTGCCCGCAAAGCACCATAAACTATACATCCACCTGACAATGAAACACCCGTGTACATTGTGGTGTAGTGATGGGGCGGGGGGGGGGGGTGTCTATCCACAAGCGTTGAACGTGGTAAAAAGTTAAAACTCAAGAAGTGATTGACGTTGTATTGATGTGAGATACCGGTGGACAAACAGAACTTAACCTGGTCTGTTAACAGTTGTTCTTATTATAACACTACATTACTTTGATATTAACATTTCATAGGCACTAATGCATTACCTGTTGTGTACATACTTTCTGCTTATATAGAATAATCTATCTAAAACGTACAACACAAATATGTTAAATCGGAGTCTACTATTACTATTATATTACAAGTAATTATTTGCTTGAATATTAATATCTGTGCATATTTCTAAAATGTTATAAAATATTCAATTTTGGTTGAAAAATATCCTTTCTGGCAACAACCATTTGAAACCGGTTTCAAGCCTTTTGAATTACTGTACGATATTAATTTTAAAAGAAACTTTTGCTAAAAAAATTACACTCGGCTTTATTTAAGAAATAAAGTTATGAAGGGTTTATACGAATGTATACGGTTTTGAAAAGTAAGAATTGTACATATTAAAAACAGAATCGTCCTCAATAGGCTGAATTTTAAAAACAATATTGTTTAAAATTAAATACTTAATGATTTAGATAACAGCGGCCCAACTACACCGCCTAACTACTGGGAGATGGAGATAGCAAACATATTAGCGGTTAAATAATCTAGCTCAAAATAATTTTAAAATTTAAAAGGTTCACCATATTTTGAATAATTTACAATTTTTAGCATATTTGCGCACTTTGAAATTGTTACTTTTATATTTTTATAATGAGTTGCTTTTTATTGTCAGTCTATTCTGCAACAATGTCTTTTTTGAAAACTAAAGTCTTTTAGGGAATAGCCATAAAGACTGTCATACATCAATGAAGTATGGCTTTTTTTTTCTCGTTAGTAATGCCAAATACTTCAAAATTATTTTCATCTACATAACTGCAATTAAGATTGTTACATTAATTAAACAATCCCAACTCTCTGAGTTAACCTTTGTACTTTATAATTAAAGACAGCTTAGGCGACACGTCTTGTCTCTGGCTTTATCTGTAGATAACGACCTCACAGGTACATATCAGCTACACGGTAATCAAGGGACGTAACTACAATTTAGACAGTACAAGGGACGTAATGATTAGTAACAAGAAATAACGTAGAAAGATTGTTTACATTTGAAAAAGTTTTAAGAAGAAATTTAATGTACAAGTAAGAAATACATGTGTTCAAATTATCAAAATAAACAAAGTTTGCTTCATACATAAGCTTTTATTTATATTATGTTTTATGTTAGGAATCAGAGTTTCTTCCAGGCATCTCTTGGGGGGAGGGGCAGAAGAATGTGTACCGCCCCCCTCCCGGAAAATTTAGTCTGCCCCTTCCCCCCTCCCCCCCCCCCCCCCAAAAAAAAAATTCCAAGTGCCACCACCCCCCCCCCCACCCCTACCCCCGGAGAAAAAAAGTCTGAAAGAAATACTGTTCAAAATTACCACTGTAAAAATTGGCATGTATGTAATCAATAGTTGTATTTTGTGAAAAGTGTGTACCTTCCATTAGCCTAGATGACACTTCGCCATTAAAAACAAAGGAAGTCATTAATTATGTCACGTTTAAAAAAAAACAATTATTTTTACCTTTTAGCCAGACCGCTCATTCTAAGATGACCTCACACCTCAGCCCACCACACCTCCAAAATGTCAATCTTCCCCTCCCCCATTACAACTCCACCGTCACCTCTTCTCTCGCCCCCTCCCCCACACACCCCTCACCCTTCCATTTAAACGCCACTGTAACATTTGTAAATGTCTATTTTTTTCCCTCAATATCGATTATGCTACATGCAGCTCTGCCGGGGAAACCCTCAGAAAACAAACGCCCCGTTCCTCACCTGCCCCCTGTCTTATTTTTAACAGCAATAAATTATTGAAAACAAGTGTTTCATTTATGCTAATGCGACGTGGTAAATACGTGGTGTTTAATCTCGGTTTTCTTCTAACACGGTTAGATAGCAATGGGTTTTGTTACAGAATTTATATCTTTAGTTATCAGTATTGACAACACTAAGTTACATTACAATCATTGCCATGGAAGCTTTAAATAGCTATTATTATAAGAAACATTACGTTAAAGTTAAAATAATTATTATGGAATAGTTTTATAGTTATTAGTATTAGAAAAAGTAAGTTAAATTATATAGGTCTACTATAGCTACAGAAAAATTATATATTTATATAAGAATTTATATATTTATATAAGAAACATTACGTTAAAGTTAAAATAATTATTATGGAATAGTTTTATAGTTATTAGTATTAGAAAAAGTAAGTTAAATTATATAGGTCTACTATAGCTACAGAAACATTATATATTTAATATTTAATAGCATTATTATTAATTTAAATAAAAAACAACATGTACAAAAAATGTAAAAGGTTTAAATAAATGTTTTATTAAACACCTGTTAGGAAACTGTCTAAGTAGTTGTGTATTTTGATTATACTGTATTCATAACATGTCTTCTTAGAACTAGCATAAAAGATAAAACATTTTTTTTTTAAATTTCTTAAATCCACTACTGCATATTTAAAAATGCTTGTACACAAACAAGTTTTAAAATTAAAGCAATATAAACATTTGAATAAACCATAGAACTGACGGCAAATATGTACGAAAATAATTTGTCACAAATACGTAATTAAGGCTATGTTGATTATATTTTAGTACGTATTTATTTGTCTAAGATCACCCCCCCCCCCCCCCCCCCCAATCTTCCTCCCTATCATTTTCACCTTATTCACGTCACAAGACCAGTTTCTGTGATGCTGTTCTTCCATAGGTCCAAAAATATTTGTATTCATGGTAGCTGTATTCGAACTGTATTTATTGAAATGGGGTCACCCATAAATGACGTCACGCTTTTTTTGACGATTTTCTCTTAAGTTCTCTGCATTTGCAACTTTTTACCATTAATTCTTAAATATTAAACTTTATAATTATTTTCAAAGATAAATTTTTTATTTTTTTAATGACCACTATGAAAGCAAAATTGACAAAAGCACGTATTTTGTAAATGTTAGTAATAAGGATGGAATGATTTTCGTAAACTGCTCGTTGTTCATTGAATTTTTGTGCATACTTATATTTACTTTATTTTCATCAGAATTATTAAGCCCAGCCACGAGATGAATAAGATGTACAACAACAAAACAACTAGAAGTGAGATGTGCAACTTCTGAAGATACCCAACAACATTTTTATTTCGCAAAACTTTTTTTGTAACACAGCGACACTTACTATGGCGCGTGGCCTGCTCAAATTCCTTTTAGCGGTGGGACTCCTGCATCAAGTGCACTCCCTAGCGCACAAACAAGTTCTCTCCCTTTTTAAAGAGAAGTTCACTCGTGATGTTTACAGTCCCCGGAACCGACCTGTCAAAAACAGTTTGGACACCATGATCGTGACCGTCAACATAATAACCAATTCCATCTTCAACGTTGATATGAATTCGGAAAAAATCCATCTTGGCGAAAGTTTATTTTTCTCTTGGACTGATGAGGTAATTTCTTCAACTGTTGTTTACGTTTTTTACAATACCTTCGGTAACACTACTAATCACTGCTTCAACATAAGTAGACTTTTCCGGTAACATTATCAAACTTAGGAAACATTGAATTCAAACAAATTTAACATTGCTCAAACTCAGATACAAATACTTAAGCTTAGATAACATTAAACACAGATAAAATTACTCAAACTCAGATAAAATTACTCATACTTAGGTATCATTAAACTAAAATAAAATTACTCTAACTCAAATAAAGTTATTCAAACTTAGGTAACATTAAACTGAGATAAAATTACTCAAACTCAGATACAATCACTTAAACGTAGGTAACATTACTCAAATTAGGTACTGTGGTGGGGGGAATTGACTTCTCTTCTTATTTTATTACTCTCCTTCTTATCAACGAACATATATTTACTACTGTGACGAGGACGAGGATACTCTCAATTCCGTGCTTTAAATAAGACAACTCGAAGGTCAATTTGATTCACATTTAATTATTTCACATCTGATGCTTGAATATACTAGACTTGACACAATATATACTTCTTTGCTACACCTACTGTTCAATGTTTCCTACACTATTGTCACTATACTGTTCCCTAACTCTACACTTGTACACGTCCTCTCACTACAAATTCTCAACCCCGACTGCCTAGATTCAACTGTCTCCTAACCCTCATCGTCCTCACTTCCTTGTCTTGTCCATCCGGTCTAACCTAATTTGCATGTCGCCACAGTTCTGGAGTACCTGATTAAAATGTCAGACCCTGCTAATAAACTACCCCCATTACGGTCACCCAGGCCAACTAGATACGTGTCTGCTACACCTACCCCCACAATGATGTCGCCCGTAATTACAATCTAATTCTAACCCGTGCTTCGTCGATCGTCTCCGTCACGTACACTGTCTATCCTACACCTGCATCTACGCCACCACAGGTACCCTTACTCAATTTTAGTCAACATCAAACTCAAATAAAATTACTCAAGCATTTTTAACATTGCTATAACTCATGTAACATTTACTTCAACTCATATAACTGTAATCAACTCTAAACCATCCGCTTCACCTACTTTTTAAATATTAACAGAGCACTTTTATCACTTTGCATTGTTTTAACTTTTTAACCTAAGTATCTTTTTAGAATCGTGAACTTTAATTGATGTAGTTTTATCAACTGCTTTGTCAAATGCACAATTTTTTATTAATAAAGTTAAACTGTATATATTTTAACATCTATTACCTGAGCGCAGTGGCGTAGCGAGGTCGGGTGTAACCCGGTGCGGCACTTAATGGTGTCACCCCCTAGAGGCGTAGCGACCCTTCCCGTTGGCAAACTTTCAAGTTTTCGATTTGCTCCCCCCTCTCAAACTTTCGATTTGCACCCCCCCCCCAAGTATTCGATTTGCACCCCCCTCCCTCAAACTTTCGATTTGCACCCCCCCCTCTCAAGTTTTTCTCCATATATTTTGCTATTTTTTGCCTTGGTGTCACCCACCTAAATGGTGTCACCCGGTGCGGTCCGCACCCCCCCCCCTCGCTACGCCACTGCCTTAGCGTATGCATCTTTTATATTTGATTTGTTTACACATTCATGTATGAACAGTTTCTGACCTGGAATCCTGATGATTACGGGGGTGTACAGGTCATAAAGACCCACCCAATGATGATATGGCTTCCTCTTGTTTATTCAGTACTGCCCGCGACGAACAATGAACCATTTGCTGACGCTCAAGGGTAATTGCATCTCTAATTAGCTTCTAAGAAATTGAAGGGATGGTGGGGTCGGCGTGGTCGAGTCGGTAAAGCTCATGGTTGCTAAACCGAAAAGTCTCGAGTTCGAGCTCGTTAGCTGGGGACAGCCACTCTTCTAGGAGAGACAACTCCAAAATCAAACAACTGCTGCCTTGTAGGTTGTTCTTGGTTGGACAAAGACTATGGAAGCAAATCCAAAAAGAAAAGCAGGCTGAAATCGGAGTCAATGGCCTCAATGGCGCAAAACCAGTTGACGCCTAATCCTTAATTGTGATGGAAGCATGATCGAGTCGGCAAAAAGCTCATGGTTGATAAATTCGATAAATGTCTCGAGTTCAAACCCACTGGCAGATAAGGCTCGATCCCTCCCAACACTAAAAATTAAGAACGAAGAAGAAGAAGAAGAAGAAGGGATAGTGTGCCCAGCTTTACGCCCGGCCGCCTTTACTTTCCCAAACGTGAGTTAGGTATCCATCACAGCTGGGTAGACTCGGGAACGTTCTACTGTCGTGAACCCGGATTTGAACTTGAGACATTCACGTAAGCAGTCTAGCGCTCTATCGCTAGGCCAGGCCGCCCTTGTCTATTTAGTCACATCAATATGATTATACCTGTATATTTAAAGTTAGATGTGTGAGGAGAGAGCACCTGAAGTAAACAGTATTCGTGTTAGATTATGTCTTGTGATTGATGTACCCAGTGGCGTAGCGAGGTCGGGTGTCACCCGGTGCGGCACTTAATGGTGTACCGTGTCACCCCCCAGAGGCGTAGCGACCCTTCCCGGGGACAAACTTTCAAATTTTCGATTTGCATCCACCCCCCCCCCCAAAACTTGCGATTTGCACCCCCCCCCCTCAAGTTTTCGATTTGCACCCCCCCTCCCCTCAAGTTTTTCTCTATATATTTTGCTATTTTTTGCCTTGGTGTCACCCTCCCTGTAAACACTTGCCTTAATAGCAGACTCCCAGTAGTCACTTGCCTTAATAGCAGACTCCCAGTAGTCACTTGCCTTAATAGCAGACTCCCAGTAGTCACTTTTCTTAATAGCAGACACCCAGTAGTCACTTGCCTTAATATCAGACTCCCAGTAGTCACTTGCCTTAATAGCAGACTCCCAGTAGTCACTTGCTTTAATAGCAGACTCCCAGTAGTCACTTGTCTTAATGGCAGACACCTGTTTTAATGTAGCCGCATTTCCCAGACTCAGACTCCTTGTAGCTATATGTCCTAACGCCAGACCACCTGTCTCTCTACAGCCAGGTGATTGTACGTCATGATGGACTTGTCTTTTGGAAACCAGGATCTCTCCCTTTAGGTGCAGACTGTGTAGAAGATTTTTTTGACCGGATGGACTGTGAAGCACAGGTGCTTACGTAAACTGGTGGTGTTTTATTTGGTGGTTATTGTGGTGGTTATTGTGGTGGTTATTGTGGTGGTTATTGTGGTGGTCATTGTAGTGGTTATTGTGGTGGTTATTGTGGTGGTCATTGTGGTGGTTATTGTGGTGGTTATTGTGGTGGTCATTGTGGTGGTTATTGTGGTGGTTATTTTGGTGGTTATTGTGGTGGTCATTGTGGTGGTTATTGTGGTGGTTATTGTGGTGGTTATTTTGGTGGTTATTCAAGTGGTTAAAGTTGTGGTATATTTAGTGGTTATTTTGGTGTTTATTGTGGTTGTTATTGTGGTGGTTATTATGGTGGTTATTGTGGTGGTTATTGTGGTGGTTATTGTGGTGGTTATTGTGGTGGTTATTGTGGTGGTTATTATGGTGGTTATTATGGTGGTTATTGTGGTGGTAATTCAAGTGGTTAAAGTTGGGGTTTATTTAGTGGTTATTGTGGTGGTTATTGTGGTGTTTATTGTGGTGGTTATTGTGGTGGTTATTATGGTGGTTATTATGGTGGTTATTGTGGTGGTAATTCAAGTGGTTAAAGTTGGGGTTTATTTAGTGGTTATTGTGGTGGTTATTGTGGTGTTTATTGTGGTGGTTATTGTGGTGGTTATTATGGTGGTTATTATGGTGGTTATTGTGGTGGTAATTCAAGTGGTTAAAGTTGGGGTTTATTTAGTGGTTATTGTGGTGGTTATTGTTGTGGTTATTATGGTGGTTATTGTGGTGGTTATCTTGGTGGTTATTGTGGTGGTTTTTGTGGTGGTTTTTGTGGTGGTTATTATGGTGGTTATTGTGGTGGTTATCTTCGTGGTTATTGTGGTGGTTTTTGTGGTGGTTATTGTGGTGGTTATTGTGGTGGTTATTGTGGTGGTTATTGTAGTGGTTATTGTGGTGGTTATTGTGGTGGTTATTGTGGTGGTTATTGTGGTGGTTATTGTGGTGGTTATTGTGGTGGTTATTATCGTCGTTTTTTGTGGTAGTTAATGTTATAATTATTTATCAAGGTAGGCATTGTGCCGGTATTACCAATGTTATTTGGTTATTGTCTGTTTTTCACCTTTTAGGATATTTTTTTAGCTAGTTGCTATGAAATAGCCGGCTAATACAATGATCTTTGCTTACAGCTAGCCTCAAAGATACACCCAGCAAATGAGTTAGCTTTTGTGATAAAGATACATCAAACGCAGAAAACCAGCGACACGTTGGATGTTGAGTGGAAGCTTCTACAAAAAAGTATTACCACGATCAACAAAACGCTATGGTCATTAGATCAATCCTTTTCGACTATCCAGGTAAATAACTTCTCAAAACAAATCATCATCTTGTCTCTTTCTTGCCTAAAATTAATAGCGGTACATTTATTTCATTGTTTTTGGATCAGAGGTGAAGATCGGATATTGGACGATCTGCAGTATTGAGTCTAGGGTTTTAAACTAGTGTTTCTTCCAGGCAGGGGTGTTTTTGTATTTTCAAATATTTTTCTACGCAACAGCGTGGGATAGCTACTGTAGAACAATCACTGCTATAGAAGAATTGTTTGTTGTTTCATAAAACCATTGTCAACGTACGCGAAAAACATTATTTATAAAAAGAAAAAAAAATCATTGTTTATTTGGTCTGAATTGGGCCTCTAAATGTCCTGCCATCTCACCCCCATCCCCCCTCTGCATTGCGCGGTCTATCGGCATGGTAGTTCCGCTCCTGATATGTGCAACAAAATAGTAATTATTGAATATTAGACAGGCGACTTATTGAAATACATTATGGATAGTTAATTAGCAGAGACATTAGCTTTGATTCGAGAACTTTTAAAGCAAATTTGTACAATCGTCAAAACTAATATTATTTGCTTACGTTAAATTATTTTCTGTGATATTTGTTACCTGGGAACACTTGTGATTTACATTTCGACTTTTTTGTCCTATTAAAATTCCGCTCATTTGTTTATCAATGTAAATTATAACCAACATATAACCCACTGCGTGCTTTGATAAATGTTTCAGTTTGATTTTACAATCGGGCGCCCGTTTACACTAACTGATCTGGTTCTTGTGAGTTCGATGGCGATGTTCTCTTTAATGTGTGTGGTGGTCTTGGTTCTCTTTCCCGTACCGAGCACAAAACTTGTCACTGGTAAAATTTTCATCATTGTTCTTATTTAAAGAAGCTTGTTTAAAGGTTAACAAAAGTAGCCAATATGCGTGTTCATGTAAAAGATGTATATTTGTGTATGTTTATATAAGTATATATATATATGTATATATATATATATATATATATATATATATATATATATATATATATATATATATATATATATATATATGTTTGTATATGTAAGTTATGTGTATGTATATATTTATATATTTATTTAATTAGATTTTTTTCAAAATACATACAAAATTACCTATACTATAATTGCGTCGTTTATATGCATAGCTATTGACAGTACATTTAACGTTATCGTGTTTATTATACTTGCAATCATACACATTTCTCTAAGTCATTTTATCTTAGATAAAATTGTAACTAGGGAAGAAAGCACTAAATTTGCATTCTTGACATTTGAGATAAGCTAAAAACGTCATCCATCGTATAAATCTCCAGCTACATTGTTGATTTTGGCACACGGCTGTTTTCTGAGAGCTAGCGGTTATGATTTGCCGAACCTAGCGAGTCTGATGAATGTACCAGTCTCCATATTCGTTGGTGCCATATTAGTGAAGTACGTTGTTGACGTCTGCGAGCGGGAGAGGGTGAGTACGGTTGTTTGACATGAAGGTTTTTTATGACCATCATAATACATAAACATGTCTTTGATTAAAGATTGTGAGGGTAATGTGTTTCTTGAAGGTTTTATTACCAAAAGATAAACTAAACATGTCTTTGAAAACTATCTAGAAAAAATTAGTAATGCTATGTTATGTTTTACATGACGGTATCATATTACTCTACTATTAATATAATGTGTGCTTGATAACTCCATGGAAAAGATTATTATAAGGTCTCTCATAAAGGTTTCATTACCATGACATAATATTATAATAAGTCTTTGATAACTTTATATTTACTGCGATACTTATTTTGCTTATCTAGAAAAAAAAGAACATTCTAAAGGCAGGAAAGAGAAAGGCCAATTTCCATACTCAGAAGACAAAGTCACGCAAAACGGCCGAGCAAAATGGCGAAAATTTTGAAGATGCTGACACGCCCTCCACTGATACTGAACTCAGCGACATCAACAACAAAATAAAACTTTACAAAACATTAGCAGATAAGTTTTATTGGGTAGCTACGTTCATTTTCTGTGCATCATGGTTGTGTGCCGTAGCTTTCGTTAGATCCGAGGTAGAGTTTTAAAATAGCCTGCTGCCTGATCTTCTTTTTAAGCGGGACATTGGTTTACCTCAAAATGTTTAGAGTAAAATACCATATATCTGTTTAAAATGATTTATATAAAGGCAAAATCACAATTGGCATTTAATGTATCTAAATTTATTTATTTTTACCTTGGAACACATTTTTATCTAAATTAGAACCGTTTTTTAAACTATTTAATAAAAGACTTTTTTGTTTAGTTTTACTGACTCCGCACAAAATTTAAAGATGTATAAAATTATTATGGAAGTTTTTGCATCTCTATATTCTTAATTTCTTTCCTACTTTAAGCTTAGTAGCCTTGAAACTGCTTCTAGTACAATAATTAGGATTTTTAAAACTGTGAAACATGTATTAAATCTTGTTTGAAATTTTGTTTAAAAAATTATAGTAAAGCACACTGCGTGTGTTTAAATAGTGTCAAGAAACTACATCAAGAACATATAACGCCCAAAAAAAAAATGAAACGCAAGTACCCTGCATTACTTTTGCGTTCTTGCTGCGTTTTTTTAATCATTACAAAAAATATTTCGCGATTTGTTATTTATCCAAGGGCAAGATTAATTTTGTGAGGAGTAGATCTTTATTTTCATGTCTAGAATATTTAGTCACCAATCGCTACATGGTTACTGCTTGGTTACCATAATGACATCTAGATATTTTCTCTGCAATCTAACATAATTTCAGCAACTAGATTTTAACCGTGTGATAACACAGAAATTAATTACAAAACAAATCTATATATATAATTCTCCTCTTCGAGCCGTTAGAAAACAAGCTGCAAACGCTCTCCTTACCTCCCCACCCCTACATGGTTTTAGTGAGCTGTGTTCACTCTAAATGTTTACAAGCAGAGCCAACGATTTTAAACGTAGGGGGGGGGGGGGAAGGAAGGGGGGGGTTATGGTCCTTAACGAGCTACTTATAGTGTTTTAAAGAAATATTTTCAGTGTCATCGTTGGTACTGTCGAATTCACAAATTATGAATTATTGAAAATTAGAAACAACTAAATAGCGGCGTATGTTATGCCGCGGGCCGGCTCGTATTGAATAAATAAATTATTTTTGAGGTTTCCTAACCCGTGCAAAAGAATTGTATGGTCCATGACATTTTGGTTCTGACTCAAACATTGCACCATACAACAATGATTTATTTACACAAATTTTTATCTTTTACAAAATAATTTTAATCTAATTTCTATATCAAATAAATACATTACATTTATTTCAAAAATGAAAGAAAACCGCAATAATGTTTAAGCCTTCTCACATTTTAACTATTGTCAGATACTCTCTAACGGTAACTCGTGTTTAATGTTTACAATATTACATACGAGCTGGTATAATTACGATATTAAGATTATACACATTAACTCGGAATTTTTTGTGGAAAGTAGCTCTATCTTTACAGATTATTTTACTGCTTGTAAACATTTTAGATTTTTTTTTCAAAGAAAGCAAATCTACCCCATGTTTTAACTAGTCAACTTTAGGCATTTTTAGGCATTTTAACCGTTTGTTCTAAATCTTTTACATATTAAATAACCAGGAAAATTATGTCAAACATGTATGTATATTTGAAAGTCTACATATAATATTGATACATTTATTTAGATGTATGTATCTTTATTCATTAATCATTAAAAATTTTGTTATAAATACTACATATACAGTTTATAAAATTATCAAATTAATTGCCATATTTGTAAAATGCTAAATTGATTGATATATTAGTTTAAGAGATATTTTTATTTCAACTTTTGATATCCACCTTAAAAGTTTTTTTAGCTAAAAGTATAGTTAAAAAATGTGAGGAGTAGAGTAACGATTAAAATCAAAATTAGCTATTAATTCATGTTCTCTATACAGCGAATAGTTTATTGGTTTCCCAATTTATTTTCTTTAGAGTTACATACATGTTAATAGATTTTTACTGTTGTGTTGTTTCTTTTAATCTCTAATTTAAGTTTACTTTAATAAAAGTATAGTTAAAATATTATATAAGCAGAATCTTAATTAAAATGTTTTAATATTATTGATGTTCTCTATTCAGCGAGTTGTGATTATTTTAAAGCCACCTCCATCTTGTTTCCAAGTTTAAGTATAAGGTTTCCTTTACAGTAATTTCAATTTTGGTGCACTTTCACTTCTGCTATTAGTTTGTTCTTTCTTAATCTTGTTTCTTATAATATTAGAACATTAGCCTTATTATTTTAAGATTATATTATTATTTTCACATTGAATCCGTTATTTAAATTACAAAAAATATTAACTTAATAATTTAACAATGTAACAATTTTTCCACAAATGTAACATTCATTAAGTTTACAGGGGAAGCTATCCGTGTTTTCTAAATTTTTATATAAAGATAACATGGTTACTGACCCTTATCCTATATATGTAAATTGAGAAAACTTTAACAACAATAACTTTTTTTTTAAAAAGAAGTTTTATAAAAACGTGTATTTTACATTCCACTTAAAACCCAACCTATTTATTTAGTAATATACATTTAAAACGTTAATGACTTTTATATTGATAAATGTGCTTGCTTCTATATAGCTATGTTTTTGTTGCTTTAAGTGTCCTTATTCTCTGACACATCAGAATAAAAGTCTTGAAAATACACCTGAGCCTATATGAATATCCGAAAATATCTTCAACACCTAGACCAACAGCTATGTTATATCATTTGTTATTATTTTTTGTATTATTTATTATATACACAGACACTACACATGTAATTTAGACCTGAAGCCCAGACTTAACAAATATCTTACAACTAGATACACATATACGTGTTAAAGTTTTATAAAACATATTTATATGGTATTTTAAATTTATTTTAGTCGTAGAAGTTTTCTATCCATCCATCATTATACACACACAAGTATTTAACTGACACATATTTAATATATTTTGGACATAACAACAGTAGCTGCAGCAAAACAAACGAGGTAATAGTTTCAATAAATTTATTGTCCTAAATATTGTCAATTTTTGCGTTACTTTTCTTATTCTGTGGTCTTGTGGTAATTATATAAATACATATTAATTCTGTGGTCTTTTGGTTTGTTAAATAAATACATATTAATTAGAAGCTCCGACTTCTGAAGCTTGTTATATAAATAATTATTTAGAAGCCCCGACTTCTAAAGCTTAGAACTTAACAACTAATTAATTATTAATTAGCAGCTTTCAAGCCCCAGCTCATCTTACAGCCTCCCCACCTGTCGTCCGTGAAATCCAGGTAGTACTGGGTCCACTGGTTGGCCACCGCACACTGGCTAGCAGGCGCCCCTCCACCACACTGTTCTATCACGCCATCAGCCTCCCACTTGTAGCACATCTGCACCGCCTTCATCCAGTACGGTACGGAGTCTGGAACCTGCAGCATCCACCTCATTCTGCAGCCGCCGTTGCTGTTTCCGGTGTTGTCGAAGTACTGGGGTGTGTAGTTGTTGATGGTGGTGCAGAAGGTCTGACCCTTGTCCCCGCCACACTGGTTTATGTCGTTCTCCGCGTACCACTGGTAGCAAATCTTCACATCGTTGAACCAAGCTGGGTGGTTGGGAGAATGAATCGTCCACTACATCTTACAGCCTCCAATAGGGCTGTTAAGTAGGTCACCAACCATATATATATGGCTCATGCAGGTTTTATTGAGCTGTAGAACTGGTTGGTGACCTACTTACCAGCCCTATTCTCCAATCAGTCCAATCAGCATACCACTGTGTCATAGAGTTTACACCCGCACATAGCTGTTGGGGAACGCCTAACCCACCACATTGAAACCAGTCGAATGTCCCTTTCCAATACAAGCAGACCTTCGTGTTGTCTAAAAACCATTGCGGGACGGATACGTATTCTTCCGGATTTCTCGTTAGAAATTCTATAAAATTAAATTACTAAAAATGCAACATCTTGTATTTACTCATATGCTTATAAATGTAGTTAAAACGTGCTCTAAAATGTACCACGGTGTAAACCCTTCATACCAATGCTGATGACGATCCAGCCGTATACTTTTATCTCACATTAACTTGACTAACGACCCATGTGTCACCACTTAACCCACGTACCAGGAAAAAAAAATATATCTAAATTCTCTATTGGACGTCCATTGATGATGTCGCGCACCTACGCTGATGAGGTGGTAGGGGTGGAGCTTTTAGAAAATAATTACTAAAGAGCGGTTGGGGGGGGGGGGGGGGGGGAATAATTTCATCGGACCTCAAACTTTTGCATTTTGAAAAGGAATTTTAAACAAAATTTTACCCGTTATTTTGAAGAGAGAAAATTAAAATTATTTAAAAGTGTTTTGAATTTACTGGATCCATCTTCCGCTCAGTTAATAATTTAGAGAGAATATTACATGAAAATGAGTGGAGATGGGAGTGGGGACTCGTCCTAACAAAATAAGGATGTCATTTGCAGGAGATACCTAAATACTATGAGTTTATAAACAACAAAATACGACGTAACATATAGACTTCCCATTGACATATTAAAATCACTATTTTTTTAACTGTTGAATTTTAATTCGATGTACACATGTTTTTTAACATTATATAAACAAAAAACCTTTAATTCATATTTAACAATAGGTCAATTTAAAATAGAAATTGCGACAATAAAGCTGTTACAGGTGCCCGGCCTTGACCTCTCTGGCACCCTGCCATCTTCTGACCAACGGTTCTAACAAAAGACACAGTGACCCCAGCATGTAGGTCGCACCAACAACGTGAAACGACGCCACGAACGTCCCTGTCCTTTCTATGAGAAACCCTGGGGATACAAATAATATCGTCAAAAAATATGTTTTATTTAAACACTTGTATTTGTCTTATGCGCAAACGTATGGTTATAATTAGGACAGGACAAACCCCTTCACAATGTTATGTCATTTATTTATTTTCTTATATGTCTCTGCCAAATTATCTTGTTATTTGTCAACTGTATCATTAAATGGTCTAATAATTAATCAAGCGATGATTTTATTGTTGCTGTTCAGCAGCAGCAGGATCAGGGGTGTTGTGGGTAGGTTTACTTTCAGACGTTTTGCTCCGGGAAGAACACACCAAACTTCCGGTTACGAGGGGGTGGGGGCGCTTACCATTTCCGAGTGGTGAGGGACGATTGTTAAAATATATATTTTCAATATGCAAAAATATACATTTTTTTTTTCTATTTCGTCTGTGGGCGAGTGAAGGAGGGAAAGGCCGTTCACGTGCCCGGGGATCTACCCCCTACCCCATCTACCGGTAAAATGCCTTAAAAAAACTAGTTACATAGGTCAGATTAAGCTCCCCATGCACTCCCAAAATGACAAACTGGTGAATGAATAATAGAAATGTGTGAAAATATCATGCTCGCTGAGAAGTGTGGTGACATCTTTCGTAGCTGCTACATGTGACGACCGCCCTAGTGACGCCATTGTCTGACACACAAAAATAAAGCTAAACTGCATAATACCGGTCTTAAAGTTATACTTGAGTCTTATCATGCTCGAGTTCAAGCCCATCCACCTTGATATGATTCTTTATTTTAAACGATTAATAAGAAAGTAGCTTGTCTTAAAATCTGTTAAATGTAGTTATGCTAGAATTCTTATACAGCCTTTTATTTTAGCAAGTTTTTATTTTGTAATGAATCATGTACAGCTGTTGTTAAAAGTAGATTGGATTGAATTTTTATAGAGCATTGTATTTTTTTCAAGACTCATGTACAGCTATAGGGCTGGTAAGTAGGTTTTCAAACAGTTCTACTGCTCAATAAAACCTGCTTGAGCCATAGAACTGGTTGCTGACCTACTTACCAGCCCTATTACATAGAGTGTATTTTTTTAAAGAATTTTAATTACTGGGTAGTTACTACAACCACTTATTTATTTAGAAAAAAGAAACCTGCCTACCGTGAATAGGAAACTGTATACAAATGGCAACTGAAGCCGCTAGAGTCCCTAGAGCAAAGATCCTCCCTAGTGTGTCCACACCCAACAGGTCTACAATCAAGGGAGAGTTGAGACTCAGGTACGCGAAGCCTAAACTCCCCAGGGTGCACGCCATGAAGACCAGGGCGCCGAAATTTGTGAAAAACCTGGAGCAGTGGCAGACGACCGCCATAATTAGAAAAACTCCCGCCATGATCTTTCCAGGACGGATAAGGTGAAGGTCAGCGAAGTGTCCATAGGCGATGCAGGACAAGCAGTTGGTGATGCCCACAGCTGTGAGCAAGAAGGCGGCGTCGGATTGGTTGACGCCCACTTTGATAGCGTAAGACGGAAGGTACATGTATACAAAAACGCTACTGTTGAACATAGTGTAGCTGATTAGATACATCACCGCCAGGTAGTTCTTTAACAAAGACGGGTCGAATATCTTGATTGTAAGATGTAAACAGGCTCTAATTTTCTTTCTCAGGATGTAATGGTTGGTAATTTTCCTAACAGGTTGATGGTCATTTGCAGTCTTTAACATGTTATTGTCAAATAAACCTAAAACACGTGTTGTTTCATCTTCTTTTGACGACTCAGAGATCTGGTGATCTGAAAATACCATGCAAGTAACATCTTGGTCATTGTGCCTTTGGTTTTGTGTAGTAAATTCTTGTTCTTTGATTGCATTTAATTTTGAATCATCAACATTAGATTCTAAAATATTTTGAGGAAAGTTGTGAAATTCCGATTTTATATCACCAAGGGATATATATTTTTTACGTGTATTTTTATTTCTCAGTTTAAAATGTTTGCTACACGCCTGTTTTGATACGGAAATATTTTGAAAGCCATTTCTAATGAATAATTTATTTGTCTCCGCTTGGTTTTCTTTCGTTACAGAATTAATATCTGGTGTATTCTGTTTGCAATACATTTCCTGGTACTGCTCAGAAATATTTGGCAAACTTCGACTTTGTATGTCTTGAAAATTTGTATTTGAAACATCAAAATTCTGACCAACGTGTATAACGTCATCTGAATTTATATGAGTTTTTCCAATCCTCTCAACAGAAGTAACGTGATCGTGTTTTTGGTTTCTGAGAGCTTCCGTTGGGCAAGTTTCATCGCTTAGATTTGAAACAGTTGAAAGCTCGTTTAAATTTTCACAAGTGTTTTCTATGGCATGGAGGTCATTTGGTGGAACTTTTGGGCTAACATCGTAATACGACAATGGACGAAGCAGAAGAGCTGCAATTATTGAATGCATCTGAAAAGTGTCAAAATAAAACCGCGTTAAACATAATTTAAATTTATCTACGAGTACAAAATATTATCATTTTTTTTTTAAAATCACGTCCCTTGCGGACCATAGCGTCTTTGTCAAAGCTTTTTATTCTCCCCCGTCTCCAGTTACTCCTTTCAAATAACAAAGCTTGGATTTTTTTTTAGATCTGACAGTCTAGATTCTAGAAGATTGAATTGAAAAGTTAAGTCAGCGATGTCAGCAGTTCAAAGTGTTAAGTGGTTAAGACTTAAGATTAAAGGCTAAGAGATGTGGACTGAAATGTTCGAAGGTTAACATTTACATTAAAAGTTGAAAAATGATTAAGGTTTATGTTTAGTGATCGTTCTTGTTTTTGGAATTGTTGAAATGTATCTTCCACACGGTGACTGGAAAACTGCGCCACGGAAAATGCGCACAAATAGTGCGCAAGTGCATTTTTGTTTTCTTAAATCGAGAATTTATAGTCATTAACAAATATTGACATTGTAGCATTATAAAACATATTTCAACGAAATAAGACAATATTAAAGTGTATTAGTAAAATTAATTTGTATTTTCGCATTTTATATTTCCGATGGCGATTTTTTCTGGGAATCCTACCACACTTGCTAAAGCACGGGTTCCCAACCTGGGGTCGCGACCCCCCTGGGGGTCGCGAAGGTCTTTCTGGGGGGTCGCCAACTGGTATACTAAACCTTAGTAATTTGAAACAAAGCATAAATATTTTTAGAAGAATTTTTGAAATTCGGCTTCATTAACATCACTGGAAATGTAACAGAGAAGAAACAAAGCGCACTGTACAAAGTTGTTCTCTGTCACGAATCTATGAAATCTTCAAAACTAAAACGTCATTTGAGACGAGTCATTCGGAACACACCAAAAAATATATGGAGTTCTTTCGTCGGTAAGAAGCTAGTTGCAAACGCCAGAGACTTGATCGAACAGGAAGTTTTCACAAGCATTAGTGCAAGCATCAAATGAAGTCGCGATAGAAAATGCCAAGAAAAAAAACAATAGGAGAAAATCTCATCACACGCTGCATGTACGTAAATGTTAAATAACACATTTTTATGGAAATTAAGCTTTCACCATTGTTTGCTTTTCAAGTTGATAAATCAACAGACGTGAGTTCGTGTTCGCAGTTGCTTGTCTTTGTCTATATTCATGCGGATGATAGCAAAGAAGAGTTGCTCTTTTGTGAAGATAGCATGAAAAAAATAAATACCTTTTTTGAAACTGGATGATTAAAATGGGTTAGAACGGCATCTATGTTTAGCTCAAAATCGGGCTTTCAGAAAACAGAAAAGATTTAGCTCCCTAACCACTGCCCTAACCAATCGACATCAAGAGTCCATTGCTAGTATAAGTCGTAAATTATATAAAATCTGGAGCCTTCAAAGAACTGAGCAAAGACATATAGATCACGAGGTTCTGCTCTTCTACACTACAGTACGCTGGCTGTCAAACGAAATGTTGTAAATTGTTTTTTTGAATTGAAATCTGAAATCAAATTGTTCTTGGAAGTGCAAAGGAAACAAGACAGTTTGGTATACTTAAAACGACATAGAGTACCACACCTAGCAGATGTGTTGGAACATCAAGATAAGCTTATCCTAAAGCTTCAGGGAAAATGAACGGAAATTATAACTTTCCATGATAATCTTGGGGCATTTTTATCAAAACTGCAAAATCGGTAAAGAAAATAAATCTTGGAAATATTGTAAATTTGAGATAATTAAAATTTTGAAAGAAGCGATTTCTGGGCATCTTGAATCTCTCGAAAACGAACTGCATCGCTATTTCTCTGAGCTGAAAAAAAAGAAGAATCTGCATTTACGCATTACCCATTCTCTTCTTCCCTTGATGTTGCCAGCATTCCCGATGAATTACAAGATGAATTCTTTGATTTGCAGAATGATTCCGAGCAAGATGAAAAACTACAGACACAATTTTGGTGTAGTATTCACCATTCGTACCCAAACGTAAAATTGATTGACTTTTCGAGAATATATTTTCAACACTATTCTTCGATTAAAAAAACAAAATTAAGATAATTATAATGACATAGGTTGGCGTTAACAAAAAAAAAATTAATTAAAAAGTTAACCACGAAGATTTAGTGAATAGTATGCAATTTTTCTCATGCTATTAAAACAGTTATCGAGAGTAGTTCATATTGAAAGTCTACTAGAAAATCTTATTTTAGTGCTTATTAATTTCCATACTAATTTCGGCTTTTTAATTCTATGGGGGTCGCGGGTCACTTACTTTTTATAAAAGAGGGTCGCCACTCGAAAAAGGTTGGGAACCACTGTGCTAAAGGTAAAGCTGATATAAAAGACTAACCTCTAAAGCTGCAATCAGAATAAAACATCCCCTAAATCCGTACATGACTTACCTCAAAAGCCGCAATAAGAATAAAACATCCCCTAAATCCGTACTCCTCCCTGAGGTACCTGACCACAGGTGCCACGCTGATGTTAGAGAGGCTGATGCCGATCAGGGACAGAGAGGTGGCTAAGGCACGTCTGCGATCAAAGTAGTGACCCACCAGGTAGACAGATGGCACCAGAGCCCCGCCTTGTGCTAGGTCTTAATTGGAGAGTAATTACTATTTGAGACACTTGGTTAACTTAATGTTAGATACTTGATGGCAATTGGTTAATTTGAAATCAGAATAATTTATTGAGTTTCTTTATTAAACTTTTTTAGTCCTTAAATATTTGATATAAATCTTTCCTTTTTAGCTTCACGGATCGTCTAATTCAAGAATAATACAAGTGATTTATATTTCTAGGTTCTCGATCTAGATCTAGATTTAGAACTAGATTCTAGAGTTACGAAAAAACTAGACTTAACCAAACCAATCGTAGAATATAGATAATTCTATCCAGATATAGACAATAATGAGTTTCTATACTAAACTGTTTCAGACCTTCATTATTTTATATAAATCTTTGTTTGTTTAGCTATGGAATCGGCTAATTGAAGATACAATTTAATTTGAAAGTTACTAGACTTAGATCTATATCTAGATAGGGCCTATGCGCGTAAATCAAGTTGCATAAGGAGACTCATCGTATTAAGTTATACCACAGAAAAAACATCAGTGCCGTCACGAGTCTAGACAGCTAAATTGTAAGTGTGATAGGCTTTTATGCGGGTGGCACGGTTTCTAGACATATCACGTCAATGTTAAAAAAAAATTCAATTTGTTTTAGATGAGAATGATAAATTTGACTATCTGAACTTGGCAGGATACAGGGCAGATGAAGTAGAGTTCATCTGTTTCTTTGTCCTAAGCATATGAAGGGATAGTGTGGTCAGAGACATGCTAGGCCGGAATCGTTTTTTTTAAAGATAAACGATAAAAACATGTTGTCTGACACTTGGCGGGACACTGGGCAGGTGAAGTAGAGTTGAGTAGGTCACCTATGACGTCAGTATATGAAGGGATAGTCCGAAAGATAAAAAAACATCTTTTTGAATGTGGGGTCTTGTTTTTTGTGGCGATAAGTGGCAGACGTGATGTTTTTTATGGATGACCTCCGAACCAGTTATCCAAGGGATGACGGGTAGTCTAGTTTTATATACAAAGATGCGATTGACTATGTGCCTCTGTATTCAAATTTCAAGGGGATGCCACTCTTGCTTACTAAAAACTAACTTATTGTTACATTTTAAGATTATCATGTCACAAACTGTTTATCTTAAATTTTATTGAGAATAATGTAGAAAATAACAAATCATTAAAAATTTATTATTTTTAAAAAGTTGTATAACTAGAATATGTCAACATATTACAAAAGCATAATATTACTTTGTGTTAAACAGGCATGGTTTTGATACTGTATATTGTTATTAATTATGAACTAATGACTAGTATTGTCTTTATACCACGTTATTGTGAACAGTGGCGTAGCCAGGATCGTCTCAAGGGGGGGGTTCCAATTTTACCCGGGGACAAACTTTCGATTTGCACCCCCGCCCTCAAACTTTCGATTTGCACCCCCCCCTCAAACTTTCGATTTGCACCCCCCCCCCCCCCCCCTCAAACTTTCGATTTGCACCCCCCCCCTCAAACTTTCGATTTGCACCCCCCCCTCATACTTTTTATATATACCGAGGGGTCTATGGGGGGGGTTATGACCCCCCCTAACCCCCCCCTGCCTACGCCACTGATTGTGAATATTATCGATCTAGTTTTTTTAAAAAAAAAAGGGTTCGGTTTTTAAAAATGTCTTGCAACGAATGTAAAACAACAATATTGGCTCAACTAAAATTTTAGATTTAAATTTTCTAGAGATTAAAAAAGCTAAAGTTTTACACTTTAAATAGAGTAAGAAAAGATTTTTGTCAATTCTATTTTGTTTCAAATCGTACAAGTTGTGCAGTTTTAGTAGAAGCAATTGCAGAATATAATATGAAAAAGCGATCTTATTTCATTCCCTCTATTCGTTTTGTTTAGACTGTATTAATGAACAAATATATGGATTATTTCCCTTACGTGAATTAAATCATTTAGAAGGGAAGTAATTGTTAAATGTAACATTTAAAAAAGTGCATATTGTTTGGTAATAACTTCAAAATAAACAAGAAAACCAAGACGGTGGAATAAGTGTCGATAGATACACGTTTAAATCATGCTGATTTAAGTGCACACGATGTCTAATGGGCGCACTTGTAATGGTTTTGATTGTTATTTCGTAGGTCATAGGTCTGTAAGTAAAGAGAACCACGGTGTAGTGCAGGGGTTCCCAACCTTTTTTTACTCTGGAGCACATTCTAAAATATCGGTAGGGTGGCGGGCACCACCTATTTTAAATCGACAAACTCCTTCCAGAGGCGTAGCGACCCTTCCCGTCACCCGGGGACAAAACTTTCGATTTGCACCCCCCCCCCCTCCTCAAACTTTCGATTTCCATCCCCTTCAACCTTTCAATAATGTTTATGAAAAAAATTCTGTCTCTGTCGAATAGTGAGAGGCGGGCACATACGAATCGTTCGGCGGGCGCCATGGCGCCCGCGGGCACAGGATTGGGAACCCCTGGTGTAGTGTAATCGTACTACTGATGCAGTGTTTCTTTTTCTCCGGGAGGGGGGGCACTTGATATTTTCGGGGGGGGGGGGGGGGGGGGGAGGGCGGCGTTAGACTTTCTTCGGGGGGGGGTCTAAGCCCCTCAGAAGATATGCCTGGAAGAAACTTTGATGAGGTGCGTCGTGGTATATAAGTAGGGAATGCTGTTATGGTGTAATTAAATAATAGAGTGATGCTAAAGTTTGTTGAGGGGATGTTGTGATGTTGATAGTGGTTCTATTTAATAGGGAAAGTTGATACTTGATGGCGATTGGTTAACTTAATTTAGATACTTGTTGCTGATTGGCTTACTTAACATTTACTATTTTATGCAAATTAGTTAACTTAATATTACACGATGCTAATTACTTAATTTTATATTAAGAACAATTAAGTTAGAGAAGGCTTATTGGGCCGCTATGCATATACCTACAGGGGAAAGTGAGTATAATTGCGTAACAAACTGGAGTTAACTTACTTTTAAACTACGCATCGTGTATCATTCGCGTTCTTAAAATTACTATTAAAGTCATTTCTAGGATTTTTAGGGAATGGCAAACAAAACATAAATATAGTGGGTTCTAGTTTAAGTTTGCAATATTTTATGTTAGATTCTAGTATTATGTAACTGAAAACTGTGTTATTACTCACATTTTACTATACAGACAACGAAGAAGACAGGGAGTTTTGGTAAAACTGCGATCGCTAGTGTGGACAAGGAATAGACGATACAGCAAGTCGTGGTGATGGTCCTGATGGAGAGGCGTGGCATTAGCAGATTTACGATCACCAGAGCTGGGGAGATTAGAATTTATAGGGATAAGCTGGATTAGAATCAACGTGGATTAGTAGGATTATAAATAACATTAATCAGGTGTAGAAATGTGTGATTGTGTCTGTGCATGTGTTTGTTGTCTTACGCTGTTTGTATAGGGGTGTGAATGAATGTTACCTTATGAGCATTTGAGTACACAAACAACTAAAACAAACGGTATATTATTTTCCTTCAGCCTTCATTCGTTTGTGTGCTCGCTCAATTACAATTTATGATAGAGTTGTCTTTCTTTAGGTGCAGTATGCTATTGTTTACTTGATGTGCATTAAGCTTTTATCTTACTTGAAGTGCAGTAAGATATTAAAATGCAATAATATTTTGTCTTATTTAAGACGCAGTAATATATTGTCTTACTTGAGCTGTAATAAATTGTTATCTCAAGGTGCAGTAAGATATTAGAGTGCACTAGTATATTGTCTTATTTAAGATGCAGTAACCAATTGTTTTACATGAATGCAATAAGCTGTTATTTTACTTGAGGTGCACTAAGATATTAGAATGCAGCAGTATATTGTCTTAATTAAGATGTATTTACCAGTTTTCTTACTTGATATGCAGTAATCTATTGCCTTAATTGAGGTGCAGTAAGATATTATAATGCACTAGTATTTTGTCTTACTTAATATACAGTAACCTATACTCTTACTTGAGGAGCAGTAAGATATTAGATGCAGTAAGCAATTGCCTTACTTGAGGAGCAGTAAGCTATCTGTGTCAAAGAGAGTATTGTTGTGATCACCGTGGTACTGGTATCAAACTGTTCGATAAAATCCAGGAACAGAACCGACGTGACCGAGAAAAAACTTGCGTGTATCAAAAAGATTACAAACGAACCTGCAATACAGAAACAATTAGCAACATTTAAAAATAGTCACCCGTAATTAAAGAATGTATTACATCAACCATTAGCCACCCGCAATAAAGGAAGATTTTGCTAGCCATTAGCCATTCCCAATGAAATGTTTTTAATAAAATAAACCTTTATCCACCCATAATAATGATTTTACATTAATCATCAGCCATCCGCAATAAAGAAAGATCTAGCATCAATCAACAATTAGCCGTAATTAAACCCAATGAAACAATGGTCTCAGACAATGATTAATAAAGCTAAACCTATCGTATCTTTTTTTACAAGTAGAATAACAATTTTTAATGTCAATTTCGGTTATCTCTCTTGCTTTATACCGCAACTGAAAAATATTTAAGTGTGTCGGTTGTTTCAAAGTATAAAAAAATAAACCCTTGAAAAAAGCAATTCACACACACATCAACGTTGCAAAAAATAACATACGTTATCCTTAATTTGATTCTAATATCATGAAGTACTCACCAAGAACGACCATCCATGCCCAGCCTCTATCAATAGGTCGCGTCATTGTGGCATCATTATTGTGTACGTCTCTTCTTGAACAACTTAAGCTCTTTGTGTGGTTTCAGGACAGAAGATAGCACTAAAACAACTCTCGCTTGCTAATTAATTAACGATTTCAGTTACTTTCATTGTCGGCATTTTAATTGATATTTGTAAACTGGTAAAACATACTTCTAAATAAAAAAGAAACTATGTACTGGTAAAGATTTTTTTTTGACAATCGGTCCTGAAATAGCTACACGTCTAATCATAGGCAGATCCAGGGAAAATGGAACCTCCCTCTCTCACACACCCCGTGTCCACTAAACATAGTAAGAACAGGTGTTTCTTTCAGACTTTTTCTCCTGGGGGAGAGGGGGGGCGCTTAAAATTTCTGGAGAGGGGGAGGGCGGACAAAATTTTCGAGGGGTGGGGGCGGACACTGGTAAAATTATTTATTCTATCTAAACAAACTCTGTTTAGAACAAAACTGGGGCGAAATTTATATATATATATATATATATATATATATATATATATATATATATATATATATATATATATATATATCATAAGTTGCTATTTGTATATTTTATATTAGTTGTACCGTTCTAACTATTTCTTAGTTCGCCTGTTGGCATAGCCCAAACCCTAAAATTACATATTTAACGTAAATATTTATCTAATCTAGCCCAAGAAATATTCAGATGATATATCCGCCTATGGTCTGTACGAATCGTATGTTTTTGTGTTACTAATTGCCATGACTTATGCTGTAACAGGTCCCATAACCCGCCGGCTTTCCTGGCCAAAGTACACCAGTTGTCTAATCTTTAGTTTCTCCGTTAACCTTTTAACACAGTAGCCAATAATAAATTCTATGAGCAAAGAGTCTTTATGATATTCATTTAAAACATATATTTTCTGTAGTGCAATTGTTTTGGCTGGAGGGCCACTGTATGGTAGCGGATTTTAGATGAGGGCCGCACCGTTTGAAACAGTTACCCACCTCTGCCCTAGTTCTTACTCGAGCAACACATTGTCGTGCTGAATCAAATAAAAACTACTGACATAAATTGAAATTCTTCATCTATTGAGCAGGGGTCTCCAAACTTTTCAGTCCGAGAGCCGCATTAAATATAAAATTTCAGTTCGGGGGCCAGTTTCTTCCAGGCATGTCTTTGATTTTTCTAGGCAAAGTTCCTCAGCCATCACCAACAAACGTTTTTTCCGTGGACAAAAAGATCTCCGCGGGCCGGATGAGAGGACCTTGCGGGCCGCATACGGCCCGCGGGCCGTAGTTTGGAGACCCCTGAATCTATTGAAATAATGTGGACTAAATTCTTAGAAATTTGTATAATTTAACGAAACTTAGTTTGATTGGTAAGCCTCTGGCTTAAGTAAGCTAGAGTAAATTTCAAATCAAATGCAAACATTATTTAATGAGACATATGGAAACGTAGCCAAATCTAATCAAGAAACAAGTAATTAAAGAGTCAAAAACCGTCTTACAGCACACAACATGGATTAGCTTGAATTTATAATTTATTATTAGGATGGTGTTATCATACTATTGATATAAGAAGAACAGTAAAACAAATTAGAGGTTTTTAATTATTAATAATCCAATAGAAATAAATCGTGTCTGCATGATTTCAAAATATTAACTCTATAATTATGTCTATCCTTTAAAGATAACATTTTTATATATATATATATATATATATATATATATATACAGTGGCGGAACTAGAAAAAAGGGGCCACCCCGCAAAAAAATTTTTTAGGCCCCCCCCCCCTCCATATAAATATTTAGGCCTATATATATATATATATATATATATATATATATATATATATATATATATATATATATATATATATATATATACTCAAACACAAATACGAACAAGGATACTTATTGCTGGCCTGTTCGTGTTTTGAGAAATACGTGGGTTTTTTTTTTAAATTGAAACAAATTACAACTTCATTTCATGTGTGTAAGTTCATTAGTCTGTTATGTGAGAATCAGTTTTATATTAATATGTTTGCCGTAAAACCTCGAACAACATATCCGGTCAAAAAGAATATAAAACATGAAAGCTTTCTGTAAATAATGGTGTCTCGTGTCATGTTTATTTTTATGTTTTTTTGTATTTATTTTATTAATTTTAAATACATTTTCTTTTTGTACAGTGTCATTCTTTAGTAAGTAATTTATAAACAAATAATAATAAAGAGAAGTAATTGCTTTTTAATTTATTTAGTACAAATCTATTAAAAAGAGGCTTATGAGCATCACTATTTAACTAAAAAAAAAAGGGAAATAAGTTATTGAAGTGGTTTGAACGTTTGCTTATCTTTGATAAGTTTGATTGACAGTGGTTTAAAAACGAAGGAAAAACTATTGTGGGATGGTGTCTATAGAATAAAGATAATCCAACCGCAGCTACGGTAATCTTTTTTACATAACAAACATTAAGTCAAAAATGCAAGACATTTTTTTTTAACAATTTTTTTTTATGGTCGGACGTGGGCCCCTAAATGGTGTGGGCCCCCCCGCATTGCGGGGTCTGGCGGCACTGTAGTTCCGCCCCTGTATATATATATATATATATAACAAATGAAATTTAAATATTTATACATAAAAATTTATAATAAAAACTGAATCAACAATAGAAAAGAGAATATTAATATTAATAATAGGCCGAAATATTTCAAAGAAGAGTTATTGTCGCTGCTGAGGGTGGTATTGAGAGATGGGCTACCGTAACTTTCGCCCCGCTTTTTGTTAACTTTTCTTGCGTAACATTGGGAAACATTTTCTACGGCTTCAACTTCTTTCCTCTCGTCTGTTACATCATCTACCTGAATAATTATCTCAATAGGACTGTCGCCGATCTCATCATTTAATGTATCATCATCCCTTGTAGGATTTGAGTCTTCGTTTGCCGAATACTTTCTTTCTGGTATATGGACTGCGTTTCTAGTGCAACATTCATCTAAATCGTCATTATTTACTTCAACTCGCATGTCATCTATCTTTGTTTGACTTTCTAAAACAACAATTGTTTTCTCTTTCTTTCCGTTTTTAATATTCGCTATCTCATTGTCATCATTGGCTGGATTTCGTTTGCTATCTAATGTATTGTCTGTGACAATCTGTTCTTTACCAACCTCCTGTTTATCAACAGCATTAAAATCGAATGCATTCTCTGAGTCAACCCGTTCTTTACCAGCCACCTGCTTATCAACAGCATTATAATCATCTTTGGCTGAGTTTTTTTCGCCATCTAATGGAATATCAGTGTCAACCTGTTCTGTACCAACCCCTTGTTTATCAACAGCATTATAATCATCTTTAGCTGACTTTCTTTTGCTATCTAATTCATTATCAGTGTCAACCTGTTTTTTTCCAACCACTGGTAGCATTAATGTACTGACTCCGTCAACCATATCATCAGTAACTTCTTGTTTGACCCTGTCCCCATTAAGTTCTACGTGTTGGTTGCTCATTTCTCCAACCTTTGAGTTTAACTTATCTTCAGAATATTGGGTACCCACGCCATAGAAGTCTTTCTCTAATTGTATTTTAGTATCTGCGTTTCTTTCATCCTGTTTCTTTTTGTTCCTGTGTTTACGTTTGGAATTATTAAACTTTCTTTTAGATTTCACATTGGATTGTAAAAGTTGACTAGTAGAAATTGAAGTTTCACCTGACTTTCTTATGAATTCGGTAGTGGTGGTATATGTCGTACATGTGTTATCAACGCTACTTAGATCACGCGATTCATGTGCAATAGATTTATCTGATGAGTTATGTACAATTTTTATGTCACAAGGTGAAGGCTGTACATTGTTTTCATTTGTTATATTATTCTCGTAAGTTTTTGTCATGTTATGATCCGTGACAGTTGCATCGTCTGGGGGTGGGTCACTAGGTTCATTGTTTTCGTCAGGGTAAAGTGTTTCACTATTCCGATTATCAGAATTGTTTGGATAATCAGTTTCACTTTTTTTACTAATGTCAACTGTATCAAGATTCTGGTCTTCAGATTTAATAATCTGTCCACTGTTATCAACAGTATAACTTATGTAACCATTTTGACCCTCAAATTTTACATTCTGTCTGATATAGTCACTGTTATCAACATTATCACTTTTGCAACCATTCTGATCATTTGACACAAGATCTACCCAGTGTTGATAGGTGTAATTTGTATCAACATTCTGATTAACAGTGTCAACATTTGAGTCAATGTCATCAATGTTTTGACCAGAGTAATTTGTGTCACCATCGAGATCATTCGATTCAACATTTGGGTCACTACTTCTCCTGTTTTGACCACTAAGCTTTGTATCACCATTTTGACCCTCTGTTTCTACATTCATGTCATCACCTTGACCTTTTTGATCAGTGGACATTATGTCACCAATTAGATTATTAGATTCATTATTCGGATCGCCATTTTCCCTATTTATACCGATGTCATTTGTGTCACTATTCCGAACATTAGATACAACATTCATGTCACCTTCTTTATCTTTATCACCAATCTCACTTGTATCACCATTCTGATAATGAGATTCAGAATTCGTGTCAACTTGTTGACAAGTGACATTTGTGTCTCCCATCTGAGTATTGGATTCAACATTTCCGTCACCAAATTCTTTGTCTTGACAGGTGTATGTTGTGTCACAATTCTGATCAACTGTTTTTTCATTCGGGTCACCATACTCAACATTTCGATTTGTGTACCTTGTATCACTACTCTGACATGCTGATTGTACATTAAAGTCACCACTATCACGGTTGTAACCTATGTAGCTTGAGTCACCATTCGGATCACCATCTTCCTTATTTCGAACAGTGTAATTTGTAGCACTATTATGAACATTAGATTCAACACTTTGGTCCCCATCACCACTTTGTTTACAACTGGAATTTGTATCACCAATATGATGATTACATTCAACACACGAATCACCTTCGTCACCTTTTTGACACGTAATATTTGTGTTATTTATCTGAATATCGGAATCATTATTTCGGCCAACAACTTCTTTTTCCTGACCGGTGTAATGTTTGTCACAGTTCTGAACATTAGATTCATCAATCTTGTCACCATCTTCAAGATTGTGACCTGTGTAGCTTATGTCACAAATGTGAGTATCCGACTCAATATCAAAGTCACCTTCTTTTAAGTTTTTTTCAATGGAAGTTGTGTCACCATTCCGATCATCAGACTCTACATTAGGGTTACCACCTTGACTGTTTTGTCCAATGAAAGTTGTGTCACTATTCCGATCATCAGATTCTACATTCGGGTCACCACCTTGACTGTTTTGTCCAATTGAAGTTGTGTCACCATTCTGATCATCAGATTCTACATTAGGGTTACCACCTTGACTGTTTTGTCCAATGAAAGTTGTGTCACCATTCCGATCATCAGATTCTACATTAGGGTTACCACCTTGACTGTTTTGTCCAATGAAAGTTGTGTCACCATTCCGATCATCAGATTCTACATTCGAGTCACTGTCTTCATGAAATTGACAAGTGTATCTTGTGTCACCATTCTTACTTTTAGATATAACTTTCGGGTCAAGATCCTCCCTGTTGTGGCTAGTGTCACTAATATGATCTTTTGATTCAACATTAGGGTCACCATCTTTATCTTTTTGATCACCAGTACTTCTAGCATCAACAATCTGATGATTGAATTCAGAATTCATGTCACCATCGTAACCTTTTTGGCCAGCGTAATTTGTGTCACCATTCTGATCAATTGTTTTTTCATTCGGATCATTTTCACCTGAGTCATTTATTCCTCCCACCTGATTAATGGAATCAACGTATCGATCACGAACGTCGTTGATCAGATCCGTGTAACTTGTGTCACCATTCTGTTCAACAGATACAACGTTTAAGTCACCTTCTTTTAGGTTTTGGCTAATGGAAGTTGTGTCACCATTATCATTACCAGATTCAACAATCTTGTCACATCTTTCATGGTTTTGACCAGTGTAATATGTGTCACCATTCCCTTCATCAGACTGACACTGCACGTCGCCTTTTATTAGGTTTTGACCAGTATAATATGTGTCACCGTTCTGTTCATCAACATTCAAGCCACCACCTTCACAGTTTCGACAGGTGTTGCCTGTATGAACCGGATCACCTTCCTCATCATTACACTTAACTTCAGATGTGTCCCCCTTTCCAACCTTTAAGACAAAAAGCTCAGTTGATTGATTTTCTTTTGTATCTCTCAACTCTGTATTGACCTGAACATTAATATCATCAATTGTATTCTGTTGGTGAGCTAATCTGTTTGTTATATTACCTGTTATCACAGTTATACCAACATCACCATGTTCATTTACATGTGACTGTGTTATCATTTCATGATTTTGTTCCTTCTGATTTTGCCGTCTTTTAAATATGTTACTCCTAGTTATTATTTTTCTTGCTTTAGGAGCAATATTTTCAGTTTCATCTGCTACCTGAGGAAGATCTGTCACTTCAGAATCGAGCTCTGTTTTACCAGCCCCAACTAAATCGTTAATGGTTTCATTTTCATTTAAACTATAATTCAGGTCATCTCGAGGTTGTGTATCCATTATGAAGTTGTCTTTACTGTTATTTCCTTGATTTCCGGTAACGTAAGTGTTGGTTTGATGGGTTTTTGTTGTTGAAGATGATTCAAATCCGCTTCTTGGCTTCGTAATTGACAGAACTTGTTCACGTGTGGGAAAGTCAAAGCTAACATTATCTTGTTCTTGTGTTTGTTGTTCGTTGAAACTATTGTAAAATAACGGACACTCAAGTTGGGTTTGGAAAGAATTAGTTGTGAAAACTGGAGGTGGGATAGCAGGAGCTGAGAGTGCTGTGTCTTCTGTGGTATCAACTGTGTTGCTGCAGCGGTCTTGATTTCTACTTCTGTTGACATTCTCTGGTCTGCTGGCATTAGTCAAGTCTAGACAAGGAAGTAAAGGTTCGGCTGCACAAGGATAGTTAGGAACCATTGTTTCTGTGTTCAATACTTCGTGATTTACGTTGGTGGTAGGGTAAGGCTTATTTAAACTACTGCCATCATCAGAGGGGTTTGTTTCTAGGCGATTTGTTACTTTTTCTGGAACTAAACATGAATGATAGCTTTTTTCAAAACTGTCTTCTGAATCAGTTAAATTTGTTATTTTAAAAGTGGTATCTGTGGAAGAAAATTGTACCCTGTCCGTGAGAGATAATTCTTTCGATTCTTGGTCCGTTTCAACATCAACAATGTTGTTAGCATCCTTCATTGATGTATCTGTTATTGTTGTATCAGTACATACAACTCTGAAACAGCCCTTGTTGTCAGGATAAGAACGAGATCCAACAAAATTTGTTTGGGCTACCCAGGCTTCCGTTGAATACACAGGATTATTCTGCTTATTAGTATTCAGGTATCTTAGAGGATTATCCTCCTGGTTAGTATTCAGATATCTTAATGGATAATCCTCCTCATTAGTATTCAGATAACTGTTTGAATGGTGTCTAGCCTGGCATACGAATCTCCGGCCAACTTGATGAATATCTTCACTGTCTTCAGTAAACTTATCAATTGATACTTTGTCATCTTCATTCAGTTTTCTACAACACTGGTTAAATATTTCAACAAATTGTGAAGCTTTTATTTTGTTTGCAAACTTGACTTTCAGACATTCCTCTTTTGAATCGGTCTGCTTGATCTTAGACCAGTAAGTGAAAGAACGCAGCTTGAAATCTTTTGACAGTAGTTTCATACGACAGGTAATTAGATGATCAGCACATACATTGTTCAGCTGGAGAAAAAATAACATAACATCTTAGTTCAAAACTTTGATATAATATTTTGAAATATATCTGGAAAATATTATTTAAATTACGGGAACAAATGCAATTTTAAGTTTAATTTTTACAAAATATTTTATTTCTTTTCAAGAGCCCCAAGCTACGTTTCGACCTACTATTATTTTTTACACATACATAAGCAAACTTTTTAAAGACCAAAAAATCAAGCGGATATATTTATATGTTTTATAACAAATGAACAAATTTAACTTTTTTTATATATTTACAACTATAGAGTGGTATGAAAATTATTGTGAGTTTTATTGCGGTAACTACAACTAAATGAGGCTAGTGTTTGGGTAGAACCAGGTGTAGGGGGTCATAAACATTTTATTAAAAGTAGTATTGATTCTTTCATACTTAAATGAGACAAATGTATTACGCTACTTTTTCTCTTGTCATAATAATTCTAAATTAGTGAAGATCTTAACGTTCAATTATCTTAACATTTCCCACTTAAACCAACCTTTTTCGTTGTCATGATAACTCTGAACTGGAGAGAGTCTTTACACTCAAGTATCTTAATCACGCCCACACCAATCGTTTTCCAAGTTTTGCTTTCCTTATCAAAGTAGGACAAATGACATTTTTCAGCAAAGATCTGGAAAAGACAGGAATACAAATATTTGTTTTTATATAAAGGTATTCTAAAACAAAATATAAGGATAAATAAGATATGACAGAACGACACACTAATATATTCATGTTGATTGAAGTATGCAAGGAGTAAATTCAACGTGTTTGTGAGCGCTTTTGAATGTTTTACCATTTTGTAATCCATGTAATCATTAGTATTCTCATCATCATTAGTTTGCATGGTATCTTTTTCAAGGCTTTTCCTACACACTATATTATCCTTTTCACCAAGCTTGTGCAAGTCTGTGTAACTCGATTGATTCGTTTCTTCTGCACAAAGATGAAGTTAAATAATTGTATATCAACTCAAATATGAACTAATATTGTATTTGATCATTTGACTTCAACTTAACTTTCTTCATAATTGTAAGCATTAGTAAAGATTGATTATGTTTGTGTTATTTAAATGCTGTGTGATAATTTTTTAAGAACACACAGGATAAACCGCAGATGTCCACTTATTTTAAATTTTTGAGTTAGTACCATATTCTCATACACACACCTTTATTCAGGTACAAGTATATTTTTTCTAAATTATTGAATTTTTCGTTATCTTTCTCTCTCGCTCTCTATTTCTCTTTCACTCTCTTTCATTCTCTTTTTCTTCTCATTCTCTTCCTTTCTTTCTACCTTGTTACGGGTAAATTGTAGCTTAGATAGAAATAGGCGAGAATATTCTAGAATTAGGGGAGAGTGCGTGTGTAAGGGTTAGTTGGTAGTGGTTAGGGCGAGGATTACTCTGTAATGGGCAGAGTTGAGATCAAATAAAGTACTGAAGATTGGCACGAATCGTTTTCTGTGTACCCACATTGCAAATTTTGGTTTTACAAAACAAAAATTTACGGCGCCAACACTACAAAAAGACTATGAACTCCTTTGATGTGACACCTTTATGTACACCTTTATGGACACCTTTGTGTACACCTTTATGGACACCTCTATGGACACCTTTATTTACACCTTTATGTACACCTTTATGTACACCTTTACGTACACCTTTATGTACACCTTTATGTACACCTTTATGTACACCTTTATGGACACCTTTATGGACACCTTTGTGTACACCTTTACGGACACCTTTATTTACACCTCTATGTACACCTTTATGGACATATTTGTGTACACCTTTATAAACACCTCTAGTCCATCAGCACAACGAAAAACTCAAATGCGCCCAATTCCTAAGAACTCCAATCCTATGATCGTAACAAAGGAACTTACAATCAATATTATAACGCTGAATATCACTGAAACTTTGCTGTACTGAAAAAAAGCTCTAGCAGTCTCAGATACATACACACAAAGAAAATTACTCGAGTTTCCAGAAAATTGAAAAAAATGTTGCATTAAAATGACACAGCATCATCTATTTTGATACAATACATTAAAATAAGGACAAACTAAATCATATTTGGAAACGAACCCATAAAGAAAAGCAGGCCTAAATGGCGCGTAAACAGTTGACACGTGATGAACTGATGATGAAGGGAATAACTTTCAACACTAAAATTAAGAACGAAGAAGAAGTCTATTACTTTGACTTGAAAATATTAGATGCCGTTATAATCATAATGATTACTTCAAATTGCATGACACACAGCTCCATCACTATTTAAGTGTAGCCACATACCTTGCCCATTAAAGTTTCAGTTTCGTCAATAATTCATGCAATCGCTTCGGCGAAAAAGATATCGATAGAGTGACGAGTCAGGTCAACCAACACCCAGGTTCTGATATCGATCTTCAAGATTGATTTCCAGAAAATCCAGGTAAATAACAATCGAATCGATACAGATTTGAAGTTTCGATTAGCTATGCTATATATCACATAATTAACTGCCTGGGGTTGTGATTGACCCTTTAGCCTGAATGTAGTGGCGTAGCGAGGTCGGGTGTCACCTGGTGCGGCACTTAATGGTGTCACCCCCCCCCCCCCCCCCCCAGAGGCATAGCGTCCCTTCCCGGGGACAAACTTTCAAATTTTTGATTTGCACCCCCCTACCCTCAAGTTTTTCTCTATATATTTTGCTATTTTTTGCCTTGGTGTCACCCCCCTAAATGGTGTCACCCGGTGTGATCCGCACCCCCCCCCCCCCGCTCGCTACGCCTCTGCCTGAATGTCATTATAGGAAGATATGCTTGTTTTCGGTTTGTTCTGGACGTGGCTGTGTGATTTTTGTAACAGTTTTCTTTCAAAGAATTTCCTATGATAAATAAATGTTGTTGAGGTGCATGCCTGATACAATATTAAACAAATAATCCACAGGTGAAACCTCAAGGATAAAAAAAAAATAATTTGAAAGTTACAAAATGATTACAGAAAATTATAAATGGACACATTTTAACGACTGATTAGATCGACGTTAATAAAACAAACTCCAAAATAAACACAAGTTGTGTTCACTATTATATTCAGAACCAGCTTTTTAATTCATGTCATTTGAAATGTAATACTTCTAATTACTGGCATGAATTATAAATATTACATGTGTGGTGATCAAATTACTGCACCATTCAAGAATACTTCACAAGAAATTTCTAGAAATTGTACATCCTGGTTACAGGTAATTATGTAATTTTTTAGATGAGGAGTTGACAGTAATTAATTTTTAGAAACATTGCTAAATGTCATTTAAAACAATCTTAGGCACTGTGTGAATACAAACTCTTAAATTACTATTACATGAATAATTTTAGCTAAACAACAACTACAAAATTAAATACTAATTAATGTGACCAGTTCTTTTGAAAAAATATGTCAAAAGAAAAATAAACTTTTGTAAAATTAAATAATTTTAATTTATTTAAATTTAATATCTTTAGACACGAAAAAAGCAGGTTGTTATTGTTTTCTGCATAAATAAAAATGATTGAATATCGTAGTGGTGTAAGTAACAATTTCTGTACATAACATCTTGTGTAAACAACTATTTTTGTACATAACATCTTCTGTAAGTAACAATTTCTGTACATAACATCTTCTGTAAACAACTATTTTTGTACATAACATCTTCTGTAAGTAACAATTTCTGTACATAACATCTTCTGTAAACAACTATTTTTGTACATAACATCTTCTGTAAGCAACATGTGTTGTACATAACATCTTCTGTAAGCAACAATTTTTGTACATAACATCTTCTGTAAGCAACTATTTTTGTACATAACATCTTCTGTAAGCAGCTATTTTTGTACATAACATCTTCTGTAAGCAACTATTTTTGTACAGAACATCTTCTGTAAGCAACTATTTTTGTACATAACATCTTCTGTCAGCAACTATTTTTGTACATAACACCTTCTGTAAATAACACCTTTTGTAAATAACACTTTCGGTAACTTCCACCATCTGTAATTAACATCTTCTGTGAGTAACAACTTTAATTACAGAGCTACCAGATCAACAAAGTATGATATTACCTGTATCTCAGACACGGCACTGGAACAATCAGGCTGGTTCTCCACCTCTACCTCACTGAGAGACATGTCTGTAGTCCTACAGCTTCTATGGTTGATTGATTCGCTTCGCTTCGTAGGTGATAGATATGGATTTAGTGTTAGAGGGACGCTACTTTTATAGCCCAGTCAAACTGAAACTAAATAATTCCAGGGTAGGATAGAAATATCGGAAAAGATATATATATATATATATATATATATATATATATATATATATATATATATATATATATATATATATTTATATATATATAGATGTGTGTGTGTGTGTGTGTGTGTGGACTGTGTGTATATGTGTGTGCATGTATATAATTATATATATATATATATATATATATATATATATATATATATATATATATATGCGCGTGTAAATCTGTGCACTATACGTATGTATCAGTATGTGCATGAGTGTGTGTGTTTGTATGAGTATGTTAAATTAAAAAAATAACCAAGTGACCAACACTACTGAAAATATTTAGCTACGACCTTAAATGACCTGTGTAGTCTGAGGTGAAGTGATATAATGTCCACATATTTTAAAGCGACTGTTTTACGACTCGCTTGGTCGACCGCTGTGTTTATAGTCGTGTGAGATTTATTGTTGTATCACGCTTGGCCGAGGTGGGTTATTTTTCCTCCAACTACTGTTTTAGTTCTAGAATCATCATTGAATTAACTTCCTTCTTACACGATATCTTTTATACAGGTTTAATCCAGGCGTGTCTTTTTCTAAATACCAGGGTATGTTGAGCTCATGTTGGTTGATATGACAAGTCCAAATCTTAAGAAAAGCCCTAAATATAGCCTAATAAATAAAAACTAGTAAAACCACCTTTCGTCAAACCACCTTTCGTCAAACCACCTATGGCCAAACCACCCATAATCAAACCACCCATGGCCAAACCACCCATGGTCAAACCACCTATAGTAAAACTACCTGTGGTCAAACCACCTATGGTCAAACCACCTGTGGTCAAAATACCAATGGTCAAACCACCTGTGGTCAAAATACCAATGGTCTAACCACCTATGGTCAAACCACCTATGGTCAAACCACCTATGGTCAAACCTCTTATGGTCAAAGCACATAAAGCCATTATTCAAAACTATTATAAAAAGAAAACAAAATTAACAAGGGAGTGAGGGGGACTTAACTGGCTATGTAAATGTACAGTTACGCCCGAAAGTAGATAAATTCCTTTACTTCAATATTGTTACGTTGTATATTTTCGCTTTCGTAAATATGCAAATTTCAGCAATGCTAAAAAATCAATGCAACTTTTTTTTCTTTCAAAGCTTATCGTTCTAACCACGTATGAATAAGATTATACTCTTTTTATATGGAAATGAAAAACGCAGAAGAATTTTATGGTTGTGGAAATCAATTTTTTATATCTCTGCCGAGACGTAACAGGTGAGGAAGGGTTTAAAATATTTTTAAAAGGCTGGGGGTGGGGGGAGGGGGGGGGGGTTCTGCAAGGTTTGTAGCAATGTGGGATGGGGGGAGAGGTTGGTCATATTTAATGTAAATTTCTGTTATATGTAAAGTTAATGTCTGTAATATATAAAGTAAATTTCTGTCATACATAAAATAAGTATCTGTCATATATAAAGTAGACTTTTGTCATAAATAGAGTAAGCTTCTGTCATATATAAAGTAAATTTCTTTCATAATGGATATATAGAGTAAACTTCTATCAAATATAAAGTAGACTTCTGTCATATAAAGAGTAAACTTCTATCAAATATAAAGTAGACTTTTGTCATATATAGAGTAAACTTCTATAATATATTATAAAGTAAACTTCTGTTTACGTCAGTAAATCGTACAGAGCTAAATGGAGAAGGCGCACATTGTTTTACTTTCAGTTTCCATTTATTCTGAATCAACATTTCTAGTTTACGATGTGAACTGTGGGAATGATATCAGTTTACATAGATGTGCTCTATATCAATACGACGTACATTGTAGGTTTCATGACACACATGTGAAGGTTACAACACATCACACAGGACCGTATGTGAAACAGATAGAATCTTTACACTTAATCTATGTACACAGGCTCGCAGTGGATAATATGTTATCGACTCAAGACGTAAACGGAATATTTCATGCGTGACGAATTTATCTGCTGAAGATTTTTTATAAAAGATCTATATTAGTTACCTCTATAGTGTTACTATGGTCAGTAGCGCCCAGAGGCTAGACCATAAGAGGGGGGGGGGGCAGTCCGCATCGTGTGAGATAATTTAGGGGCTAATTTCAATTTGAAAAATCGAAACGTTTACCGTCAAAATAATTTTCTTGTGAAAAAAAATAAAATAGTAGGAGAGGGGTGACACCAAACTGAAAAGGCAAATAATGGGCTTTAGGTGGGGGGGGGGGGGGGGAAGGGTGGTATGCTTAGTTCAGAGGCGTAGCGACCCTTCCCGGCGCACGGGGACAATTAGGCGCCCCCTTCGGGAACAACTTTTCATTTATTTATTGTTTATATTTATAATGCAAAACTGCATCTAAAATAAGATTTTAATAGTTTTTCCAACCCATTTTGGCGCTCCCTAAGGTCAGCGCCCGTGGACATATGTATCTCCCCCCCCCCCCCCCCCCCCCGCTACGCCTCTGTCTTAGTTACTTCCCCGGTTGACACTTACCTAGTGACGCCACTGGCTGTAGTCGATACTTTAATTAGATCAAGCCTAAAGTATAGTTGTTAAAGTGACTTCTTGTAGACACAATTTTAGTCAATATCAGTCAATACTTGTGATTAATTCAACATTTTCTTTGGTGCTTTTAAGTAATTTCGATGTTTCTTTATTGCAGAAAGATGGTTTGTCCTGCCTGAATTATTAGAATTTTTGGACGATGGGGTAAAAGTTTAGAAAGTAGTTGTTGTACGTTTTAAAAGGTAATACTAGAAACTAAATTATAGCAGATATTTCGTGTTTTTTAAAGCTGTGTTTTAAAAATTCTGATGTAAGTTGTTGGCTGTACATATTTAAAACAATAAAAAATCGATGTTTAAAACAACAGTTGCATGTTTTAGGCGGGAGGGTGATGTTAGCTGAAGTGTGACCTTATTTTAGCTTTATTTCGCTTTTTATTAACCATGGGGAGGTAATGATTCATTTATATACTGCTTTTGATTTATTTCAGGTACATAGCAAACCAAAGTAGCATTTTATAAGGGACACAACCGTTATTTTGTTATTTTAGTTTTTTCATTGTTCACTCCCCTATCCATCGCCTTTTATCGTATCATAATGTTTTTGCTATCACCAGCTATACAAGTCTACTTTTCATGGCTGTACATTTTACAACTATTTCCCTCATTTATAAACATGGATTTTACAAAATCTCAGGTTTTACCTGTATGAATCATGAATAATTAAAGACCCATCCAGCCAATTCAATACAGGGGAAACAACCCATACAATCAACGTCATATTTGTTTTATCATTGTATATTGCCTTGTTGTCTTCATTCAAATTAAAATAAAATAAAGCTGGCTAATACAGTGCATAAAGTTTCAAACCTATTGGGTGGTTTAAGAACTTTAACTACATTGTATAAAACCAGATGCAGTGCTAAAAAATTACATGAAACAAAAACTGATAGGTGTTTCAACATTACTTTCAGGGACGGGGCAAAGTGTTGCCTGGCCCTGCAGTATTGTGCTTCCAAAATATATATAGCTATATATAGCTATATATATATATATATATATATATATATATATATATATATATATATACACTTTACTTATTGCCCGCTCCTCCTCTCCACCAGAGAAAAATATCTTAGACACTGTTTCTGTATATTTATAAATGTAGAGTACACCCCATAATCACAACTCCCTGTGATCTACATGAGGCCTAATATTATCATGCAGTCTTAAATATTTTATTCATTTCTTTTTACAACACAAGTGTTGCTGAGCCCATTTTGCACATAGTCCCCGCCGACGGTGCGATTTAAATGGTAAATAAATATAGCGGTGGATAATAACTTCCAATGGATATGAAAGAAGTGGATTATAATCCAGAATATAGACAAATAGTAGCCCAGGTTTAACACTGGCTGCACAGCTGAAAGAATTGCTTCAATATCTATGTGTGTTCACTACTGCACTATTGTGTTCGGTGTGTTTTTTCATAAAATCGAGGATATTAAAACCAGATTCATATCGTCGTCTTGAGTCTACGGGTGTAGGTCGGCGACTTTATGTCAGAGGTTGACACAAACTTTTAATGTCAAATAAACCATAAAGAAGACTTACACACTGCACAAGAGGGAGACATCAAATAAAAAACCTAAACCCTCTATGCCACTATACACTACCCACATCATAGTTTTACACTGCAACAATCTAGACAAACGCGTAAGAATTTTAGTGCCATTGTCCTCTTTGTTAATTACCAGCCAAACCAAATACGAAGTCTAGCCGTATCAGAGTTTCTTCCTTTGCTGTGCAGGATATGACATTAAAGTTTAAAGAGAGGGTGCTTATCAAGTATCTTCATCTCGTTTTGTTTTGTCTAGGCTCTAGACCCTAGCAGGCTTCAGGATCCTGGGCTATCACTTGGATCATTAGAAACTAGGTTTATTCTTGGGAAAGGATATGACGTAGGCTATTTGTATGTTATCTTTTAACTCCTGAAAAGATAATATATGTATTGTATGGCTTATCTCTAGTAGAGACGTTGATTTGTTTGGTAAAGAAGATGATATGTTTAGAAAGTGGCTTATACCATTATCCTACGTTTAAGGAAATATTTGGGATAAGGCTCATGCTAGGTAACGTAAAGAATACATGCAAAGAGAAAGAAAGTTCCCAGAATGATCTCAAGAAATAAAGAAGTAAAATTCATTTTTTTATATCGGCATATGAAGTGATGATGTGGTCGGCACTCTACACAAACGACTTTACTTTCTTTAACGTGAGACAGTTACACATCACGGCTGAGTGGAATCAGGGTAGTACTGCTGTTTTAAGTCTTGGCGAAGATCCGAATTCGAGACCTTTGGCGCTATGAGATCGACCAACCACGCCGTCCCAAGTTTATATTTACAGTCTTATTCTAGATGATGAAGAGGGTATATGTTATATCACTTTCACTTAGCAAGAGGTATATATATATATATATATATATATATATATATATATATATATATATATATATATATATGGCTGATCATCCCATCAGTACTCTCTTCAGGACAGCAGTCAGTAATGGTAGCAACACCAGCAGTCAGTAATGGTAGCAACACCAGCAGTCACTAATGGTAGCAACACCAACAGTCAGTAATGGTAGCAACACCAGCAGTAAGTAATGGTAGCAACACCGGCAGTCAGTAATGGTAGCAACACCAGCAGCCAGTAATGGTAGCAACACGTGCATTCAGTAATGGTAGCCACACCAGCAGTCAGTAATGGTAGCAACATCAGAAGCCAGTAATGGTAGCAACACCAGCAGCCAGTAATGGTAGCAACACCAGCAGCCAGTAATGGTAGCAACACCAGCAGTCAGTAGCAACACCAGCAGTCAGTAATGGTAGCAACACCAGCAGTCAGTAATGGTAGCAACATCAGCAGTCAGTAATGATAGCAACACCAGCAGTCAGTAATGGTAGCCACGCCAGCAGTCAGTAATGGTAGCAACACCATTAGCCAGTAATGCTACCACTACCAGCAAACAGAAATGAGAGATACCGAGAGTACCCTTTCAACTTTGAACTGTCCTAGATTCGCCCTAACCAGAGACCTTTCGAGACCACCAGACCGTGACGGTAAAACCACGTGACACCCGGACATATGATAATGCTCTGGTGAATAAACGTCTCATTTTTCTAAAACGAATATTTACTTGTCTCTAACACATTTAAATACATTATAATTATAAGAACTTCATTTACATTTCATATTAGCTTAAAGAGCCACCTTTTAATTGAACTTACCGCTTTTTCGAACAAACACATGAATGTAACATTTTCATTGTACTTCACGGTAGATAATGCTACTAACTGCACTGTAGATAAATTTAAAAAGGTCTGTTCCACTGTGTATGATCAGCGAATAATGCACCAGCCGCCCTCAGTTTTTAAACCCTGGCGTCTATGTGACCGGCTGCATATGTGTAGTCAAGTGTATACAAGTGTTCTGCGTGTAGCGTACAGAACTTAACTATGTCTAATACTGTAGGACAGGGGTTCCCAACCCCGTGCCCGCGGGCGCCATGGCGCCCGCCGAGCGATTCGTATGTGCCCGCCTCTCACTATTCGACAGAGACAGAATTTTTTTCATAAACAACATTGAAAGGTTGAAGGGGATGGAAATCGAAAGTTTGAGGGGGGTGCAAATCGAAAATTTGAGGGGGGGGGGGGGTTGCAAATCGAAAGTTTGAGGGGGGGAGTGCAAATCGAAAGTGACAGAAGGGTCGCTACGCCTCTGGAAGTAGTTTGTCGATTTAAAATAGGTGGTGCCCGCCACCCTACCGATATTTTAAAATGTGCTCTAGAGTAAAAAAAAAGGTTGGGAACCCCTGCTGTAGGAGTTCTACATGCGCGGACTTCGATGAGGTAAGAATTTATTTTCCAGGGATTAGTGTGATGCATGCATTGTAGATAGTTGATTTTATGCTTGTATGATTTTACATACACACAGGCACACACAAACACACAAATATATATATATATATATATATATATATCAGTGGGGGTCGATAGGTCGGGTGTCACCCGGTGTGGCACCTCAAGGTGTCACCACCATCCCCTTTTTTTGCTCTGTAAAGTTTGCAGTTGGTGTCACCATTTCTCCCCCCCCCCCCCCCCCCCCACCCCCGGTAAAAGCTTTAAACTTTTGACATTTAATACTAAAGATGTTTATATATAATCGGTGGTTAATGCAGTTGGGTGTAGTATTGTTTTCTTTATAGTTTGGATGTTTAAGTCATTGTGTCACCCCCCCCCCCCCCACCTTCCTCGTCGGGATCGTCATTACGTACTTAAAATGCTTGATAGTTCTAATTAACCATTCGTTGAACTGGCCTAAACATATTTATTCTATTTATCTAGCAATTTTTTTTCTTGATGTCACCCCCCCCCCCCCTGAAAGGTGTTACCCGGTGTTTCCACAACCCACGCCCCTACTCGCGACGCCTCTGATATATACATATATATAATAATATATACATTTATATATATTTATCTATACATTTGTATGTGTTTGTGTGCATACGTGCGTGCGTGCATGCACTAAATATATAGCTGTAAAATAATATTCTAAACAACTATTTTTACCTAACATTTCTAAGTTTTGTTTTTATCAGTTTGATATTTTATAACATAATTTAAAAAAAGAATAGAACATAAAATTATTGGAATTTATTGAGGGCACTAAACTAAAATCTAGCCTGCCGTGCATACAGTAGATAACAGTTTTTGACTTTAAATGGGAACAAAAGTGCAACATCATTAAACGAACATATTTATGGCTGGTGAATGCTAAATTTGTTTCAAACTTACTGCACTGACATAGTGTTTTCCAATGCGGGCCACCCCGTAGACGCAAGGGATTGCCCAAAATAAAAATAAATACATTTTAGTGCTTGTTGACTTATATACTACTTAGAGAATACTTCTATTTCATTTTTAAAAGTTTTAAATTTATATGTAAGAAGTAAAGTATAAATATTGCGTCAGTGTTTCTTTCAGACTTTATTTTTCCGGGGTGACACTTGAAATTTTTTAGAGGGGGGGGGGGAATGGTAAAAGTATATATTATCTATATAAATTATATTTCGTTGGGGGGGGGTGTAGCCGTTCTAAGGTTCGAAGTTTGCAAATCGGGGTATTATGTTGTGGGGAGGCGGGTGTACGAGATAGGATTGTGCAGGTATTTTTGTACGTCCATGTTAATAAAATCGCTGCATTACTAGTTGACCAAAATTAAGTTACAAGGTTTGCGACAAACAGACAGAGTAACACGAGGAAAGAGAGACATGTATCGTGAACTAAATAAATGCGTGTAATAAAGGGTCTTATCCGGATTAATCGTGTGTATGTTCATTATATTCATGTATGTGCACACATGTTGGATAAGTGTATCCTAGAGATAATATTTGCATTAACGACATACAGTAAAATCGATAATGTTGGGCTAAATGGATTAATTTGCATTATAGGTTTTATTATGTTAAAATAATTTTTTTTAAATTTCAGTTTAAGATAAAGTAGGTGTGGAATTTCACGTTACATTTTATAAAATGAAACAGTAATAAACAAATCTTAAGAACCACGGCAATAACCTACCGGAAATTGTAATAATAGCATATAAATAGGTTACGTTAAGCAACATTTGCTATCTTTATATATACAAACTATATGCACTATTAAAAAAAATTCTACGTATTTACTGCTGAATCGTAATGTGGTGTTAACGCCCCTTCAAGCACAAAATAAATCTTATCTTTTATATCCAATATCAAACCTTCGACAAATAAACCACTGCAATAAACGACAGTGATTTTTATAAGCTAGTAAACAACCAACGTCAAGTAAACAAGGTCTCTCAGTATTTTAATAAAACCTATATGCACTAACGAAACTAAGAAATTACTGAAAAACATCGCCATGGAGTTTTAATGTCCACTTCAGCAGAGCAGTGAAGCTTATCTTGTGTACTGCAGTAATAAAGCTGAGTCAACAGAAGTGGTAAGTTTCAAGAACGTCACATAAACGAAGGTCACAGTTGGGTATAAAAGGTACGCGCCTACCCCCGTCATTCGCCACGCTTTTATAGTTTCATATTCCATCCAGGCTAGGAAAAAAAGGTAAGGTAAAGTTTGGCTGTCTTAGCAAACAAGACAAAACTTGAGTACGCAAGATTTGTATTGAATGTGATATTCGTGCTAACTTAGTTATAGGCCTACTTTAGAAAATAATTTTTTAAAAGTATTTTGTAGCTTTGAGGACTGAAGTTTACTATAGGATTCATAAACGGATTCACTTTATTACAGAACGAAGAAATATTGTTAAAATCGTATTAAAGAACTCTACATATAAGTTAATTTTGTGAATAATGAGTGAATTTAGGTTATGAGTAAACTTAAGTGGTGAGTTAATTTAATTGTAAGATTAAATTGTTTTCTTGTACGCTTTTCAACGCGTAAGGAAAATAAAGTCGAGTTTATTTGTTTTATAGACCGCTGATTGTAAAGGGATAGGGTGGTCAGCATAATGGTTTCTAACAGACCTTCATTCTCATGAGAGGGTGTTCGTTAGACGAGTGCTTTTTTCCGGGATTGGTACCCTAGACGTTTGGGTTACCACTCGACCACGCTACCGTCCAACCACACCGTTCCATAATAGTGTTCATACGTAAAAAGTACATTTTATCAAGTATTAAATTTCATACTTGCGGTGAAAACTGGCTTCGTTCTTTCACTTAGCATGGATTGTAATTTGACTGGTCCTAAGAGTTACGTAGCAACATTATAAGTGTTCAGTAGTTAGAAAACGATAAAAAATTATATTTTTAAACTTAATCCGAAAGACTAAGAATTTATTTTTCGTTTCTCTTTATGTAGACTACTTAAACGCAGCATTTGTGATACGGCCATAACAATTATATGTGTAATATATATATATATATATATATATATATATATATATATATATATATATATATATATATATATATATATATATATATATATATATATATATATATATTTATATATATATATATCTGTATATATAATTCATTTCTGGGATCAGTTAGAAAACAAACTGCAAGCGCCTCCTTGCAGTCCCCTCTCTTTCTCTCTATCACTGTCACTACCACCCCCACCCCACGGTCTTCCTGTGGCCAAACACTTTAACAAGAGTGGGCATGACTTAAAAAAGGACTTTTGTGTAACCGCCGTTCGGTTTTGCCACAATTTCAAAAATCGCCTTAGCACTGAAACGCGACTAATACTTAAATTTGGTACACGGGCACCCGATGGCTTGAATGAACAGATATCTTTCACCTAACCAACCCCCCCCCCCTCCCGCATACACCACGCCCCCAACCCCACCCCTATACGGTGTCCGAGCGTCCTTCTCACGCGTCTTTTCTTTTGGATATCGTGGCTAGCAGACAAGACGTGTTTTCACTGTCGAGCTAAGTCAAAAAATGTGTTACTGTTTGTCTTTATTTGTCTAATCTGTAATCACACTGTTGTGTGCTGACGAAGACCTTGGGTCGAAACGTCCATAGTACTTGTAACTGTCTTTAACTTGTGAGGTAACTAATACTATCTGTTTTATTACTAACCACCCCACCCCCACATTGTCTGGTGAGCTGTGGTCACGCTGTTTACATTTTACAATCATAGAGACGGGTTTGGTGACGGCTATTAGAGGCAGATAATTTAGTTTGAAACGATTTTAAACTTAGAGGTAGCTAAGAGGAGGCTGCTTTCACGTGGGGGGGAGGGGGAGGGGGGGTTTAGTGATTTTAAGCAAATATTTTCAGTGGCAGAATTGGTACTGTCGAATTCACAAATTATAAATTACTGAAAAGTAGAAAATAAAACATCTAAATAGCGGCGTATGATACGCCGCGGGTCGGCTCGTATATATATAATTCTCTTCTGGGAGACGCTAGAAAACAAGCTGTAAACGCGCTCCCTACCATCCCCACCCCTACATGGTCTTAGTGAGCTGTGGTTCACCCTATGTTTACCTTCGTGGAGTCGGGTTTAGTGACGGCTATTTGGGGCAGATAATTTAGTTTGAAACGATTTTAATGCTTGGGGGGGGGAGGAAATGGGGGAGGGGGTTATGGTCCTTAACGAGCTACTTATAGTGTTTTAAAGAAATATTTTCAGTGTCAGCGTTGGTACTGTCGAATTCACAAATTATGAATTACTGAAAAGTAGAAAATAAAACATCTAAATAGCGGCGTATGATACGCCGCGGGTCGGCTCGTATATATATAATTCTCTTCTGGGAGACGCTAGAAAACAAGCTGTAAACGCGCTCCCTACCATCCCCACCCCTACACGGTCTTAGTGAGCTATGGTTCACCCTATGTTTACCTTCGTGGAGTCGGGTTTAGTGACGGCTATTTGGGGCAGATAATTTAGTTTGAAACGATTTTAATGCTTGGGGGGGGGGGGAGGAAATGGGGGGGGGGGTTATGGTCCTTAACGAGCTACTTATAGTGTTTTAAAGAAATATTTTCAGTGTCAGCGTTGGTACTGTCGAATTCACAAATTATGAATTACTGAAAAGTAGAAAAAACAACAACTAAATAGCGGCGTATGTTATGCCGCGGGCCGGCTCGTATATATATATAATACCATATATAAACAGTCATCCAATTGCTTGGTGACTATAAGGCTAAGGATTAGCAACCTTGCTCTTTCCCCTCCCCGTCCCATGTTGTGAACTATCCTGCGGGTTCTCATGCGTGTAATTGAGTGATATGATATGTACAGCCAACGCTTTTGTCAACGATCACCTGGATTACCGTGGAGTGTATTAGTCTCTCGTTATGCACCAGTGGGACGACAGGTTCACTATAGAGGCATGTGTCATGACTGAACCACAGACGAACTAGAGTGACCTTAGTCCTAGAGGACAACAGACGAACTAGTGACGTATGTCCTAGTATAACGACAGGTTAACTAGAATGTCCTATGTCCTAGAGTGACGACAGGTTTACTATAGAGGCATGTGTCATGCTGCGACCACAGACTAATTGACTGTCATATGACCTAGTATGACGACAGGCTAACTAGAGTGACCTAAGTCTTAGAGCAAAACATTCTAACTTTAGTGGCCTGTGTTCTAGTAGGGTGATAGGTTTAGTGGCCTTTGTCCTAGTAGGACGATAGGTTTAGTGGCCTTTGTCCTAGTAGGACGATAGGTTTAGTGGCCTTTGTCCTAGTAGGACGATAGGTTTAGTGGCCTTTGTCCTAGTAGGACGATAGGTTTAGTGGCCTTTGTCCTAGTAGGACGATAGGTTTAGTGGCCTTTGTCCTAGTAGGACGATAGGTTTAGTGGCCTTTGTCCTAGTAGGACGATAGGTTTAGTGGCCTTTGTCCTAGTAGGACGATAGGTTTAGTGGCCTTTGTCCTAGTAGGACGATAGGTTTAGTGGCCTTTGTCCTAGTAGGACGATAGGTTTAGTGGCCTTTGTCCTAGTAGGACGATAGGTTTAGTGGCCTTTGTCCTAGTAGGACGATAGGTTTAGTGGCCTTTGTCCTAGTAGGACGATAGGTTTAGTGGCCTTTGTCCTAGTAGGACGATAGGTTTAGTGGCCTTTGTCCTAGTAGGGCGATAGGTTTAGTGGCCTATGTTCTTGTAGTACGATAGGTTTACTATAGTGACTTAATACCTAGTAGGACGATAGGTTTACTAAAGTGTCCTATGTCCTAGTAGGACGATAGGTCTAGTGACCTATGACTTTGTAGGACGATAGGTTTAGTGGCTTATGTCCTAGTAGGAATATAGGTTTACTATAGTGGCCTATGTCCTAGTAGGACGATAGGTTTACTATAGTGGCCTATGTCCTAGTAGGACGACAGGCTAACTACTACTAAAAAGTAACGATAAAGCACTCAAGAAAAATCTGTAAAAGTTGCCCTCCTTCGTCAATACTTTAACGTGACGTATTCTCATTGCAGCTGGCCTAGATGACAATGACCCCCAAAACAGCCTTGACCTTGGGTCTAGTGCTGTTCATGTACAGCTTCTGTATGGCCAGCAGACGGAGCAGCTGTGATGACGACAGATATTGGAAACTAAAATTTGATATCTTCAAACCCTACTGTGTCAGATTGGCTTCTGCCGGCGATAAAGACATTTGTAAGTCTCAATTTTTAACAAGTCGCATTTCATAATATTTTAGCGCAATTTCCATACTGACAATTGCGATTATTAATTCGTTATTTCTGGATGGATGGATGGATGGATAGATGGATGGATGGATGGATGGATGGATGGATGTCCGCAGCTTTAAGTCGTATCTCCTCCTCAACGAAGCAATATCGAGGACTAGTTCCAAAGCAAATATGTTAAGCAAGTTCAGAGGATGATTGTGGGCCAAAAAATTCCCGGAATTCTCTCCTGGATTTCCAGGAAAAGCCTAAAAACCTCGAAAAAAATGCAGTTTTTGGCCCATATCTCGGCAATCAGACCACTTAGCGACTTGAAACATTTACCAATCGATTTCTGCCATAATTTAGAACAATATTGCCGAAGAAAGTTTTCAAAAATATCCTTTCGTTCGGTCACAAAAAATTAATTAACGAAATTGCGCTTTAATTGTCACTAGACTCTTTATTAACTTGTTTTTTTTGTAAATGCGAGATGCGAATAAAATAAGTCAACTGATGAAAAATGTGCATTGACGAAAATTTATTCAAATTAAAGATAATTAATATTTTCATAGATCAAGGGTAGGCTCCTGAAGAAAAACGGGAGAAAAATATTTCTTGAGTGTTTTCTGTTACCAAACCTAGCCAGCTGACTCTATTAGTGTTAATAAAAGAAGGATCATTGGTTATATAGCCAATATATTTGTTAGTTTATGAAATTTTAGAACACCATACAAATTTTTTTTCAAGATGGTCGCCGTTGCCATGGTAACCATATTTTCAAAAAAGTCCCTATTGCTTGCAAATTATTTTTCTTTAAGTATCCTAACTTAGTTATAGCCTACACAAATAAATAAATAAAGCGTTATAATGAAGAAGTTGGTTTTTTCTTGAGCCTACCCCCTTAATTTTTGCCTTCATAAAAGTGAAAATTGATACTATTTAATGAACAGACGCTATTTGATTAGTGTTAGGTTAAATATTTTCAGATTTTAATTTATTTGTAATATAATATGGACAATGTTTTTACTGTGATAAGTTGTTATGTTTTTAAATTAAATTGTAAAATTAATTTTCTCTCACATGGAAAGGTAACAGATGTCCACTAAAGCCCACAACAACAACCACCGAAATAACGTCTACAACTACAACAACCACCCCCACACCGACAACCACACCGACACCTGCAGTAACGGATCTGAGACTTCCAACATCAGTCTCACCTCTCCACTACAACATCGAAATCACCACGTTCATTCACTACACGGATCCTGCGAACTTTTCATACACGGTAACGTATTGAGCTGTGAAGTTTTAGACATTGTTTGTCGTTATCTCTGTGAATTATAAGACTTTCTTTGTTGTGATATTTTGAGATTAGGGGCAATAAAATAAGACGCAAAGTATTTTAATAGATCAGATAAATATAACAAACACAAAATATAGTCTTATTTGTTTAAAGAAGTAACCTTCCCAGTTGCCGCGTTTTAAGTAGATTTCATATACACGAATGGCTAGTTCAAACGCTGTGATTTCTGTGGATCCCGAAAGAGTGAACATGTAGAGCTAGACTGTTAACCCGAAACTCTCGAGTTCGAGTCCGGGTTCAAGTTACGCCCCTGAGTCCATCCACTTATGTTAGGTACCTATCTCGCGTTAGCGAAAAGTATAGGCGGCTGACCACACTCTACCTTCATATGCCAAGGTCACAGAAACAGGTGAACTCTACTTCGCTTGATTAAAAGGGCGACACGAAGGCAAAAACATTGCAAAATTTACAAAAGAAAATGCACGTCATTACATTAAAAAAAAGACTGAACTAACTGCACCCCACAGCAAAACTAAAGAGTCATCCATAATAGACGTCACGCTTTTTTGACGATTTTTACTTTCCTCCTCCCCTCCGTCACACATTGTCACAAAAAGCAAGACTTTTTCTTAAAATACGATATTTCTTCAAAATCTTTTCTGAATTCTGTCAACATAGATTATTTAAAGCAGTTCCTATTACTATTTATTAAAACAGTTTTCTATATCGCGAAATAACTGCTAAAATTCGGTTTCTAACATTGCTTGTATTGCAAAAGTGTGACGTCACACCATCTGAACACCCCCCCCCCCCCCTCATCACTCACCGTCACAAAATTACGGACTCCCCTACCCTACGAGCGTGACGTCATTTATGGACGACCCCTAATCGAATGTGACCCTGATGAAACGTATCCACATTCCCCACTAGGGTTCTGAGAAGATCTGGATCCAGTGTAACACACCAGCCGACAACGTGACCATCCACTTCCGGGTTCTGACCATAGACCCCGCCTCAATTAAGTTCTATGGCGACCCCGTCTCGTCAGATGACCCGCTCTACGTCACGTCATCAATCGACCTGGCCAGGGAGTTTTTCGTCATCAAGTTGGACAGGAATATGCAGGTGAGCTAATGCTGAATTGTACTGGTCGGAACCGGTTTACATACTTTACATGGATTACTGAACAACTAAGAAAGTCTTTTACTCGTATTTATTAAATGCACTCATACAAGAATTTTTTGAGGGCATCTTTTCGGGGTTGCTCGTCTCTCCCCCCCCCTCGAAGAAAGTCTAACGCCCCCCTCCCCCATCGAACGAAATAGAATTTATATAGGAAACATACTTTTAACAGTGTCCACCCACCCCTACCCCGAAAATATAGTCCGCACTACTTGCCTCCCCCCGTAAAAAAAATTTCAAGTGCCCCCCCCCCCCCGGAGAAAAAAATCTGGAAGAAACTCTGACTAATACACACACAGCATGGGTCTGCGACAAATTCCCGAAAGACACTTGCCAGAATGCGACAAATGCCCCAATGGACACTTGCCCGAATGCCGTTTTCCCGAAAGACACTTGCACGACAAATGTCCGAATCCGACAAATGCCCGAAATCGGCCTTCGGGGTCGGCGTGGTCGAGTCGGTAAAGCTCATGGTTGCTAAACCGAAAAGTCTCGAGTTCGAACCCTCGGGCAGATGCGGCTCGTTATCTGGGAACAGCCACTCTTCTAGGAGAGACAACTCCAAAATCAAACAACTGCTGCCTTGTAGTTTGTTCTTGGTTGGACAAAGGCTATGGAAGCAAATCCAAAAAGAAAAGCAGGCTGAAATCGGAGTCAATGGCCTTCAATGGCGCATAACCAGTTGACACGTATCCTTAATTGTGATGGAGGCGTGGTCGAGTCGGCTAAAGCTCATGGTTGATAAATTCGAAAAAAGTCTCGAGTTCAAACCCTCTGGCAGATAAGACTCGATCCCTTCCAAACACTAAAAATTAAGAATGAAGAAGAAGAAGAAGAAGGCCTTCGGGCTAATTGAATTCGGGCAAGTCTTTCGGAAAAACGTCCAGCTCCCCAAAGCATGTATAAATTCACAAGCAGATCTACAACGTTGTCTCATTTTATCTCATTGAGGGGTTAAGAATTTTAAAAATCTTCACGCTCTTAGGTTGGAAAAACGTACATTTTGGAGTTGAAATTTACTTCAGTGTTAAATAACGATCTGGCTGGTCTCTACTACAGTGTCTACTCAAACAATGGGAAACAAACGTAATCATTTGTTGTTTTTTTTTTACATACTTCTTATTTAATTTAAAACATCAGTCAATCTTGTTGTTGTTATATAATTCGATAAAAATATAATCGATTATATTTACAAGGTCATTAACATATTATCGATTACACTTTACTGTTCATTAATGTATAATCGACTACACTAATTAAGTGATTAAAGTGTAATCGATTACAATTACCAGGTTATTGAAAAATAATCAATTACACTTAACAGATCATTCAAATGTAGTCGATTACAATAACCAGGTCATTGAAGTAAAAGCTATTACAATTGCCAAGTCATAAAAACCTACTTGATTAAAAAAAACCAAGTTATTAAAATAAAATCGATTTAACTAATCAGGTTATTAAAATGTAATCGATTACACTAATCACGTCAATAAAATGTAATCGATTACAATACTCAGGTCATTAAAATGTAATCGACTCCACTCACCAGATACATAGCCACGACCCAGATGGAGCCAGCAGACGCCAGAAAAGCCTTCCCCTGTTTTGACGAGCCGGCACTGAAGGCCACTTTTAACCTGAGCCTTGTACATCCCAGCTCTATGATGTCCGTGGCCAACACTCTACCCGTGGCCACTGGGCCAGCTTTGTGAGTAGTGTGTGATGTTTAGCAACGGCATGGTTAAATGGTAGAGCGTACAGCTGCTAACGTGAAAGTCTGAAGTTCGGATCCCAGGTTAAAGTTGTTTAGACGCTTTTGGGCCTAACCAGATATGTTGCTCTTGGTTGATAAGTAACAATACAGAAATATTTTATAACTACAGTGCCAATTGCAGACACGGGTAGACAATTTTTAGTCCTGGAAAAGGCAGAGTCGTTTTAGTCAGGCGGGATCCGAACCCACCACTCCACGGCACCGAATAGCCCCGCGTGCCGTGCTTCACTTCAGGTCAAACCACTCTTCATGATTGACGGAAGGGGAAGTAAAGCAAGGCGACCAGGCATAATTCTTACCACACTAGCCTTAAATATACCGAGGTCTTAGAAACAGTTGAACTCTACTTCAACTGAACTATTAACCGCCATATCTGAATTGGTAACTTTGTGACAACATTAAAGAGGGTGGTACCTAAGGAAAAAAAAAGAAAAAAAAAATATAGTTGTCCATTTAGCAACAGTTAATAAACTTCTCATCATGCTTTTAAAATCTATGATTCAACATTTTGACATCTCCGGCCTACATATTTTGTGTGCATTTTATTTATTTTTTAATTTATTTTTATTTTATTTTTAAATTTTAAATTTTAAAAGCTTTTAATAAAACAAATGACAATAAGATGTGTGTGAATGCATTAGTCTGTAGAAACATTCAGGAGTTTTACAGTATCAATATTCACATACAAGTGATAAGGTAATCAATATTTACATAATGGCAAATACGTGGTGAAACTAAGTTTGATATGTACACAAATCGAAAGGGTAACTATTATAAGGGATTAATTTGAAATAAGTGAATGGTAGTGAAGATTTATCAAATGCGAGCAAAAGAAGTTGTGAGGGAAAAAAACTATGTGCTGTAATGTATGAGATATATAAATCTAATAAAAAAACATGAACTCATAAAAAAAAAAAAAAAAAAAAGGATGTGCAACCGTTGGAAAGGTTTGTGGTATTTAAACAGTCAACACTAAATGTATATATATAGCTACATTTTTTTTAAATAACAAAACCAAATATTAAAAAATTGATTTGTTGAATGTTAATTGAATACTTTTTTGTTGTTTTTTACACTCGTGCCAATCGATAGGAATATTTATCAGACTTAGCTAAAAAAAACTTTAAAAATAAAGAAAAATACAATTATAGTTGTTTTATATTAATTATTTTACATGCAAATAAAATTATTGTATAGGAATCCATATACAGACTATTTATGAAATGTTTATTCATTTTTTAGATAAAATATGTTTTTTTATGTAAACTAATAGAGATGTTGTCTAATAATTACAGTGTTGTTGATGGTGTAGAATATGTACGAGATATTTACCTCCCTTCTCCAAAGATGTCTTCTTATCTAGTGGCTTTTGTTATTTGTGATTTTTCTTTCAAGTCTACTGTTTCTACTAATGGTGTTCTGGTAAGTTGTGTTAAGCTTAAAGAAATAATTAATATGTATGAATATGCATATTGTTTCAATTTACCTGTAGAAATCGTCATCATTTTTTCCCGTTTGTGCCCAAAACACATGAGGAAGACGAAGTAGAGTACGTCTGTTTCAATGACCTAGGCCTTCAAGGGGATACAAGGTCAGCGCTATGCCCAGCCGCAAGTGTTTCCCTAACGTGAGTGGACTCAGGGCGTTCTACTGACTTGAACCCGGATTTGAACTCGAGACTGAACTGAACTTCCTCTTCCTTATGTGTTTTCGACACCAACGGACAAAGATGATGATGGAGATTAAAATACGTACTGTTTAAAATTGCTCATGTAGTCCTAGTCTCTGCCTCCAATCTTACCGACCATTATTTCCTTAGTTCCGTGCATGGACTACGACTAGCACTCTTGACCAGATCGACTACGCCCTTGATGTCGGTGCCAAAACTCTCACATTTTATGAAGATTTTTTCGGAATTAAATACCCGTTACCTAAACAAGGTATGGAAATAAGTACAAGTTTAGCTTTGTATAGGTCATGAACTCATCATTATAGGTGGTTGAAGATAAAGTTCTGTGTTAAAAATGTAAATTTCACGCTGAAGCTTCAGGGATTCCTGTGAGAAAGATTAACAGACAGAAGCTATTAGTGAAATCACCGTGAACGTTTTGTAAATTTCGATTAGTGTTTTTAAATAAAGCAAATAAAGCTGTAAAGTAGATAGATTACGTCACAACCACCAAATAATCGAAATATACCCACCATAAGCGTTAAGAACACGTTCGTATTATTACAATCCAAAAATCCGATTGACAGAAAAATTTATATCAGATTTGCATCAATTTTCATAATTATTTTAAAGAAAACGACAATGATTATTTTGTTTTTATCTGTTAATTTTGTTTTATTTAAACACAATTTTCAAAGCTATATAAATTTGTCAATAGTCAACCAAATACATTTAAATGTTTGTGTGTCTTTAAAAATGTAACATTTGTAAAATTCTAAACGTCATTTTAATTATTTTTTAGTTATTACTTTACAATAGTGTTATGAATCCTTAACATCATCACGAATCAGTTTTAAAAAATCACAAAATAAGACGTTATTTTTCAATTTTATTTTTATAAGATATGATTGGAATTCCCGACTTCGCCGCAGGAGCTATGGAAAACTTAGGTCTAATCACATACAGGTGTTGTTTTACGATTGATACGAAAACTTTTAATTTTTAAGTATAACGTAATTAATTGTTATGCTATATTTAAAAAAATAAATAGCCAATTTATTACAATAATATGAATTAAAGTTAATAAGTTACCATTTCACTATAAACTTTATTTGAAACAGACAGAGCTTTCTTCTGTATGAACAAGGAATATCCAATGAAAACGATAAAGAGACGGTTACTTATGCAGTAACACATGAACTGGCGCATCAAGTACGTTTTCAAAATGTTTTCAATATTAAAACTAGTCTAAAATAACTTGTGTGTAGTTGTGAAAACATGTGCTTTAATAAAGTGAATGCTATGAGTGTTTTACGAGCTATAAGACTTTGATGTTAGTTATTTTAAGTTGTACGTGACAAAACAATGTCTGTCCCGCAGTGGTTTGGTGACCTTGTTAGCCCTGCCTGGTGGGATGACCTCTGGCTGAACGAGGGGTTCGCGACCTTTGTGGAGTATCTGGGAGTTGACAATGTGCACCCAGAGTGGAAATATGTAAGAAGATGATTTTGTTTATTTTCATAAAACATATACATTTATGAGATGTTAACTAACTGAGGAAGGAAAACACAACTCGTTCAAAATAACATAACGTAATGTTTTACTCGAATTTCGTCCTTAAAACCTTTTCCAGATAGGCCCCTCCAGAATGTTAACACCCCCCCCCCTCCTCACCCGCCACCAAAATATGATTATTAAAAAGAGGATATAGAGCTTGTAGTTTTAGATTTTAATGAAAAGGTTGGAATTTGGAAATGGCATTAATAATTAGCATTCAAAGGTCTGCATTTCAGAACCTTTACCCTTAATCCGTTTGGCTGCGTGCATTAAATTAGAACTGGCAAAAATTGGCGGGACTAAACTTTCGCGCGTCCACTTTTGTGCATTAGTGGCGGGGCTTATCTGGAAATGACCTAAAACCTTGCTTTGAGGCGATCATATGATCATAATCTTTGACCGTTAGAGCCCAAGAAACATGGGCCAGATGAAGTAGAGTTCATCTGCATCAATAAACTAAGATTATAAAGAGATTGTATGGACCGTACTCTACCTAGCCGCCTTAGTTTCCACTTAGGGGTCATCCATAAATGACGTCACGCTTTTTGACGATTTTTACCTCCCCACTTTCCTCCGTCACACATCGTCACAAAAAGCCAGACCCCCCCCCCCAAAAAAATGACGTCACACCTCAGCCTATGACATCCCTCAAAATTGCAGTTGCGTTTTTCTTAAAACATCGATATTTTTCCAAAATCTTGTTTGAACCCTGTCAAAATAGAGTATTTTAATCAATTCTTATTGCAATGTATTAAAACCGTTTTCTCAAACGCGAAATAACGTCTAAAATTCGTTTTCTAACATTGTTTTTTTCAAATGCAAAAATGTGACGTCGCACCATCTGAACCCCGCCCCCCTCTCCTTCGTCACAAACCGTCACAAAATTACGGACCCCCCCCCCCCTCCCCGCTACGAGTGTGACGTCATTTATGAACGACCCCTTACGTATAGTATGGTTTGTGTATAATTTATTATGTTTGAAAGGGAAACCATTGGGATGTATGAAATATATATAATCTTTATTGTTTATTACCCCTGATAAATAAAACGATATATTTTCAAGTTTGATATAACGCTATCAGTGCTGCCTCTACTTTTTAAATTCCGGAAGCGAATTTATTATTCAACTTTAACTCTTTATTAAGGCAAAGCTTCAAACTAAAACATTATTGATTTTTACAAGCATGTAAGCCTACAAAAAAATTCAAACTTTTACATTGGCTTAACTCATTTATACGGAGCATGTAGCAAATGATGCGGTCTGTGAAAACTATGAAAGAATCACCAACGTAATTGGTCCATTCCAGAGGCGAAAATAGTTCAGATGATTTGGATGTTTTACAATCTCTATTTTAATGGCCTATAGCAACTATAAGTTAGGGTAGGGTACTCAAACGAAGGAGTGGAGGCGAAGGAGGCAAAGAAAATATTGGCTGAAGGACATTAATGGATAAGACTGCCCAATTCAAAATCCTAGCAGATCAGGAAAGATAGAAATGCATTATAAATTGACAACACTTTAACCTTAATGATCCGCCTGGGGTTTTGGTGTAAATCAGTGGTTCTTAACCTACTTGTAGGTACCTACCACCATCAGATTTATTTGCGTATACACGTACTTTTCTTATAGTTATATCATCAGCACTGTCAAAAAACCGATCGTAAATTAATAGGTAGGATCTTGACCTCCACCGACCCCTAATACTGATTCACAGAACCCCTGGGGTTCGATTTAACCCAGGTTAAGAACCACTGCTCTAGATAGATAGCGCAACCGGTAAAATATAACCACACAACTAATCCCAACTATCTTATGGTTTCACTTGGCACTAGTTTGACATCATGTACACGTACACACAACTAAACCCAACTTTCTTATGGTTTCACTTGGCACTAGTTTGACATCATGTACACGTACACACAATTTATCCAAACTATCTCATGGTTTCACTTGGCACTAGTTTGACATCATGGTTGTCAAAGAGATCCACGGTGCTCTACAGCTGGACAGCCTTGTGACATCCCATCCACTCTATGTTCCAGTCAGCCTTATTTCAGATATTCTACAAATTTTTGACAGCATCTCATACGCTAAGGTAAATATTTGTTATACTTTTCATCACACCACACATAGTTTTGAATTTTTTAAATTATTTTTTCTAAATAAGCGTTTGAAAAATGCATAGGATATATTAAAATATATAATAAATAATTTCCAGTTTTGCATATTTTCATATTTACATATCTGCATTTCGTGTATTTACACTATGTATACATATACGTACATGTACATGTACACATATACATATAGGCTACATGCATGTGTGTGTGTTTGTGTGTGTAAATATGTATTCGTGTAGGTTGCGTGCATATGTGTATTTGTTTATTTATGTATGTAACCATGTTTCAAATATATTTGATCTAGGGTGGAGGTATAATAAGAATGCTGCGACACTTTATTGGAGAAGAAACTTTCAAGAGAGGATTGAATGTATGTCTCTTATTTTAAAAGGCTTAAGTGCTCGATAGTAGAAGGCCACACATTTTTTTTTAATTTAAACGTGTAACCTATCACTATTAAGATTTTTTTCTAAAATGTTATGCGAGTAGGATAAGTTGATACAAACTGTATGGTTTTTTTTTTCATCGGTCAGAGATACCTAACAAACCACATGTACTCTACTGCTACACACAATGACTTGTGGGATGCTATTACTGAGGTAAATAATATTTAATGTATTGTTAAAATTTAACTTAAAGTTATTTATCAATATATAAGGCGTATGTATCTTTTATCTCGATAAACTAATTAATGTAATGAGTGCACTTAAGCATGGCGGCTGTTATGTTCCCTCAGGGAACTTCAATGAATCTTTTCATGTAACCAACATAATTTGACTCACAAATGGACGACATTCTAGCACGAGTTATGGAATTAAAACTTTTGGGTTAGCGATTGTGTGCTCTTTTTCTCGATCATAAATAAAGATGCTATACTTTTGATAGATCTAATTGTTATCAGCAACATTAAATTGCGGGGACGGGGGATACGATCCGCACAAGGTGAGGCCACTTAGCGGGTGAAACTAAATCGAAAACAAATTCCTTCAAAACTATATTAAATCAAAAAATAGTAGAGGAGGGGTGACAAATCAAAAATGTGAATTTTTTAAAGGATGTGGGGTGACACCCTCAGTTTCCACTTCGCTTGATACTTCCTACTTATGACGCCACTGTTTGTTGTTTTAAAATAAATGAGCAATCCTTTCTGGTTAGTTTAGTTGCTCTCTATTTTGTTAAAATATGTTTTGTATGACGCTTTATAATGTATAATTTTAATTTAAAATGCCAAATAATTATCACTGGAACATACATTTCCGTTAAGCAAGCATCGATAGATGGCAAGGGTATTAATGTCAAGGACATCATGAACACCTGGACGTTACAAATGAACTATCCACTTGTCACCATCAGTCGAGATTCGTCGTCTGCTGATGTCGTTGTTGTGTCCCAGGAGAGATATTTATCGAATAGAAATGTGGTCGATCCAGGATTATACCAATCACCCTTTGGGTAAAATAGTATTTAAGATATATTTATCTAATCGAAATGTGGTCGATCCAGGATTATACCAATCACCTTTTGGGTAAAATCTTAATTAATTAAACCAATTAAAAAGATATATATCTAATCGAAATGGAGATAACCCAGTATTATTATAGTATCAAATTTCAAATTTCAAATTCAAATTTCAAATTTCAAATTCAAATTTATTAAAAAAAAAACGGTAACAATTGTAGGTATTATACCATTAGGGTAAAATCTAAAACTAATCAAACTAATTAGAAGCACTAGATATTAATTTAAAACTCTAGCTTACAAGTAGGCTACATATAGCCTACTTTTTTGAATTTCTTAAAAATGAATAAAATAAAAAACGCATAATAGGCTTATCAACTGAAATATTCATTAAACTTTTTTTTCATCAAGATATCGTTGGACCATTCCTGTTACAATAACATCCAGTAAAAATCCAAATTTTGATGAAACAAGCTCACAAGTTTTTTGGCTGACAAGAAATGAGACTTCAAGTACGATTTAATTTGTTATAATAAAAAAAATTAATTAATATTACAAGATCACAATTTTCCAAAACTAATTAAATTTGGAAACAATTTACCATTTTTAAATTACTTCATTTTCATCAACTTACATTTCTTTAAGTCACAGCTTATTAAAATATTCTAATGACGTTTTTCTCTATGCATATATTGATGTCATTGTTGATATTTTTACTCGTATAGAAAGTTTCAACATTGGAGCAGACAATCTCCCAGACCTGAATGATGCTAATGGTTGGATTCTTGCAAACATAGATCAAGTGGGATACTATAGAGTGACTTACCCAGTTTCCAACTGGTTGGCACTTAGCAACCAGCTAAATACCAACCACGAGGTATGCTACTTTTTGAAAAATAAAATGTATTGTTAAAATTTCTAAATGCTAAGTTTGAAGTTAAGTAAATCAATTTTTATTTTTTAAGCAAAGGTATTAAATATTAGTTGAATTTGATTTTGTTTTTTGTTTGTTTTTTTGTCATTAACATTTCAACAAAACCAATCTTATATTTAAAACTAGCAATTTCTTAATTTATTTTTAACAAATCTGTTTTAATAATGTCTTGTAAAAGTAAACTTTTAAACATTTAAACGAAAACATAATAAGTAAACACTATTTATTTAATCATATTTTGAATCATAGATTTATCATTTAGGTCTGCCAACTCAAAATATAGTATGTTTGTAGCGGAATTGATAATTTGTTATTGATCTTGTTTTGTACATTAATACAGGTAATATCAGCAGTAAACAGAGCTCAAATAATCAATGATGCTTTCAGTTTAGTCAGGTAATGTGTTGCGATGTGATAGATGCCTACAAAATCCGATACCATGTCATGGAATAACATAGTGTTAAGGTGAAAAAAAATTGACACCGATTACACTTGACACTTCAAAAACACACAATCACACAGGGCAGGACTATTTATGTAAATCCACTTTGACAGTTCAGCAATAACAGCTACTAAAATACATTCAAAATTTAGTATTAAATCTATTAAATATAATTAATCAAGTAAACAAATATCACATGATCAGGTCTGGAGATCTTGAGCTAAGCGTGGCACTAAAGTTTTTTGATTATCTGGACAAAGAAATGGATTATGTACCTTGGTATGTTGCAAGCAAAGAATTTGGATATATAGACCTAATGCTATCCCTCAATCCATTGTATGGAAAATTAAGCGTAAGTTTTTGACAATTTTAATTGTGTTGTGATTAGTTTTGTGATTGGTCCAGCATTGAAGACAACAGTTTAACTTTTTTTATACACAATTTTTATTTAGTTGTGTTTAAAACCAAGACATATAAACCACTTCATTTATTTTGTTTATTCTGTTTATTTATATTATTTAAATCATATTATTATTGTTTATGATTTTCTTCAACATTAAAAAATAACTTTAAATTTGAACACCATAAATAATAAGACCTAACATTAATGTTATATTCAGATCAAACATTGATTGTTTTATCTTTATAATTGGCTTTTTTTGTTTATCCAGTGCATTTAATAATTTAAAAAGAAACCTGAAGTAAAAAATAAAATTTACAACATTCAGCATATAAAAGCATACATTTCATGATACAAGTTCAGTGTTATACTAAAACCTAACTATGATTTTATTTATTAAACTACTCATTACTGAAGTTTTAATTGATTATCCTAAACATTCATAAATATATAGTAATGTATCTGTAAAATAATGACCAAGAATAAGAGAGTTCAAATTTATCAGATTTTATTTAATGCTTGAAAATGTTAGTAATATACTTAGACTCATTTCACATTTTGAGAATAGCTTTACATCTAAATATTATTTATTTATTTATTTATTTATATATTATTTGGTGTAGATATTTATTGCGTCTTTTAAAAAATTACAGCAATTTATGCAAGAGAAGTTTAGCAAACCTTTCAAAATATTTGGTTTGAACAACACTGGTTCCTCACATCTTCAAATGTAAGATAAATGTATCATACAAATAACACAAAATCATTTAAAAACTGCATTTTCAATCATTGATTTTCTTCTTAATAATGTTTATACATTTGATTAAAAATTAAGTTTTATAAAAAAAAAACACATATTTCAATTACAATATCAGATGTTGATATCATTATTTTTATCTTTTTAACATAAGTAATCCTTAAAGACTGAATTAAATATTAATAATTTTATTTACAGAGGCACTAGACAAATTATAGCTAGTGGTGCTTGTCAATCTGGAGTGCAGGAGTGTATTGACACTTCTGTAAACCTTTACCGTCAGTGGATGTCTAATCCTAGTGCTAATCCGTAAGACCTTTAAAATGTTTTACTACCATGTTGAGATTATTTTTTTGCTTTATTTCTCTTACATAGAAAACAAAAAGTGATTAGTTTATGAAAATGAATATTAGCATAAATAATTTTCATGTATTGATTTTTCTGATGATACAAAATTTAAACTATTTGAGAAGAATAAATTACAAATCAGTTTGTTTAACTTTTAAAATGTTTTACTTTTCCATGTTAATATTATATTTTGCTTAGATTCTTCTGCATAAAAAACAAAGTGGGACTAATTGATGAAAGTGAATCCTTCTTTATACCATAAATATATATATATATATAAAGATATAAAAATTTACACTATTTTAAAGAATGCTAAATAATTAATGCATTAATGTATTAACGGGATGGAGTGGTCTAGCAGTAGAGATCTGGACTGCTAGCCAGTAAGTCTTGAGTTCGAATCTGCATTCTAGTCAGTAGAGACCGTCCCTGAGTCCACCCAACTCTGATGGGTACCTAACTCACGTTAGGAAAAGTAAAGACGGCTGGGCATAGTGCTGACCACACTATCTCTATATCTATGTATTAACATGATTATTTTTTAGGCTGAACTTTAATAATTATTTATACCATGATAACAAACAAGGCTATAACAATAATTTTAAAATGAAAGCAGTTTTATAAATGTAACAAAAGATTTATCATTTTTTTTATTTTGTATTTTTTCAACCGCATAATACACTATAATAATCTTTTAAGATATTTATAATATAGATATATGTTTTTTTTTAAATTAATTGCTTAGTTCTGTATGAGATTTTTTTAAAAAAGGTTAAATGTTATAAAATATATCATAGCTCACTTTCAAAACATTAGTTAAATCTGTTCTGAGGCATCTGCATTCAATGTATAATATTCCCAAAATGAAAATTTGGTCTTAAACAATTTTTTTAACTTAATGCAGGATTGATCCTGACTTAAAACCTGTTGTCTACTGTTCAGCTATTGCATCTGGAGGTATTGAAGAATGGAACTTTGGATTACAGGTAAAAAAAGAAAACTTGTATTTAAATAAGAAAAACATCAATCTGGCATTTTCAAAACTTGGTTAGCAATGGATGTTGTTTAACAGCCTTAAATAATTTTGTATTAAATTTAACCACCGCCTACTTACTGTATTTATTTTTGAGAATGATTAGTCAAATGGTTGAGATATGATTTTCAATCATATTATACATTAGTTTGTGGAAAAAACTCCTGTAAAAATTAAATGAATTGTCCATAGTGATTCAGTAATCAAAAGCTGAATGTTAGCCAGGTTTTCTTAGTGTACGTTCTGAATATAATTAGCTAATTAAAATGCAAAAATATGCATTCACTTTAAACTCAATTTCTTTAATGAATTACACATTGTAAAAATATATATTTCTTATTAGACAATTATAATTTAAATTATAGGTTTTATCTGAATTTTATTCTAATATCTGGCTAAACTTGCTTTCCTAATTTCAGATGTATACAGATCCGGCAATGCGTTCAGAAAAAGGTTTCTTACTAAATGCTTTGTTATGCTCCACAGATGTATGGCTTGTCAATAGGTTGGTTAAGCTCATTTAAATACATAATATGGTTGAAAAATAAAATCACATCATAATCTAGTTAGTTTAATAAAAATGCATTAATATCCTGCTCTTTTGTGAATTAGGTATGGATAATGTTTAATGCCTATCAGTAAACATAAAAAAGTAATTAAAACAGCAAGTTTGTATTTTTTTTTCATTAAGGTAAGAAGATTATGTTTCCCCCAATAATAGTAACCAATTTTACAATTCCAGTTTATTTAGTTATTCCATTCAAGACAACTCACCTATTCGCATGCAAGACACTATGGATCTCTTGGCCTTTGCTGCTGGCAAAACTTTGCCTCGTTTACTGTTCTGGAATTTTTTTAAAGCCAATTTCGATAAATTTATGAACATGTAAGAACCAACTCGTTTTAAGTTGCTAAAGATATTATGTTACATGTATTTTCTATGATAACCAGCATTTTACTACTTTTGCTTAACCTTATTATCATAATTCTTTTTTATCTATTTATCGATTAACAAAACTTATTGCAAATTATAAAGCAAGCTTGATTTTACCATTTAGTTTTAAAAAATTTATTTCAATTGGTACTTTTTAGCGCAATTTCCATTCTGGAGAATTGCGTTTATTAACTCGTCATTTCTGGGAATGGATGGATGGATGGATGAATGAATGAATGGATGAATGTGTGTCCGGGCTTTTAGTCGTATCTCCTCCTCAACGAAGCAATATCGATGACTAGTTCCAAAAGCAATTATGTTAAGCAAGTTACGAGAATGAGCATAGGCCATAAAAATTCCGGGTTTCTTTCATGTATTTCCCGTAAAAGCCAAAAAACCTCGAAAAAATGCAGTTTTTGGCCCATATCTCGGCAACCAGACCACTTAGCGACTTGAAACATGTACCAATCGATTCCTGCCATAATTTAGAACAATATTGCCGAAGAAAGTTTTCAAAAATATCCTCTCGTTCGGTCACAAATTTTAAAATTACATAAACACCTACAAACCGATCGCTCTTCTAGCTTGAACGCACCCCATCATTATACGTCAGAGCTATTTTTAGATAACATAAGGAAATTGCGCATAAATGTCACTAGAGTCTAGACTTTTTTAATTAACTTGCGCGCCTACTGAACGTGATGGCGCAGCCATGGAACGCGATGACGCATCTATTGAACGTGATGACGCGTGTGGTGTGGTTGTATATACATGCCGGAAGTAGAGATCTATCATCTTAATGATTATCATGTTGATAATCAAGTTCAACTAATCAATGGTTTTAATAACCCTGCTCTTGATTTCAAGGTGCTTAGTTTAGTTAGTTGTTAGGTTTATTTAATTAAAAACGTTTTAATAACTAACCAATGGTTTTACTAACCCTGCTCTTGATTTACGCTACGACAGAGCTATTTTTAGATAACATAAGGAAATTGCGCTAAAATTGTCACTAGACTTTTTAATTAACTTGTTTCTATATTTGTGTTTGACATTGTGTATTTTTCCATTTTATACATTATTTTCTTACAAACAAAAACGATTTTCAGATATGGCACACAGTTTCGTCTATCTAGTGTTCTTCTTGAGGCAGCCTCAGGATTCAATACAGAGTATGATCTAGAAGCAGTAAGTCACTGACAAAAAAAATGCTGAAACTTATTTTTCTCAATATATAAGTAATGATCTTAGGGCCATTTTTTTTTAACTGACACACTCTTTCCTAAAACAAACTATTAAGTTTAGGCTATCAATTATATATATATATATATATATATATATATATATATATATATATATATATATATATATATATATATATATATATATATATATACATATATTTATATATATATATATATGTATATACATTATATATATATATATATATATTTATATATATATATATATATATATATATATATATATATATATATATATATATATATATATATATATATATATATATAATATATATTTATATATATATTGGCCTATATATTTTTTCCTTTTAATTATTTATTTTTATCACCGCATTGGGGCATACCCCTTTGTAACGCCCACCATAAGTTTAAATACTGTATCCTTACACACATCACAGCTAAAAGCTTTGAAGGCTGAACATGAAGGACAGTGGGCTGCTGGTTCTGGTGGGATTGATCAGGCCATTGAGAAAGTCTCTGGGAATGTCAACTGGATGAAAACCAACCAAGAAGCCCTGGAATCCTGGTTAGCAGGCCTTGGATATTAAGACAATTTTAAACATCGTTAAATTTTACTTTTGGCTTTAGAGATGTCATTAATTTAATTCAGTTTAAATAGTACTTAAAATAGAAAATTTATTTTTTTAAATGACACAATTTGATGTCTTTATGTTACTTATTATAAAAACTATGGTTAAAAATATAGCTTGACTAAATAAATAAATGTAGATAAGACTTAAACAAAAAATCTCTAGACTCTTCGTTGTCTTTGAGAGGTAACACTGCGTTAAATTTGTAAAATAGTGTACATTTGAATTATGTTTAACCTGGAAGCTTTATAACAAAATCGATTTAATTAATTTTTGTTTGACTTGATGTACATTTTAATGAATTTATTTTACCAATTCTGGTTTCTTTTTAAAGTTAACTGTTTCCTATTATTTGTTAATCATACCATACTTCAAATGAAATTGATAAATAAATACAGAATAGTGCATTTTCTTGAACTTTAATGTTTGTACTGGTCTATCCTATTTCAAACTAAAAACTAAAAAGAGTAAAATGTTGTTGTAAAATAAAGACAATCAAAATAAAGAGAACTTGCTTAACACTTTATGCTACATTATGTGTGGAGCAGTTTGGTTAAGTGTTCAAATGCTAACCCAAATTTCTCAAGATATAACACTGGTCCTTTGAGTCTGCAGGATGTACCTGAGTCCACCCATCTCAAATGAGTACCTGACTAATCTTCGGGAAAGTAAAGTCAGCTGAGTACACTGCTAACTACACTATTCAGTTCATATGCCAAGGGTCATATATGAAACTAATTCGTCTGCACTATCGATCATTAAGTCTGAGAGGGCAATTTTGGTTATTTTATTTTAATATCATTACATGGTGGCACTACAGGGAGTCAGCAACAGGCAAAAGTTTGCTTACGCCTATTTAAGTTAATGTATTCCTTATATTTATGCATTTATTTTCTAAACTGGTAATTGTGTATTTACAAATGTAGACTAAAAATTATGGCAAAAGGATAACTTTCAGAAGGTTCCAGAATTGGCTAGTCATTTCCCGCATTAATTGACAAGTGTAGTAAAATAGAGATGTAAGCCCACTGAAGCTACTTTATGTTTTCTAATTTGGCCATTTCAACTTGGAAATTGATCTGCCATCAAATTTTTGCTTTCAAATATTTCTCAATGTTTTTGGGACACAAGTCTATGCAGTACATCTCTCCGTTCTCTTGCCAGGTCACGAGTGTTGGCTAGGTCAGTCCCACAATTTTCTAGCTGTTGGTTAACACATCTCAGTAAAGACTCTGATCATGGTAATCCGTTTCCATTCTCGTCAGATAACATAAAATTCAGATTTGCATAGGGTGACTTGAAAGATGTAAAACGGAAAAACGCGCACTGTTTTACCACTAAATATAGTAGTGCCCCTTACCCACTATGCAGGACGCCCGATTAACTGATGCCAAATGACAACATTGCCGCTCTAGAACTCTGGGTGCCAAACCGTGTATTAACAAAATCGCACCCTCCATGGTGCTGTCCATAAGAAGTTTTTATTTACTTTTTCCAAGAAATCTTTTCGGAAGTATTTTCATTTACTCCCCAAAAATAGTTTTTTGCAGAACCCTTCCCTGGAGTGTTCTAATCTATACCCCAAAGGTTCACGGTGATCGGAGGAATGGTGTCAAACCGCAATCGACTTTTATTTTTTATATACCGTATAGAGAGAACAATTGAATCGAGCCCTGCCGGGCGAATTCGAAATTGTTTTTTTCGCAGGAACCTCCCCAGGAGTACTTAACAACTTCCCAAAGTTTCATGGCGATGAAATGAAAGGTGTAGTAATGCAATAAAGACAGACAGACACACATACATTGCTTTATATATATAAATTATATATATATATATATATATATATATATATATATATATATACATATATATATATATATACATTTATATATATATATATATATATATATATATATATATATATATATATATATATATATATATATATATATATATATATATATATATATATATATATACAACAATAATAGAACATAAAATTATTTGAATTTATTGTGGGCACTAAACTAAAATCTAGCCTGCTATGCATACTATAGATAACAGGTTTTTGGCTTTCCAATGTAGCAAAAATGTAGCATTATTAAACGAAGCAATTTTATGCTTGGTGAATGCTAAATTTGTTTCAAACTTACTGCACCAACACGGTGGTTTCCCAGCTGCTAATGAAGGCCACCGTGTGGACGCAAGGGATTGCCCGAAATAAAAAATTTACATTTTATTGAGAATTGACATACATTATCAGTTAGAGGATAAGAAGTAGCGTATTTACAATGAGTAAAGTGTTTCTTTTAGAGGGTTTTTTTCCGGGGTGGCACTTGGAATTTTTGGGGAGGGCGGGGGCGGACTCTGGTAGACCTATATATTTTGTATATAAATTATATTTCGTGGGGGGGGGGGAGGGAGGGTAGCCGTTCTAGGGTTTGAATTTCGCTAATCAGGATATTATGTTGAAACCAATCTTCTGTGGCCAAAAACTCACCACCGTCTATTGCTAATCAAGTGTTCGATAGTGCTTTAACATGTTTCCTCCCTAATCTTTAAATTAAGTATTAATAACTAAATGAACATCTAATTACATTAAACCTTAAATATTATTGCGTTGTCGTTGGAGACGAATATATTTGGACAATATTAATAAAATCTCTGCATTACTAGTGGACCAAAATAAAGTTACAAGATTTGCGACAAACAGAAATAATGAAGGGCGGAATAATTGATAGATATCGTGAAATAAATAAATGTATACAATAAAGGGGCTTAACCGGATTAATATGCTAATCGTGTTTATGTTCATTTCATACATGTATGTGCAAACATGTTGGACAACTATGTAATAATCGATAATGTATGGCTAGATGGATTAATTTGCATTGTAGGTTTTATTATGTTAAAATTACTTTTTAAAAAACTACTTTTCAGTTTAAATTAAAGAAGGTGTAGAATTTTAAATAACATTTTATAAAATGAAACCGTTATGAAATAAAATCTTAAGAACCACCGCAATAACTTACAAGAAAAATAGCCTATAAATATGTTACGTCAGCATCATTTGCTCTCTTTATATATACAAATGATCTGCGCTATTAAAAAAAATTCTACTCATTTACTGCAGAATCGTAATGCAGTGTTAATTCCCCTCAAGCACATATTAAATCTTATCTTTTCTACCTTTACATCAACCCTTTGACAAACAAACCACAGCAATAAACTACAGTAAGTTTTAATAGCTTGTAAATAATCTACGTCAAACAGACATGGTCATTCGAAATTTAAATCTGCAGTATAAAACTAAGAATTGATGGAAAAAAATCGCCATGGAGTTTTAATGTCCACCAGTGGCGTAGCCAGGATCGTCTCAAGGGGGGGGGGGGGGGGTTCCAATTTTTACCCGGGGACAAACTTTCGATTTGCACCCCGCACCTCAAACTTTCGATTTGCACCCCCACCTCAAACTTTCGATTTGCACCCCCCCCTCAAACTTTCGATTTGCACCCCCCTCATACTTTTCATATATATACCGAGGGGTCTATGGGGGGCTATAGCCACCCTTACCCCCCCCCCCTTCCTACGCCACTGATATCCACTTCAGCAGAGCCGTGAAGCTTATTTTGTGTACCGCAATCATAAAGTTGGGCCAACAAAAGTGGAAAGTGTCGAGCAAACTGGTGGGTATAAAAGGTGTGCGACTACCCCGTCTCTCGTCACAATTTTATAGTTTCATATTCCCACAAGGCTTAGAAAAAAAAGGTAAGGTAAATTTTGCCTGTCTTAGCAAACAGGACAAAACTTAACCAGGCAAGTTTTCTATTGAATGTGATATTCATGCTTAGTGATAGGCCTGCTTGAGAAAAAAAATGTGTTAAAGTATTTTGTATCTTTGAAGTTTACTATATTATTATGAATCATAAACGGATTCACTCTATGACGAAACGAAGAAATATTATAAAAATCTTATTAAAAAACTCTAGATATAAGTTATTTTTGTGAATAATTAGTGAATTTCGGTTATGAGAAAATCTGTGTGATGAGTTGATTTAATTGTAAGATTAAATTGTTTTCCTGTACGATATGCAAATAGGGCAAATGAAGTCGAGATTATTTGTTTCGGTGACCTCGGCATATAAATGGAGAGTGTTCAGCCTCAAAGTTTCTTACAAACTTTTTTCTTCCGGAAAGGGATACGTTAGATGTACCCTGTGACTTGAACCTTGTACCCATCAGATCTGGGTGGACTCCGGGATTGGCCCCCTAGAATTTCGGGTTACCAGTCGAGCACTCAACCGTCCAATGAAGCCGTTTTATAGAAATATTTACACTTAAATAGTACTTTATCTCACAAAGTATTACATTTCAAACTTACGGTTAAATCTGGATTTGTTACTTTACCTAACATGTATTGCAGTTTGACGGGTCATATTACAATATCGACTTCATTTATTTGATTATAGACTTGCATAGAAGGAATTTTTTGGTGGTTACGTCATAGTAGGATGACGGGATTACTAGAGTGACCTATGTCTAAGTGGGACCACAGGCTAACTAGAGTAACCTATGTCTTAGTGGGACGACAGGCTAACTAGAGTGACATATGATGCCCTAGTAGGACGACATATTTACTATTGTGGCATATGTCCTACCTAGACCATAGGCTAACTACTACTAAAAAAGGAACGACATAATCACTCAAGAAAAATCTGAAAAATGCTCTTTTGCACCAATATTTTAGCATGGCGAATTCTCATTGCAGTTGGCCTAGATGACAATGACCCTCAAATCGGCCTTGACCTTGGGTCTAGTGCTGTTCATGTACAACAGCTGTATGGCCAGCAGACGGAGCAGCTGTGATGACAGCCACTGGAAACTAAAATTTGATATCTTCAAACCCTACTGTGTCAGGTTGGCTGCTGCCGGCGATAAACACATTTGTGAGTCGAAATTTTCATTGCTTACATTATTATTTTTAAATTCAAGAAACGCATAAAATAAGACTACTGATGATCAATTTGCATTGACGTAAAGGTATACAAATAAAACATAATTATTATTTTCATAGATCAAGCGTTAATTTTTACTTTCATAAATTTATAATATTTATATGAACAAATGTTATTTGTTTAGTGTTAGGTAAAATATTTTGAGATTTTAATTCACTTTTAATTCAATATGGATAATGCTTTTGCTGTGATAAGTTGTTTTGTTTTTTAATTAAATTTTAAAATTAATTTTCCCTCACTTGGGAAGGTAACAGATGTCCACTAAAGCCCACAACAACAACTACCGAAAGAACGTCTACAACTACAACAACCACCCCCGCACCGACAACCACACCGACACCTGCAGTAACGGATCTGAGACTTCCAACATCAGTCTCACCTCTCCACTACAACATCGAAATCACAACCTTCATTCACTACACGGATCCTGCGAACTTTTCATTTACGGTAACGTATTGAGCTGTGAACTAGAGTTAGAGCTAATCTGCTAACCCGAGTTCGAATCCGGGTTCAATTCAGTAGAACGCCCCTGAGTCCACCCAGCTCTGATGGGCAGTGTTTCTTCCAGACTTTTTTCACCGCCGGGGGTGCACCTGAAATTTCCGGGGGGGGGGGGGGGACACTGTCAAAAGTATATATTTTCTATATAAATTCCGTTTCGTTCGGGGGGGGGGGGGGGGGCGGTAGACTTTCGTTTGGGGGGGGGGGGCGGTGGCTAGCTCATGTTAGGGAAAGTAAAGTCGGCTGACCACACTCTCCTTTCATATGCCTGGTTCATAGAAAGTGGGGAACTGTACTTGCAAAATTTATAGAAGAAAAATATATAAGCCTATATAAGCCCTACATAAACCTATACATTAAAAAACTGACTGAACCAATAACGCCCCACGACAAAACTAATCAACTTTGAATTTGATGAAACGTATCCACTTTCTCCCAGGGTTCCGAGAAGATCTGGATCCAGTGCAACACACCCGCCGACAACGTGACCATCCACTTCCGGGTTCTGACCATAGACCCCGCCTCAATTAAGTTCTATGGCGACCCCGTCTCGTCAGATGACCCGCTCTACGTCACGTCATCAGTCGACCTGGTCAGGGAGTTTTTCATCATCAAGTTGGACAGGAATATGCAGGTGAACTAATGTTGAATGCTAAAGAAAGTCTTTAGTATAATTCCACTCCACACACACACATTCAAAAACATCATATAGGCCTAGATTATGCCTTCATGCAAATGTCAATTTCGGCTATTTTTACTTTCTATGTCCGAAGTATAGAGGAAGTACTGTAATCGTGCAAAAACTCGAAATCGAAATTTTCACAAATCTTGACGTTTTACACATCCCTGAGTCGGAAAAACACAGCTTTGCAATTTTATCCTTATGTCTGTGTGTGTGAGTGTGTGTGTGTGTGTGAAAACAATAACTTGGGTACCTTTAAGCTAGGTTAATGAAATTTCACATATAAGTATTATATCAAATTTGTAGTTCTGTATCGACTTTTCGGCGATTTCCGGGACCGGAAGTGGAACTTATTCTAGTTTTAATGTTTTTTAAATATAACTTGACAACTGTTTCAGATAGAGAGACACAATTTCACATATAAGTAAAAGATCAAATTATCTACCTCCTGTAAAAGTTTGAGTAATTTCCGTGTACGGAAATAGTACTTTACGCTATTTCCGTTTTCTCAAAAACCATAATTGATTTTATACAGTATTAACATTCCGCACTTTTATACACACATTATTTGCAGTTCACTTTATGCGCAATTCTTTTTTCTACCATATTCTATTCTATTTTTTAATAATTTTTTTTCTATTTTTTAAATGTTAAGGAAATTAAAATTGGATTAAAAAACATATCTATATCAAGAGTTGCCATCCCCCGTTGTCTTATATAAGTATACGAGCCGACCCGCGGCGTATCATACGCCGCTATTTAGTTGTTTTATTTTCTACTTTTCAGTAATTCATAATTTGTGAATTCGACAGTACCACTGCTGTCACTGAAATTATTTGCTTCAAAACACTATCAGTAAGTCGTTAAGGACAATAACCCCCCCTCCTTTCCCCCAACCCCTACCCCCCTCCCCCCCCCCCCCCCCCCCGTGAAAGCAGCCTCCTCTTAGCTACCTCCCCTAAGTTTTAAATCGTTTCAAACTAAATTATCTACCCCTAATAGCCGTCACTAAACCCGGCTCTACGATTGTAAACATTTAGCGTGAACCACAGCTCACCAGACTTCCTAGAGAGGAAGAGAGGGGACTGCAAGGCGCGCTTACAGCTTGTTTTCTAACGTCTCCAAGAAGAGAATTATATATATAGATTTGAGAAACTTTAGGGTAGATCACTCCAGCTTTATTTATCTCTATGAGGATTTATTAATTTAAAATAATCACTCTCTTAGGTTGGAAAAACTTACATTTTGGAGCTGAGATTTACTTCAGTGTTGAATAACGATCTGGCTGGCCTCTACTACAGTGTGTACTCAAACAATGGGAAACAAACGTAAATTTGTTGTTTGTTTTTACTCACTTCTTAACTTAACTTAAAATATCACGTACTATAAAATAATAAGATAACAATCAGCCTTGTTGTTATTATAAAATTCGTTAAAATATAGTCTGCACTATTTAGTTTATCAAAAATATAATCGATTATAATAACCAGGCCATTAAAGTATAGTCGATTACACTAATCAGGTTATTATAATGTAGTCTATTACAATAACTATGTCATAGAAGTGAAATTGATTACAATAGCCAGGTCATTAAGACTTAGTGACTAAAAAACCAGGTTATTAAAGTATAATCGATTACACTAATAAGGTCATTAAAATGTAATCGATTACACCCACCAGGTATATAGCCACTACACAATTGGAGCCGGTAGACGCCAGAAAAGCCTTCCCCTGTTTTGACGAGCCGGCACTGAAGGCCACGTTCAACCTGAGCCTAGTACATCCCAGCTCCATGATCTCACTGGCCAACACTCTACCCGTGGCCACTGGGCCAGCCTTGTGAGTATTGTGTGCATTCACCACTGTCCGGTCACTTTAGGTCAATTATCCTACCCAGGGTATACCTAGGTGTGACATTAATGTCGCTCTACACCAGGGGTCTCCAAACTACGGCCCGCGGGCCGGATGCGGCCCGCGAGGTCCTCTCATCCGGCCCGCGGAGATCCTTTTGTCCACGGAAAAAACGTTTGTTGGTGCTGCCTGGGGAACTTTGCCCAGAAAAATCAAAGACATGCCTGGAAGAAACTGGCCCCAGAACTGAAATTTTATAGTCAATGCGGCCCTCGGACTGAAAAGTTTGGAGACCCCTGCTCTACACAATTACGGCCTCTTCTGTTTTAGGTGTTGAGGGGGTGGGGGATAACCAACTCAGAGTGAACATAGCGTCAATTTTTAGATGACTGTTCTAAACATATATATACAATTATACATCTCTACTGATTTAGAAATAAGTAACAGTGGTATTATGACAGTAAAATAATTATCATGAAAAAAGTTTTAAAAAACCCACGTTTTCTGATTGAACTAAAAAGTAGAAAATAAATGCTATACATCACAATAATGCAAGCGATCACTCTACTTTAAGCGATGAAAAACGTGGGGCGCCGAAGTAAAAGTTACATTACTATTGATTAGATAATACTATTGACTTTTATTAGGGAGCTTGTAGAGAGTCAACAGTATTAGAAACTGTAAGAAAATCACGGCGCCCCACGTTTTTCATCGCTTATAGTAGAGTGATCGCTTGCATTATTGTGATGTATAGCATTTATTTTCTACTTTTTAGTTCAATCAGAAAACGTGGTTTTTTTTTAACTTTTTTAATGATAATTATTTTCTACTTTTTAGTCTTTGTCTGTTTGTTTGCTTAAAATCTTGCTATCGATTTTATCTTTTCGCATTCACTTTTTTTTTTGGGTAAACGAAGACAACTCGTAAAAAACACGTGCCTTGAACCCGTGTCGAGTGGGTTAGCAATCGTGTGCCCCACCACTCGACCATATCGTCTCCCCCATACTGGCCACCAGTTGTTCCGGTTGTTTGTACACAAACACCACGTGAACACTACTCAGTAAGCAAAAAGAGGGAGAGTACCGACCCTTGTTTTCATCAAATTACAATTACTGGGTTATGTCCCTTCCCCCCCCCCCCCCCCACGGATTTTTGTACAATTATATAGCGGTCTAAAATGATCAATAAAATGTTTCCATGGATCAATTTAGTAATAATAACAATTGAATATTCTATTGTCATCGGAAACAAAGCTTCCCTGAAAATTTCAGCGCGCTAGCTAACTGGGAAGTGCCCGAAATTTCGATCGCAAGATTTGATTGGAAAGACGCGAAAGCAAGTTAAAGAAAACGTGGTAAAATGTTTACATACGGTCCATGAGGGGGTGGCATAACCCACCTAACCCTCCCTCCCCCTGCTTACGCCACTGCAATTTGATCATCCATGTAACATAAGTGTGCTCTAATAATTACAGTGTTGTTGATGGAGTGGAATATGTACGAGATATTTACCTCCCTTCCCCGAAGATGTCTTCTTATCTAGTGGCTTTTGTTATTTGTGACTTTTCTTTTAAGTCTACTGTTACTGCCAATGGTGTTCTGGTAAGTTGTGTTTAACTTAAAGACATAATTGGTATCTACGAATATGCATATTGGTTCAATTACCTGTAGCAAACGTCATCATCTTTTTCCGTTTGCTGTCCAAAACAGATGAGGCAGACGAAGTAAAGTTCGTCTGTTTAATTGGCCTAGGCATACAAGGCGTACAAGGTCAGCTCTATAGCCGATTGGTGGACTCAGGGAGCTCTACTGACTTGAACCCGGATTCGAACTCGAGGCTTTCACATGCCCAGGTCTCAGATGAACTCTACTTCATCTGCTCCCTTGTGTCTTGGGGACGAACGAGATAAGATGATGTTATAGATGACCTACTGTTTAAAATTCCAATGCTCCCAATATCTGCCTCCAATCTTACCGACCATTATTTCCTTAGTTCCGTTCATGGACCACGACCAGTACCCTTGACCAGATCGACTACGCCCTTGATATCGGTGCCAAAACTCTCACATTTTATGAAGAGTTTTTCGGAATTAAATACCCATTGCCTAAACAAGGTATGCAAATTCTTACAGGTTTACATTTCATAAGTCGTTAACTCCTCATTATCAGGGGCGTAGCGAGGGGGGGGGGCGGGGGGTGCGGACCGCACCGGGTGACACCATTTAGGGGGGTGACACCAAGGCAAAAAATAGCAAAATATATAGAGAAAAACTCGAGGGGGGGGGGGGGTGCAAATCGAAAGTTTGAGGGGGGGGGGGGTGCAAATCGAAAACTCGAGGTGCAAATCGAAAGTTTGAGGGGGGGGTGCAAATCGAAAACTCGAGGGGGGGGGGTGCAAATCGAAAGTTTGAGGGGGGGTGCAAATCGAAAACTCGAGGGGGGGGGGGGTGCAAATCGAAAATTTGAAAGTTTGTCCCTGGGAAGGGTCTCTATGCCTCTGGGGGGGGGGGGGTGACACCATTAAGTGCCGCACCGGGTGACACCCGACCTCGCTACGCTACTGCTCATTATAGGTACTTGAAGAAAACGTTATTTGTATTAGAGATGTAAATTCCACGCTGATGCTTCTTGGATTCCCGCCCAAGATTAACAAACATGGAGCTTTAATTTAAAATACCGTCAACGTTCTGTAAACTTCAATTTGGGGTTTAAAACCCTGTCTTTCCACTTCCCAGCAAATAAAGCATGAAAGTAGATAGATTACGTCACAAGTACCAAATATTCAAAATATACCAACCATAGCCATTAAGAACACTGACGTATCTATACAATGAACTCAACCAAAAATCCTTTTGACAGAAAAAAGCAGATTTGCTTCAATTTTCATAACTATTTTAGTAAAGAAAATGACAATGATTATTTTGTTTTTCACTTTTATTTTTTTTTTAATTTAAACACAATTTTCAAAGCAATATAAATCTGTCAATAATAAACCAAATACAATTAAATATTAGTCTGTATCTCTTTTAAAAAGTTACATTTTCTAAATTCTAAACTTTCTTTTAATCATGCGTTAGTTGTTGCTTTACAATAGTACTGTATATCATTAACATCATCAAGAATCAGTTTTTAATAAATAACAAAATAAGATTTCTTTTTCAATTTTTTTATAAGATATGATTGGAATTCCCGACTTTGTCGCATCAGCTATGGAAAACTGGGGTCTAATTACATACAGGTGTAGTTTTATGATTGATACTAAAAAAATTTAAATGTTAAAGTATAACGTAATTGTTAATCTATATAAACAATAACTAGCCAACCTGTTACAATAATATGAATTACAATTAATAAAATTACCATTAATAATATTACCATTTGACTATAAACCTTATTTGAAACAGACAGAGCTACCTTCTGTATGAACAAGGAATATCCAATGAAAATGATAAAGAGACGGTGTCTAATGCAGTAACACATGAACTGGCGCATCAAGTACGTTTTCAAAATGTTTTCAAATATTGAAACTAGTCTATAATAACAATTTTGAAGAAAAAACGTACGTACATACACAGAGACATATATAGTGTGTGTGTGTGTGTGTGAGAGTGCGTGCGTGCGTGCGTGCGTTCGTGTATGTGTGTGTTTATGTGAGTGTGAGTGTGTGTTTAAAAACTGTTTGCTTGTAAAAGCTAATTTTGCATTCATGTTGCTTTAGGACCTTGATGTAAAACTTTAGTAGTGAAAACATCTGTTTTAATCAAGTGAATGGTTAGGGTGTTTTACGAGCTATAAGACTTTAATGTCAATGATATTATGTTGTTTGTGACAACACAATGTCTGTCCCGCAGTGGTTTGGTGACCTTGTTAGCCCTGCCTGGTGGGATGACATATGGCTGAACGAGGGGTTCGCGACCTTTGTGGAGTATCTGGGAGTTGACAATGTGCACCCAGAGTGGAAATATGTAAGAAGATGATTTTGTTTATTTTTACAGGAACGTTTAGAGTTATGAGATGTTAAATCACTAAGGGAGAAAAACATAACACGATCAAAATAACGTAATGTGTACTTTCATTTTTTTATGCAACTCGTTTAGGTCCAAATACAAAATTTGTATGCTTAAAACTTGGATCTTTTCCAGATAAACCCCGCCAAAAAATATTTAACCCCTGCCACCAAAATATGATTATAAAAACGAGGATATGAAACTTTTTTACTTTTTATTAGAGAACATGACATTAATGATAGTAATAAACATGAAAAGGTCTGTATTTACCTTTAACCCTAACCCTCAAGATTGCTTGCGTGCATTAAATTAAAGCTGGCAAAAAGTGGCGGCGCCACTACTTGTTGCAGTAGTGGCAGGGCTTATTTGGAAATGACCGTAAAACTGCTTTACATTATCATCTTATACTGCTAGTGCAAAAGAAACTTGGGACAGATGAAATATATACCATCTGTTTCACCTACATCAAATAATAAAGGTGTAGTGTGGTCCGTACTATACCTAACCGCCTTCTCCTAACATGAGGCAGGTACCCATCATAGTATGGTTTGTGTATAATTCATTGTTTTCAGGAAAACTTTCAAAAATTCTAAATTACTAAAAGTCGTTGGTCAGGAAAGATGGCTGTGCATTATAAATAAATTGTCAATAGTGTAGCCCTAACAACTCTCCCGGGGTTTTTATGTAGATCAGTGGTTTTTACTTTGGAACCTCGGGAGTTCCATCCGCGTATTCACCAAATTTTTCTTTTAGTTCTATAATCCGCATTAACAAAATCCGATCGTGAAACGTGTGAATCGGGTGTTTGCCAAGACCTCAACCAAACCCTGAGACTGACTCAACAAACCCTCGGGGTTCAATTTAACGGGTTAAGAACCACTGTTGTAGATAGATAGCCCATAACCCATATGGTTTCACTTGACACTAGTTTGACATCATGGTAGTCAAAGAGATCCACGGTGCTCTACAGCTGGACAGCCTTGTGACATCCCATCCACTCTATGTTCCAGTCAGCCTTGTTTCAGATATTCTACAAATTTTTGACAGCATCTCGTACTCTAAGGTGACTAATTGTTTTACTGTTTTATCACACCACACATAGTTTTGAAATTGTGTTGACTGTTTTTCTAATTAAGCGTTTGGAAAATATCTAGGCTATATTAAACGATTCAATAAATAATTTTCTTGTTTGCATAATTGCATATTTACATATTTGCATTTCGTGTATTTACACCATATATACGTAAACGTAAACGTGAACGTGAACGTGAACGTGAACGCGAACGCGTACGCGTACACGTACGCGTACACGTACACGTACGCGTACACGTACACGTACACGTACACGTACACGTACACGCTTACGCGTATACATATAGGCTACATATATGTGTGTGTTTGTGGTTTTGTAAATATGTATTTGTGTAAGTTAGGTGCATATGTGTATTTGTTTATTTATGTATATAACTATGTTGTGTGTATATATATATATATATATATATATATATATATATATATATATATATATATGATCTAGGGTGGTGGTATAATAAGAATGCTGCGTCACTTCATTGGAGAAGAAACTTTCAAGAAAGGATTGAATGTATGCCTTTTACTTTAATACACTTAATAAGTGTTCGAACTTAGAAAGCCACACAAAAATTAAATTTAAACGTTTAACCCATCACTAGTAAGATTTCTAGAATTGTGTGCGTTTAGGATAAGTTGATACAAACTGTATGTTGTTTTTTTCATCTGTCAGAGATACCTAACAAACCACATGTACTCTACTGCTACACACAATGACTTGTGGGATGCTATTACTGAGGTAAATAATGTAATGTTAAAATTTAAACTTGAAGTTCTTTTTCAATATTTAAGGCAGTTGAAGTAGCATGCATATTTATCTTTTAACTCAATAAATAAAAGGAATGTGTGCACTCACTTAAGCACTGCTACCTTAATGTCCCCTAAATCTTGAATTTGACGGACAAGGGACGCTACCCTAGCGAGAGTTATGGAATTAAATTTTTTTCGGTTAGTGGCTTGGTGCTCTCAGAGTTTCTTCAAGGCATTTCTTCGGGAGGGGGGGGGATGATGGTGCCCCCCCCCCCCCCCCAAAGAAAGTCTCCCGCCCCCGGCCCCCGAACATGATGGAATTTATATAGTAAACATATACTTTTACTAGTGTCCGCCCACCCCCCGGAAAATATAGACCCCCCCCCCGAGAAAAAAGTCTGGAAGAAACACTTGGTGCTCTTCTTCTCGATCACACTTAAACATGACTTTATTATTTGAAAGATCTAATTGTTGTCACGTATCACAAGTCGGGGGCGGGGGATACTGTCCGCACTGGGTTATACAATTTAGGGAGGGTCGGGTGACACTAAATCGAAAAATCATAAATTTACTTTTAGAATAATGTTTTTATCTAATTAAAAATAATAAAATAGTAGGCTCGAGGAGTGACAAATTAAAAATGCGAAATTGTTGCAATGAATGGGGCTCGCCCTCAGTTTCTACCACTGCTGACACCACTACTCTTGACGCAACTGTTGTTTTAAAATAAATGAGCAATCCATTTTCCTTAGCCTCCGTTACTGAATAAAATGAATAAATTGAAATTAGTTTAGTAGCTCTATATTATGTGAAAAAAAAATGTTTTTTACGCTTTATAACGTATAATTATTTTAATTATTAAAATGGCATGTATATCTAATTATTCTTGAAACATACTTTTCCATTTAAGCAAGCATCGATAGATGGCAAGGGTATTGATGTCAAGGACATCATGAACACCTGGACGTTACAAATGAACTATCCGCTGGTCACTATCAGTCGAGATACGTCGTCTGCTGATGTCGTTGTTGTGTCCCAGGAGAGATATTTATCTAATCGAAATGTGGTCGATCCAGGATTATACCAATCACCCTTTGGGTAAAATCTTAATTAATTAAACCAATGAAATAGATATTTATCTAATCGAAATGTAGTTAACCCAGTATTATTATAGTATTATACCATTAGGATGAAATCTAAAATTAATCAAACCAATTAAAAGCCATAGGTTTTAATTTAAAAGTCTAGCTTACAAGTACATGTAGCCTACTTACTTTGAATTTGTTTAAAAAAATGAATAAAATCGTTAAATTTATAATAGGCTTATCAACTGAATTATTCATTTTTTTTCATTAAGATATCGTTGGACAATTCCTGTGACAATAACATCCAGTAAAAATCCAAACTTTAATGAAACAAACGCTCAAGTTTTTTGGTTGACAAGAAATGATACTTCAAGTACCATTTTATTTGTTAGAATTTTAAATAAATCAATTAATATTACAGTATCGCAATTCGCCAAGACAAATTGAATTTGGAAAAAAAAATACCATTTTTAAATTACTTCATTTTCAACATCTTACATTACTTTAATACACATAATACACAGCTTATTAATATTTTCTAATGACGTTTTTATCTCTGCATGAATTGATATCATTGTTGATATTTTTACTCGTATAGAAAGTTTTAACATTGGAGCAGACAATCTCCCAGACCTGAATGATGCTAATGGTTGGATTCTCGCAAACATAGATCAAGTGGGATACTATAGAGTGACTTACCCAGTTTCCAACTGGTTGGCACTTAGCAACCAGCTAAATACCAACCATGAGGTATGCTACTTTTGGAAAAATAAAATGTGTTGTTGAAATTTCTAAATGCAAAGTTTTAAGTAAATTAATTTTATATTTTTTAAACAAAGGTATTAAATATTACTTTAATTTGATTTATTTTTTTCTTTGCTTTATTTTCCTTTGAATTGTCTTTTACATTTCAACAACAGCTATCTTATATTTAAAACTTTCAAATTTTTACTTTATTTTTAACAAATCCATTTTAAATAATAATGGTTTGTAAAAGTAAACCGTTAAACATTTAAACGAAAACATAATTAATAAACACTATTTTTTAAACATACTTTGAATCTCATTTCATAAAATATAGGTATGCCAGCTCAAAAAATAATATGTTTCTAGCTGAATTGATATTTTTTTTAAATTGATTTTGTTTTGTACGTTAATACAGGCTATATCAGCTGTAAACAGAGCTCAAATAATCAATGATGCTTTCAGTTTAGTCAGGTAATGGGTTGTGTTCTGAGGTACAGGAATCGATAACATTACAAAAAATGACACAGGGTTATCAAAAAAAAACTGTTGACACTGATTAGACTTGACACTTGAAAACTACATTGACCTTTTAACAATAACACATCAATAACAGCTACTAAAATACAACAATAACCTTAATATTGATTTAGTATTAAATCTATTTAATACAATTAGCCATGTAAATAAATATCACATGATCAGGTCTGGGGATCTTGAGCTAAGCGTGGCACTGAAGTTTTTTGATTATCTGGACAAAGAAATGGATTATGTCCCTTGGTATGTTGCAAGCAAAGAATTTGAATATATAAACCTAATGCTGTCCCTCAATCCATTGTATGGAAAATTAAGCGTAAGTTTTTAATAATTTCAATTGTGTTTTGATAAGTTTTGTGATTTATCCAAGACAACAGTTTAACATCTTTTTAGCTTTTTTTTTTACACAATTTTTATTTTGATTTGTTTAAAAATCAAGACAGATAAACCACTTCACTTATTTTCTTTAATCTGCTTATTTATATTATTTAAATCATATTATTGTTTAATGTTTTCTTCAACAGTATAAAATAAATTTAAATTTAATAATTATAAAAAATAGACTCATCATTAATGTAATATCGATATCAAAAAAATTGATTGTTTTATCTTTACAATTGGCTTTTTTTTAATTATCCTGTGCATTTAATGATTTAAAAAGAAACATGAAGTAAAAAATTAAAATGTACAACATTCAACATATAAAGCGTACATTTGATGATTCAAGTTCAGTGTGTTATACTAAAACCTTACTATGATTTTATTTATTGAGCTACACATTACTGAAGTTTTTTTTTATTATCCTAAACATTCATAAATATATAGTTATGTATCTGTAAAATTATGATCAAGAATAAAAGAATGCAAATTTATCAGATTTTATTAACTGCTTGAAAATGTTAGTAATATACTTAGATTCAATTCATATTTTATGAATAGTTTTACTTCTAAATATTTATTTAATGTAGATATTTATTATGTCTTTTTAAAAAATTACAGCAATTTATGCAAGAGAAGTTTAGCAAACCTTTCAACATCTTTGGTTTAAACAACACTGGTTCATCACATCTTCAAATGTAAGATAATTATGTATCATACAAATAACACAAAATCATTTAAAAACTTAATGTTTATGAACTTTTTATCAAATGGAATTTTTAATTCACCTCATATTTTCAATAATTGATTTTCTTCTTAATAACGTTTACACGTTTGATTAAAACTTTAGTTTTTGTAACAAAAACACATGTATTTCAATTTCAATATCAGATGTTAATATTATTATTTTTATTATTTCTCATAAGTAATCCTTAAAGACTGAATTTAATATTAATAATTTTATTTACAGAGGCACTAGACAAATTATAGCCAGTGGTGCTTGTCAATCCGGAGTGCAAGAGTGTATTGACACTGCTGTAAACCTTTACCATCAGTGGATGTCTAATCCTAGTGCTAATCCGTAAGACCTTAAAAGCGTTTTACTTACCATGTTGAGATTATTTTCATACACTATTTAAGAACAAATTACAAATAAAAAGTTTGCTTAATTTTTAAAGTGTTTTTCTTTTCGATGTTAACATTTTTTAGCTTAGATTTTTTTGCATAAAAAAACAAAAAAAGAACTAATTGCTGGAAGTTAATCCTGCTTTATACCCTGAATTTGTTTCTTGTGTTGATATATATAAAGATATAAAATATACACTAATAATAAATGTAAGCATAATAGCATGATTTTTTTGTCGGAACGTTACTACGTATTTATTCATTATGTTATACCATTTTTTTAATCATTTATGACAAACAATACTATACGGTACCAGGCTGTTACATTTTTTTTAAATTAAAGTAGTTTTATGAATGTGCTAAGAGATTTATATTTCTTTTTAATTTTGTTATTTTTTAACTGAATAATACAATATAAGAATTAAAAAAATTATTTATAAAATATAGATTTGTTTTTTTAAAAAATTGACTTGCTTAGTTATGTATGAGAGTATTTTATTTATTTAAATGTCATAAAACAGCATAATCAATTCAAAACATTAATTAAATATGTTTTAAAGCATTTGTTTTCAATGTACAATATTCCCAGAATGAAAATTTGGTCTTAAACAATTTTTTAACCCAAATCAGGATTGATCCGGACTTGAAACCTGTTGTCTACTGCTCAGCTATTGCATCTGGAGGTATTGAAGAATGGAAATTTGGATTACAGGTAAAAAAAAGAAAACTTATATTAAATAAGAAAAAAATACATCTGGTTTTTTTTTTTAAACTGAGTTAGCAATTGAATTTGTTTACCAGCCTTTCATAAATTTGTATTACAATTTAATCACTGCTTACTTACTGTAAATGCTTTGGAGAATGATTAGTCAAATGTTTGAGATGATTTTAAGTAATATTAAACTTGAATTTGCGAACAAACTTCTTTAAAATATAAAATGTTCATAGTGATTCAGTGATCAAAAGCTGTATGTTAGCCAGGTTTTCTTAGTGTACTTTATGAATATAATAAGGTAAATATTATGCAAAATTATATATGTACACACACTTACTAAACTCAGTTTCCTCAATGAATGAAACATTTTAAAATATACAGTATTTACTTGACAAATACCATTTCAATTATGGATGCTTTCTGAATTTTATTCTTATTTTTTATTGTTTCCTAACTTCAGATGTTTACAGATCCTGCAATGCTTTCAGAAAGAGGTGTCCTACTAAATGCTTTGTTATGCTCCACTGATGTGTGGCTTGTCAACAGGTTGGTTATGTTCATTTAAATATAAAAAGATAATATTTTATTAATTTTATACTTATTCACAAAACATGGATGAAAAATCAAATAAAATTATTATATGGTTAGTATCATGCATTAATATCCTGCTATTTTGTGAATTGGGTATGGGTAATGTTTTAATGCATATCAGTAAACATAAAAAAGCAGTTGTAACAGCAAGTTTATATAGTTTTTCATTAAGTAAGAAGATTTTATTTCATCCAATAATAGTATTCATTTTACAATTCCAGTTTATTTGGTTATTCCATTCAAGACAACTCACCAATCCGCACACAAGACACTATGGATCTCTTGGCCTTTGCTGCTGGCAAAACTTTGCCTCGTTTACTGTTCTGGAATTTTTTTAAAGCCAATTTTGATAAATTTATGAACATGTAAGAACCAATTAGTTCTACAGTTTTAAGATGCTAAAGATATTTTATGCTCTAATTTTATTTATTGACCAGCATTTTTCCAAGGTTATTTAACCTTATTTTTATACTTCCTTTTAACCTATTTATCTATTACCACAGCTTATAGCAAGATAAGATGAAAACATATTACAACACAAGTTTGATATTACAATCTAGCTTTATGATTATTTAAATTGATAATTTTTTCTAAACTTTTAAGCATTTCACATTGTGTATTTTTATATTATGTATTATATTATTTCCTTACAAACAAAAACGTTTTTCAGATATGGCACACAGTTTCGTCTATCTAGTGTTATACTTGAGGCTGCTTCAGGCTTCAATACAGAGTACGATCTAGAAGCAGTAAGTTACTGAGAAAAAGATGCTAAAACTTGTTTTTTCTATATGCAATTAATGATCTTAAGGTCATTTTTTTGACTGACACATCCTTTCCTAAGACAAACTACTAGACTATCAATATATATATATATATATATATATATATATATATATATATATATATATATATATATATATATATATATATACATATAAATGCCTATATATATAGTTTTTTAATTATTCATTTTTATAACTGTATTGGGGCATATTCCTCCATACTTCCCACCACTTGTTTTAATACTTTAACCTTACACACATCACAGCTAAAAGCTTTGAAGGCTGAACATGAAGGACAGTGGGCTGCTGGTTCTGGTGGGATTGATCAGGCCATTGAGAAAGTCTCTGGGAATGTCAACTGGATGAAAGCTAACCAAGAAACCCTGGCAAGCTGGTTGGCGAAATATTAAATCAATTTTAAACCTCGTTAAATTTTACTTTTAGCTTTAGAGATTTTATTGATTTAATTCAGTTTCATTAGTACTTAGAATTTTTTTTTAAACTTTTCAATAAATTATAATTGATTTCTTAATGTTATCTATTATAAAAACTATGGTTAAAAATATAGCTTGACTAAATGAATATTTTTAGATAATGTTAAATTTTAAAAATCTCAACACTCTTTACTGTCTTTAAGAGGTATCACAGTTTTAAGTTTGTAAAAAGGTTTACATTATTATTTAATTTAATCTGGAACCATTTATAACATAATGCTTTTTTTTTACTTTAACAATAGGATGTACATTTTAATGAATTTACTGTACTAGTTCTGGTTTTCAAGAAAACTTAACCAAACAATAATTTACTGTTGTTTTTATTTTGTTAGTGATAAACGACTGTTATTATTGGTTAATCAAACCATGCTGCAAAAGAAATTGATAAAATAAATACAATATAGTCCTATTTGTTGAACTATAATGTTTGTACTGGTCTATCCTATTTCAAATCAACTTGAAGTAAAAAAGAGTTGAAGGTTTATTCCAAAATATTGACAATCAAAAAAAAAGAGAAGTTACTAAACACTGTATGATACATTATATGTGAAATAGTGTGGTGAAGTTCTCTACTGGTAACCCAAAAGTCTCAAGATATGATACTGTTCTGCTGAGTCTGCGTGATGTCCCTGAGTCCACCCATCTCAAATGAGTACTTGACTAATCTTCGGGATGGTAAAGTCAGCTGAGCACACCACTGACTACACTATTCAGTTCATATGCCAAGGGTCATATATGAACACCACTTCGTCTGCCCTATCGATCATTAAGTCTGAGAGGACAACTTTAGTTATTTTATTTTAATATCATTACATGGTGGCACTACAGGGAGTCAGCAACAGGCAAAAGTTTGCTTACGCCTATTTAAATGTATGTATTCCTTATACTTTTGCATTTATTTTCTAAACTGGTAATTGTGTATGCTAAAAATTATGGTAAAAGCATAAAGTTCAGAAGGTTCCAGTAATGACTGGTCATTTCCCACATTAATTAACAAGTGTAGTCAAACAGAGATGTAGGCCCACTTGAAGCTACTTTATGTATGCTACTTTGTCTGGCAATTTCAACTAGGAACCATCACATCTACCCTATTATTCTCCTGTGGCCAGAGCTACACTAGTTGAAAATGTAGTTTAAAGTTCAAGATAAATTAATGCAAATATTTAAAAAAAGGAATTTTTTTTTTAAAATGTTGTAACTATTAGTTCAACTGTAAAAAAGTGATTACACAATTTATATAATTTTAACAGGTGATTACAGAATTCACTCAAACATTTGATTTAGATTGATTATAGTTGAATTTCTGATTGAAAATGAATTGAAAAATAAAAATAAATCATCCATAAGTTTTACTTAACTTGAATTTGATCATTTCTAATAAATCATCTGCTCAATTTTTATAAAAGTATTCTTACTTCTTCAGCTGTCCCAAGTTATTTCTAAAGCTGGCTAAATATCTGAGATTAGCAATTAATTTACTTTTAGCCATATTCAGACTTGGCTGGATACTTCTTACTTTAACTAAAGCCTGGCTTTTGACAAGACAGATGGCAATAAACATGAAAAGGAAAAGAAGATAGGACCATGCTCCTTTAAAATTATCCATTTTATTATATGAAGAAAAAGATCACAACATCAAAATACCCTTCACCAAATACAACTGTAAAATATAATAGGAAATGTCCATTAGAAATTGTTATAGCTACATAATCTAATTGCCTGTCATCCAGACTAACACTAGTTGTCTTATTACCCAATCAAAACAAATTCACAACATACAGATGATCTGCAAAAGTAAATCACAAAGTTTTGGAGTGAACAAAGTATGTTCTGTTTGTAAGTTACACAATCTTTTTGCCTGTCATTCTGACTAACTATCTTATTTCCCAGCCAAAAGAATTCAAAACATGCCAATGTACTAACCTACAAATATAAATCACAAATTTGTGGGGTAAACAAAAGTAAGTTCTGTTTGTAAGTTAATGTCAGCTAAAACTAACTGTGTTCAGAACACTTGAACAAGATTGTATTAATGAGCTATGCCTTATCCCACTCCCAAAAAAAAATACAATATAGATCGCATATTGGTATATAAGCTTTATGCTATATTTTAAGCAGGTGAATAAATATATAATAATAATAGTCCAATAAATATGAGTCTTATCATAAATGATAAAGAATTTAATTTGTTTGTTATATCATCATCATGAGTCAATCTATTTAGTATCTAATTTTAAATTCAGTATCAAAATCTCTTTATTTTTAATTTTTTAATAACTCAATTAGTAACATCAAACTTTGTCTAAAATGGCCTATACAAAAAAGGAAAATTTTCAAAAGCTGTTTGCACGCTTTTGTGAGGAAAGTTTAACTAACTTTAGACTAACAATATATCTTATAATAAAATCTATATTTATCTTTCACACAATTTATGCTCCATTTATTACAAGCACAATCAGTGTAAAGAAGATTCAAACTTTACTGATAAATTTTAGTAGATACCAATGGAAGGAAATGCATTAATATTTCATACACAAAGAAAACCTAATACATTTCACTTCGTCGAAAGAAACTTTTACATATTCTAAATACAGTGACAAAAAATAAATAGTATTCAAAAAAATAATAAATAAAAATATACGCAAATGTAAAACTTAAAAACTCATATTAAAACATGTTCGTTTTTTAAAAAACAGTGTTATATTTGCTAAAATATTATTTAAATACCATAACTAATCTTCATTTAATGAAGGTTTTTACCTTTTGTAGCCTATTTGAATTGACAGAAAGTTTAATAAAATTAAAAAAATACTTTCACTAAATTACAGATTTTTAATTAACTATTTGTTTATTTTGAAGTTAGGTTATTAGTTAGCTAAAAGTCAAAACTTTTTCTGTTCATCTTGATCTGCCTTGTAATCATTTTGTTTACTTGTAGTATCTTGAAAGCTGTCTTTTCCATTTTCTGCAATCTAAACTTTGTTTTTGTTCCTTTTGTACAATAATTTTAACAGGAAAAAAAACTGCATTACTGTTTGGTCACTCACTAATTTATTAATTGACTATTTAGGCTTCAGTAGGATAGTATATTAATTTTAATCATTATGTCCATAATATTTGAATAGCCTAAATCATATGTAAAAAGTAGGTTGCACTACCGTAAGGAAGTTAATTCTGTCTCCAAAAGTCAATCTTTCTGGTTCTTCCCCTGTATTATAAACATGAAAATTACTTTCTTCTGTTATTTCTATAGCAGTTGCATTTGCTGATTCTACACTTGCATTGTCTATGCTTCCATCATCTGACAAGGATTCATCATTGTCTGTCTGATCTACTACTGTTTGTTGAGAAGAAGTCATTAAATATACTTCAGAATGTGACTGTAACGTGCATTTTATTATTTGTCCAACACATGGTAAAATATTTCCTCTGTCTATCATTGATTCAACTGATTCTACATGTGCATTGTCTAAGCTGACATCATATAAGAAGGGTTCAACATTATCTGTCTGATGTACTACTGTTCGTTGAGAAGAAGTCATCAAATATACTTCATATGGCGACTGTAACTTGCATTTTATTATTTGTCCAACACCTGGTAAAATATTTCTTCTGTCTACCATCGGTTCAACTGATTCTACATTTGCATTGTCTATGCTGCCATCATATAAATTGGGGTCACTGTGTGTCTGATGTACTACTGTTCGTTGAGAAGAAGTCATCAAATATACTTCAAACGGTGACTGTAACTTGCATTTTATTATTTGTCCAACATCTGGTAATATATTTTCTCTGTCTACAATTGATTCAACTTGTATGTAATCATCTTCAGATGAACTGGAGGATATGCACCCGCTACCTTGTGACTTTTTTTGACAAACCAATATTTGTCCAAAATGAAGTGACTTTTCTCCATTGTTTTCTCTCAATTCACTAGTTGATTTTATACTTGTTGTATTATCTTCTCTTGCTCCATTTTCATGTTCAGATATCTCTCTCAAGCTAATTCTCTCTGTATCAGCTTGGATTGAGATTACCTCACCTACTTGCATAGAGTCCTGGTCAAGATCAGGAGAAACCATTGTATTTAATATTTTAACATTATCATCAACAGACACAGCAGTTTCATTTAGTTTTCTACAACACTGGCTGAATATTTTAGAAAAATGTTCAGCTTTTTCTTTGTCTGCAAACTTGACTTGCAGACATTTTTCCCTGGGTTCAGACTGTGTTACGTTAGCCCAATATGTGTAGGATTCATCATCTTTTTGAAGTAGCTTCATATCAGATGTAATATGATGATCAGCACAAATTGAGTTATCCTAAAAACAAAAATACATTTTAATGTCCAACAACATCCATCTAACACCCTAGAGATTCTTAAAATTTTAACTGAAAATATTTAAAATTGATACTATGATAACAAACATAATATATTATATAATAAAAAACACTCATGAATGTAATAGAACCATGACCAAGTTTTGTCAATGTATAATGATACTTATAGAAGTACATTTCTAGACTTACATCGAATAGGATTTCAAAGTGGATTTTTTTCAAACCATAAAGATAAAGGCTAAAACAAATAAACTAACCTTATTCCTTCTCATGATAATCTTAAATTGGAGGGAATTTTTCTTTTTTAGAATTATGAGAACTCCCATACATATTGTTATCCATTTTCTATTCGTATTGTCAAAGTAACTCAACTGGCTTTCTTCTCCAAATATCTAAATAAATGTTTCTTTATTAATAAAGGAAAAAACTACATATTAATGCATTTAATAGGATTACATTATATTAGAGTTAATATAAGACTAAACTTGCATATTTTGCATCTTTTGGAATTTTTGTCTTCTGATATTTCTAAGGATTAATTTCTTAGTTCATTTTTATTAAATAATCCAACTTAAAAATCTTTTATCCTACTGGCATAATAAATAAAAAATTTTACTTGTAGCTGTTAAGATATAGTATGTCAGGGTTTTATATAGTATTAGCCTAATATTCTCTGATTTGATAAGTTACTTTTTAAGTCACAAAAGAAATATTGCTGATGTATTAAAGAGTTTCTATTCAGTTCACCTCTACATAGCTATCTTCTTCTGTATTTTCTTGAGATAACGTTGAACTGTTTTGGTTCACTGTTTCTCTCACATCTGCAAGAAAATATTATTTATATTTTGGTAATTAGAGATTATTCACTAAAAACCTCATGGCAAAACTTGTAATCATGCACATTTACCATATGAGCTAGGCATTTAATAATTATATTAATCTTTACTTTTAGGGAAAGGTTTTATAAAAAGTTTTCACTACTAGAAATCATCTATACAGTATGTCGCATAACTTAAGGTGAGGGTAGAAATAGGAGTTTTGTGGCAATATTCTAAGTGGGTAAGTGGGCACAAGCTAATTAGACACATGTGACCTACATATCTTGTGTGCTCAGTATAAAAATATTAAACGCATATTAATTTACATTGGATATATAATGTTTTTACTTGGTGGGCCAGGTTCAGCTTTAAGGCTGATTCTTTTGTATTAGATAATTACATTATGAATTTTATCTCTATACCACAGTAAAAAGTGCAGTAATAATTAATAAAACAACTTTAAATTTTTTTAAAAAGAACAAGATTATTTATAATTGTAAAATTACCAAAATTTGGAGCATCTTCAACAGTCTGGCTTTCTTTTAGTCTTTTGGAGCATTGGTCAAATACTTCAGCAAAATGAGTAGCTTTTTCCATGTTACCAAACCTAACTTTTAAACAAAGTCCACTATGCTCAGATTGTTCATCCTTTACCCAATATGTAAGAGATTTTTTATTCAAATCTTTGATCGTCACTTTCATTTGGCATGTAATCAGATGATTAACACAAATGGAATTACCCTAAATCAAGAAATAATGCTTTTCATTTTAATAATTGTTTCAAAAAAAAATTTAAATTTAAATCCCTATGCAGATACTGTTTATATTACTCTATTTTTAGTTAACAATTTTTAAAATCATGTAATATTTAGGACTGTTTACCCTTTTATTTCTCATCATAATTCTGTCCTGAGGAGAATTTTCACTTTTAAGAATTTTAAGAGTTCCTGCACCTATTTTTCTCCATTTCTTAAATTCTTTGTCAAAATAGGACAAACGGCATTCAACTTTGAATATCTAAAGACAAGATTTAATAAATGAGAAATTTCCTTTGTTTACCTATGCCTAAAAACTTTAGAAAATAATGCAAAATAAATCAAAAATAGAAGAAAACTTAAAGTAAAAAGTAAAATTAAACTTTTTAATAACAATAAATAAATGGAAAAATTCAACATAAGCCAGAAATTTAATTTAAATTCATATTGTCTTGTTCCACCCAGCTATTAATCTACAACAGATATAGTCTATTCATGCAAATGTTCCTACTAACACACAGATATGGTGTTGCAACGCAGTTGATATATTTTAAACCTAGGTAAATTTACCTGTGTGTAATTGCTGTCTTCATGCACATTTTCCTCATTCTGTTGTGGAATATCTAATGTCACTGCAGGACTATGTCTTACTGGGCTCCTGGATACATCAGCAGTGGTATCATCTGGTCAAATAAATTAAAATTATTTCTGTTTAAAACAAAAGGTGCTTTTGACTGATTTATAATTTACAGCTTGTTCAAAATGTTCACACATGTGTAAAATGATTGTTTTTGATGATTTAGCTCATTTTAAACTCTGTTAGGCTTATATAACAGAAAACTTTAGATTTTAATTAACATTAACCACTAAATACTTGATACACAAGTTACGCTACATCTAAGGGAGATAATAAACTTTTACCTTTCTGTTGACCCTGCTCATAAGAATGATTCCCTTCAACCTTGGAAGAAGTATACACTGGTAGGGGTCTGATTATGTCTTGTGTTTCTTGGAATTTCTATAGTGAAATATATCGATTCATGTAATCTATTAAAATATAGCTGCACTAAAGAAAAAAACAATGTTTACTTTTTCCCTTCACCTTTTTTTAAAATAATTTTAATCTCTCTTTCAGAAATGTAGAATCATATGCCACATTATATAAATAGTAAATATGCTAACATACATATTAATAATACATATTTTATATAACTGTTCAGCTTCTACAACATACTTTTTGTAAAAAACATTTTTATTTTCAATAGAATACTTTCTTTAAAAATAGATCTATATTATAATATTCAAATCCACTTCACCAAGAGGGACACATATAAACCTAACTAAATTTATATTATTTACACATGTAAACCAAACTAAATTATTTACTTGTGTATAAAAATGTGAATATGTAGGCCTACTTGCAAAGTGTGTTTACAAACAGCTAAAACTTACTGGTAGGGATAAAGACTCTCTGCTGTTTGGCTGGTCAGAGTGGCAAATTTCATGAGGTCTAAAAATCCAAGCATATCTTTCTTGTTGGCATTTTTCAATCCCCTGACGAAGTTGCTCTCTCAGAATTGTGAGTTTTCTACTAGGTTTACCTGGATTCATTTGAGCAGATGGCGTAGGAGGGGAGATAATGCTGGTTTTCAATTGATTACTAACACACTGTAAAAAAAAAACATAAAATTTGGAGAAGAGGGAATATTAATTTTTCAATACAGTTTCATCACCAGAATTTGTATGTATTCATGCATATATTTTTATTTTATTTTTAAAAAAAATTATCTTTTTAGTTTTAGTCCTGTGTGGATAGATGAAGTCATATAAATTCAAAACAAACATAGCCTACTAACCTTTATTTCATCTAGAATTAACTTTTTCTCCTCAGTGCTCTCTTTGATGTGATTCTAAACAATGAAAACAAACTTTGTTTTTAACAAAATAGATTTTCTTATGCATTTGTAAATTATCAAGACACAAAACTGGACTTAAGAAAAAAAAAATATTCCATTCTCAGAAGTGTTTTTGTTCATATTTGATAATAAAATAATCAATTATCATATGAATATTTGATCAAGTTAGGATAAAAAAAAATGTCTTCACCATTTTATCTCTGTTTATAAAAGGATTATTTTTTTGGTATTTTTTTTTAAATGAGAAATGAATTTCATAAGTCAAGTTATACATTTTATAAATAACATTAAAACAAGAGAGGAGGTTGTGGATCATCTTACTGAGACCAAGCATGTAAAGATACTCTTTCTTAAAGAAAAATGATAGGTATCTTGTATCTTAACTCTCTAGCTAGCTATTATTTCAGGAATTTATCAAATTTTAATCTATTATTTCAAATTTTGTTTTATTTTTTAAACGAGAATTACTAACAGTGAACTCAGCTGTAGATTTGATATTTTGTTCCACAACATCTCTAAATGAACCAGAATATTGTGAGAAATTGTCTGCCATTAAATTGTTGCTTTCAATTAGTTCTTTACGCTTTTGGGATACACGTCTATGCAGTGCATCTCTCCGTTCTCTTGCCTCATCTTGACTGTTGGCTAGGTCAGTCCCAAGACTTTCTAGCTGTTGGTTAACACATCTCAGCACTGGGTAAAGACTACCATCCTGGTCATCAGTTTCCATTCTAGTCTGATGGCATAAAAATCTGATTGCTTTACTATACATATATAGGGTGACAAGAAGGATGCGCAACAGAAAACCATGCACAAAAAAGTGTACAAGGGGATTTTTGTTGTCTTAAATCGAGCATTTATATACATTAACAAAGAATAATCACAAGTAATTGTAGCTTAATAAAACGTATTTCCACAAAAAATGAAAAAAATGTAAGTGTTTTAGTATAATTGTTTTGTATTTGTGCATTTTTCTGTTTGCGCGTTTTTCCGATTGCTCATTTTTCTGGGAACCCATATTTAGGCTTATTGTATGACTTGAGTAAGATTTATAGTAAAGCTCTGGACACAAAAATCTTTAGTTCAGGTCTCAGGCTTGAGTCATGAGAATATAGCTCAGCCCTGTGAGTTCTGGTAAGAGTGAGTAAAGGCGGCTGGGCATGGTGCTGAACACACTATCCCTTCATATGGTAAGATCATTGAAAGAGCCAAATGTCCCTTGGACCGCCATTAAGAATTAACTAGAAAAGTTGGTATTTTGAGTAATTTACCATTAGATTATCACTCAATTTTTTTTTAATAACATTTTATTTTTTAATTTAGGATTTTGTAGTAGTCTAATAAAGTAAATAAAAAGGAAAGAATCTTCTTTAGACCTAGCAATCTATATTTTTTTACCACAGCATATGAAAGGAATGGTGTGGTAAGCATTGTGCCTAGCCACCTTTACTTTTCCCAAATTTAAGTCAGATACCCATCAGTGTTGGTTGGACTCAGGAACATCCAACATTCACAAGTCCGGAACCGAGATCAAAACTCAAGACCTCAGGCTAGCAGCCTTATGCTCTACCATTTGACAATACCATCCCATAGTAGCCAAATAGCTAGTGAATATTGATGATTTATAGTTGAAGGATTATAGATTGTGTTAGGATTTGTTAGAGGCTAGATACATTTATGTGATACATTTTGCCTATCCAAAACAATATTACAAGGCACAGTGCCAGGAAGAAGAAGAACTGTAAGACAAAGACGACATGGATGGATGACATCAAAGATTGGACTGGGCTGACTGTCTCAGAAATAATAAGAGTGGCAGAAGAAGGAAAATTATAAGGTCAAGTATGGTGTTCAAATAAACCCAATAAAATAAAAGTTAAGGGATGTTGATGATTGATAATGATGATTGATGATGATGATGATGAGATTTTCTATTTTTACCTGGCTCAGTGTTAGAGGAAAATGACAACAATCACCTGTGTAGACCTAACATAACTTTCTGTGTGTGAATGTTGATCTCTTCTACTGGTACTAGTTGTCTCTATGCGTTCATATGGATTGTCAATTATTTCAGATGTTTTCACTGACATGTCATCTAAAGGAAAATATTTTAAATTTTACAAATCAAAAAATTATTTTATTTAAATATTTATTTAAATAATAAGGGTATTTTTCCAGAAGTTAAATTTACATATATAAATTTACATATATGGCAAAAAAAATCTATAAATAATTTTTGATTTTTAAATAATTTTTATTTAAATGTAGTTTAGATCAACGATGTTTAGATAGAACTGTAAGGGGCTGCAACTCTTGCTTACCTTGTTGATCATGATGTATCATCAGTTCTATATCATCCAACTCTTTGATAACAGACCCAGTAAATTCCTAAAGCAAAAGTGTAAACATTGTGTGATTATCTAAACTTGACAGATATTGTGAAGTAGGTCTATGTGAGTTACAATATTTATTTTATTTTGCTAAGTTAAAATAATTTCCGACACATTTTTAAAATTCTTTTCCTTTTATGCTTAAATAAAAAGGAGAATTATTCTATGATTATTATTATTCTATTCTAATTATGTCTATTTTAGGGTAAGCTATTATTGTAATTTCAATTTACAGATCTGGGATCAAAATTAAATGTAGCATGAATTTCAACATATAGTGGCCTATCCTATATAGGGCCTATATTTCTTTTAGCATTATGCACCTATATGCCTTAGATATAGATTTTGCATGGTAACAAAAATAATGTATGAATATTTTAGAACACTCATATTGCCTATATAAATGACCTATTTTTACAACCATTAAAAAGTAGTAAACTTAAAATGTTTTATAAAGTATATTTAAGTTTTTTTGCATTTTCGTTAAGAAAGTAACAAATACTTGAGATGTTTCCTCTTTATCTATGATTTCCAGCAGCTCATATAGGTTACTTCTTGCTTCTAGCAAAAACCTCAGTCTGCTTGATAAACTTTCTTCACTATCTGTAGTTTCAAACAAACTTTTCTCCCAATGTCCCCTCAAGGCCTTAATAAACACAAAAGAAATCATTTTATCACAGGATGTCATATTCTAAGCTTGTAATGCAGATAATAAATTCTAAACTGAAGGGAAGGATTGTTGAAATTCTTTACCTAATCAAAATTTTTTGGACAGTAACCCATTTTAGGAGAGACATTTTCAAAAATATACAAAGACTGCCTGTAGATTTTTCACAAGTTAAGAAGTATAAAGAAGCACATGTAGTAAAAAAAATTGAGAATCAAAGTGAAGGCAAAAAATACTTAAAAGCACTTAGCTAACCTTTGCCATGTATAGCTTAGCTATAGGACTGTTTATTTGCCTAAAACCATTAACGGCTTTAGTGTATTCTGATTCTTTCATGGCAATCAGAGAAGTAGCAAAAATAACTTCAGATTTCAAATGGTTAAAGTTGTCTTGGGTAAGATCTGTGTCTCCTGGCTCTTTGAATAGTCTGGATGTGGTGAGCTGGTATCTGTTTTCTCTGTTGGTTTCGGATAAATCCTTCAGTTAAGTTACAATTTAAAAAATTGTTAAAAATAGTTTTAACAAAAGAATAAACATTGCTTTAATGATATAATTTATCAAATAATAGCTAGGCAGAGATAACACAATGTATGATACATATATGTATATATATATATATATATATATATATATATATATATATATATATATATATATATATATATATATATATATATATATATATATATATATATATATATATATATAAAAATATATATATATATATATATATATATATATATTTATATATGTAACTAGTGTAGTTACTAGGGACGATAAGAACGTAATACAGTCTGTCAACTAAAGACTATTGTAAGAACGCATTACAGTCTGACGCAATAGTGCAGGTGGTGGACTGAGAAGAACACAAAGCCACGGCGTATTTTGGGAAGCAATACAACAAGCCGCTGCGTAGTTCATAGTCTGATGCAACGAATGGAAAGTATTGCGTATACTAGGGATATAATATAAGGCTGCGTATTGAAGACGGAGGCAGAACCAAGTTGGAGGCTGAACGGTGTAGACTTATTGTGTTATGTGAGAATAGGAACGATGGACACATGCATTCTGTTATGTGAGGACTAGTGAGGACAGTGGGGGTCAGTTGGTTCATTGTATTCTTGTGGTACATTGATGCATTGTTATGTGGAGCATTTCTATTGATTCATGTAATAAAGAGATCAATGTAAACCTGCATTTCCGAGTATTTATATTGTGGTCGATGTTGTGTGCTGGTCAAAGGTAGCACGAGTAAATACACTCGGTAACATTTGGCGCTGTCAGCAGTGAAATCGGTAACATTTGGCACTACAAGTAAATAGACTCGGTAACATATATATATATATATATATATATATATATATATATATATATATATATATATATATATATATATATATATATATATATATATATATATATATATATATATATATATATATATATATATATATATATATATATATATATATATATATAGCCCATTTATATATAAATACCTTTCCATTGTTTTAATTAGTGAACTCGCTTGGTTCCAGAAATCGGCTGCTCTGTGTTCAAGAGCTCTCTTCTCATTTGAGATATGTTGTTCGGCCTGTTCACATTTTTTAAAATAATTCACCCAAGACATAAAATTATGTTTTAAATAAATTAATGTTGAAAGTAGCCTAGATATCAGAATTAAAGTATTAACAATAAACTTCTAAATGATCTTAAAACAAGAAAATAAAAATAAACTTTCTCAGTTTACCAAAAAAAAAATAGTTAGCTTAAATAAATATGAGTAATTGCAGAATTTTTGAGTGTCCACTGCTTTTACTTGAGTAAGCACATTTGTATTATTTTCTTATTTTCAGTGCAGCAGGAGTATTTTGACAATAGATTTGTTATACTTGTTTTATTTTATAATTTATATTATTTAGATGCTGTAAAAAATACAAGAGTAAGTAGATATTTAAGCATTAAAGCACTAATTATCAAATTTTTTTTTAAATTCAGTTAATTTTAATTAAAACAACATGAACACAACTAAAGTATTCATTTCACAATCATATCTGTCTAAATGGCAGTTATCTGCCCCATTGTGGAGTCAGTGAAATATTAATGAATACAGGTTTCCTGGCTGTTTAATTAGCAATGCTAATAATTAATTTTAAATGATTAATTATAAACCCTTTTGTTTTGAGTTTAATGATCTTCAAATTAACTTAATATTAATTTATAAAAAATTATACAATCTAGTGTTGTTATCAGAGATTAAAGTATCTGAAAACTTTGAAGAACAAGATAGCTGCATTAGTAGTGAAACAAAATTGAGTTAACTGATTTGCTAAAAAATCCAAGGACAGACAATATGAAAACAGGTTTTGGTGTTTGTTAGAATGAAGTGAGTGGGACAACTCCCAAGGCAAATGCATGAAATTCTCATTCACAGATGTAAAAAGTTTCATGGAAATAAATGATACCCAAATTGTGATGTTATTAACACACTTGAGTGGGTGAAATGGTTTAACATGAACTTTAACACTTGTAAAAAGACATTTGTGATTGTGAATAGTCTAAAAGTTTGTGATGGGTTACCTTGATTACGTCAAGTTTGTGAGATGAAAGTATATGTTGGTCTGACTTGTCTGTTGGGGCTAGTCATATTTTTAGAGGAGGTTAGTGAAAGAGATTGCAACTTTGAACCATGAATGTAAAAAAAAAATTACTCATAGAGGTTTAAGACATAACATAAAACTAGGAAAACAGATGGTTATATTGAACTTGATTCAGTAGTCCCCCATGCAAAAAAAAAAATGATTAAAAACAACTGTTATCCTAACAAAAATGTTTTTCTGGATAAATTTCTTTGTTGATAAAGTTTTTAATACACCCAACTGGTGTTTTTTGTTTTAGTTTTAATGTTAAATAGCACTAAGTCAAAACCAATTGAGATACTCACCTTTGCATCAAGAGACTTGGCTATATGGACCAAAAGTTGCAATGACAATCCATGAGAATCCACAAGTCTGACCAGTTCTATGCCAAAAACAAAGAAGCTTCTTAAGCTGGTTTGCTTTACACTTGATCTAAAAAAAAAGTACATTTTACTTTTAGTCAATAATTAAGTTAAATGCAAAGCATTAAATACTAATAATTATATAAACAACCATGTAAGCAGAACATCTTACTTGGATGAGTTAGTGATGAATTCATAAGCTGTTGACCACCACAGAGCCTGGTCCTCTGTACACAATTTTTGTTTTAGACAAACTGGAAAAAGAAAACTCTGTGCAACTCCTGTTTCTTGATTAGGTCGGTCTGTACATTTGATTCTACTAGCTGTGCACTGAACTGTTGCCATCAAGAAAACCTTGGAATTTGTTATTAAACAAAACTGATAATATAATATATATATAATATTTTTACTAAAATGCATTTAAAGCCTCAAAAACACTTAATAAATTAAAAAACAAGAACTTTCAGGTGTGTTTAAGGTGGTCTAAATATTTAAATCCTACACCTCACGCTTTGTTGTAAATAATGAACTACATTAATAATCTACATTTTCTATTTAACTTTCAGTTTTTAGAAACTATTTTTTTTCTCATTTGCCTTAACTATAATAGCAGGTTACAACTTCCCAGTTTTAGATGACAAACTAAAATTAATGGTAGTTGCTTTGTTGATATTATAGTGAACTAATTAATTTGATTTATGGTTAGATTATTTTTTTAGTGTACCAAAATATCAACTTGACATATTTTATCCACCATACATGTTGGCAGGTCTTGAATGTCAAAAGGAAAATTTTTAATCTTTAAAAATGAGTCTGTGGAAAGAAGGATTTAAAATATTGTAAAAGGTAAAAAAAAAAAAAGAAAATATGTAAGCCTATAAAACCAATAAATTCATAATTTTTCAAAATATTTGAAATAATCAATGAATTTTTTGGTAATAAAAATTTTATACATGTTTATGCAATCTAATTAAAAGAAATTAAATGTAAAACGTAAATATCACTGTAATGTAAGTCACATGTATGAAAGTTAGTTTTGCTTAAATCTATCAAATTAAAATAGTTATTTACTTACAGTTTGGTTGAACATTCATGTCAGCTGTGTAGTATTGAAGACACAGCCACACAAGGCTTGAAAGGTTTTTTAGGTGTACTTTAAAAGCAACTGTAGGAATTTAAAACAGTAAATTATAGACAAGTATTTTAATTTACAGTTAATAGATTTTTAAGAACTCTTTCAAGGCTTCATGTTCTCTATGGCTAATGTTATGGCAAAATGAGGTTGTAGTAAAAAATAACATAAACAAGCCTTTTTTTATATTTCGATACATTCGACTAGAAAGCGTTGAAGGACACTGGCTGTGCTACATACAATGGTGGACTTTGAACACTCAATTTTTTGTGAGATTTTGAATGTCCTACAGACACTAGTGTCCTATAGAATTTGGAATTTGGTGGACACTTGAATGTCCTAAACAATGGCGGAACTAGAAAAAAAGGGCCACCCCGCAAAATAAATGTTAATATATATATATATATATATATATATATATATATATATATATATATATATATATATATATATATATATATATATATATATAATACGAACATAGGATACTCATTGCTGGCCTGTTCAGGTTTTGAAAAAAAAATGTTTTTTTTTTCAATTAAAACAAATTACAACATCATGTCATGTGTGTAAGTGCATTAGTGTGTATTGTAAAAATCAGTTTTATTTTATCTCTGCTATAAGGCCTAGAAACCTCTATTCGGTCAAAAGAATATAAACTATGAAAGCTTTGTATAAGTAATGGTGTCTCATGTTATGTTTATTTTTATGTTTTTTTTGTATTTATATTATTGATTTTAAATACATTTCCTTTAATACAATGTCATTCTTTAGTAAATACTTTATAAAAAAAAAATAATTAAGAGAAGTAATTGCTTTTTAATTTGTTTAGTACAAGTCTATTAAAAGGAGCTTATGAGCACCCCTATGAGTCATGGAAGTGGTTTGAATGTTTGCTCATCTTTGATAAGCTTGATTGTAGGAGAAAGAGGACTCTGCTTTCACAGTGGTTTAAAAACAAAGGGAAAAAGAATATACAAGAGTGTGGGGTGGTGTCTATAGAATAAAGATAATCCAACCGCAGCTGCGGTAATCTTTTTTACAAAACGACCAACAAGTCAAAAATGCAAGAAATTTAAATTCTTTTAACTATAAAAAAAAATTATGGTCGGCTGTGGGCCCCTAAGTGGCATGTTCCTCCCCCCCCCTGCATAGCGGGGCACTGTAGTTCCACCCCTGGTCCTAAAACTAAAATCTCGGTGAGAACATGAATGTCCTACAGACACTCATGGACCCATAAGTGTCCTATAGAATTTGGTGAACACATCAAATCAATGGTGTAGAGACGGTAATCAGTGATATATTAATAGATAATATATATTAATAAATGAATAAATAGTTATACTCTTTCAATAACATACTTTGAGATGTGGTATGAATATATCCCCTAAGCCCTACCTTCATCAACTTCTCTTAGATTCTCTAAAGTAACAGGCTTTAATTTTCTAAAGCTTCCAACCATTTCTCTAGCATTGCAAAAAAAAGATGAAGCAATGAGGTTATCATTGTAGCTGTCTTCAAACAGGATTTGGCAAATTTGTTTGTGGCCCTGAATTGTCATTATTTGGCTTTTGATACTTTGATTCAATTCTAAAATATTTCCATTTGCCAGCGTGTGCAGCAAGTGTCCTAAAATTTGAAGTACAAACATGTGATAATATTAATATTTAGATAAAATTGTATATAACTTTGTGATAAAAAAATCATTTTTAAACTGTACAGTGTGATTGATATATATATAAAAAAAATTTCTCAATTTTATAAAAATTAGAATAAACATTCAATTTACAAAACTTAACATGACATTTTTTCTTTTATATTCCCACTCATCTTAAACATTAAAAAACTGTAATAATTATGAAGCTAACAAGAAAAAAATTGTATTGTAAATTTTTTAGATGAGGTTTGCTACACATCAACTAATGTGAATATTTCTAAACAAAAAGCTAAATTGTAATTGTTTGTTAGGTTGATAAATTAATTTATAAATACTAGACTAGCTACCCTAAAAAATTATGCAATCACTAAAGTTTACATACCAACTTGTGAATAACGGTCATAACTTTGCATCCACCACCACTTGTAAAACTTCACTTCTTTGATCCATGTACTTGTATGTGATATGGGATCAAAACTTAGACTTGCCAAGAAACAAGCGCCTGAAAACTTTTGAGCATCCTCCAGTGGAAGAAGACCCTGCTCAGTTCATAAAGAATTGATACATTGTATAGTTATTCATATTACATCAAATGTATTACTTATAATACTGTTTTACGTAATTACACTGTACCAGCTAGTTTTTAAATATTATTTCAATATCTGTTCCTATAAACCTCAAGTTTTATAAGAATAATAATTTTTTTATAAATTATCCTTACCAATTGGGTTTTTTTAAATATTATAACACCCGCTAGATAGAATAACTGAGACCTTGATTCTTGTAAAATGGCGAGCCAAATATAGTCATTGAAATTTAGACTAATGGCCTCCTTCAAATATTTGTCAAATCTAAAGAAAACATAATGAAATAGAGATGTAAAAGTGCTGTTTTTAAAAAAAATAGATTTGATAAATTATTAAACTCAAGGCAAATCCCTCTTATGTCGAAGATGTGTAAATGAAAAAAAATTTCGTGATTTTATTATGATCTATAAGACTATATAATAGCTCTGGATATTTATCAATCCAAGGTTAAAAAATTATACTTTAAGAATTTAAAAATGTACCTTTTTAGTGCTTTGACACATTTCTTCAAATCTGCTTCACCCATGCATAAGTAAGCATAGTTTCTTAAGATGTACAATTTTAGTATGTTATATTCATGGTTTTGCTTTATCTCAGGGGTTTTTTCATCAATATCCTATGAAAGATAAGTGCATCATTTTGTGATAATTAATTTAATGTTAACAATTTTAACACTTTTTAAAAATATTACATAATAAAATATGTGTGTACATTTTTTTAATGAAAGAATAACTTTCTTGTTGAAGAATTCATTAAGACATCTGGTTAATAAATTATAACAATAAATTTTACATTTAATAAGTACACAAATACAAGACTCTCAGGCAAGTACGTGGGCATTTTTTATAATAATTTTCTTATTATAAAGACATACTAAAAAATTTAGTAAAATAGGACAAAACGCATTATGATATAGATAATTTCTATCACTTTCAGTAGTCATAGCATTTTACATTCCCAAATAATTTAAGTTGGGTAAGTTCAATGGCAACTAGCCTATAATTCCATTCATGAGCCATATTATAATTGTTTTTTACATTTACTAAATATGTCACATTGAATATCAAAAGTTATAGAAGGAATAGTCACGGTGCCTTAAAAATGCTTTTTGTCATTTAGAAAACTATCTTCATGAATTGTATTTAATTTAACAAAACAGCTGACACTCCAGTTTTTAACAAAACGGGAGGAGTGCAAATTTAAAAGTTAATTTAACCTCACCATAATCACATGCTGCATCAGATCAAACCAAATAATAGCATCTTCAAACTTGGCCTCCTTGTTTAATCTTAAAACTACATCATAGACTGTTTTCCATTGGTTAGTGTTCATGTAATATCTTATGAGCTGAATGTGAAGTTCCAATTCTGACTGGTGAACTGACTGCCTTCCCTGGAATAAAATACTTGCTTGCAGAACATAAAAGTTTTTTTATCTATCTTTTGACAAGATCAAAATCTTTACTTAACACTTTGTAGAAAATTGTTTTGATAATATAAACAAATAACATTTTAGTTTTAGAACATTGCAGTATCAATTTTTTGTAGTCTATCAATAATGTATATACTTTGCTAAATTCTTACTTTTACTAACAATTTTAACTTTCATATATTTGTATGTTCAATGGTTTAATGTATTTCAAAATAACTTGTTATTTTATAATTTGTTCATAGGTAGGCTGACATAGAGGGCCTTATGGAAAGACTGCATAGAATTTATGTTAACTGTTTGTTGTGTTCCCATATCTTTATATATAGTTAAAAATAATTTTTTATTTTGAAATTTCTTACATGATCTGCATTCATTCTTGCAACAGCAAGTTCGTGAGCCTATTAAAACAAAGACATTGTCAATGTATTCTTCAAGTTCAAAATCTTTGATAAAAATAATAGCTTAAATGTTTTTCTTTCAACTAGACTTTCATATTAAAAAATCTGGACATTAAAACTTTTTCAAAATGCATCTAGATAAGCATTAATATTTAAATTGATTAACTTTTAAGATACCATATTAACCAAAATTTACCTTCAGTCGTATAGTAGTGCAACTTTTTGGAAAAACATTTTCACACTTCTCAAGCCAGTACTAATTGAAAATAAAATTCATTAAAAGTGAATAAAGAGTTTATGTTTCACCACTACTTTTAAATAATTTTAAATTATTGGCTCGAATCCAATTAACTGTTTTACGAAATTTCAATGTTGTAAATAGTATCTACCTTTAGGGTTTCAGCATATTTTCCAATACTGCAGACAATTTCGCCAACTGAAAATTCATTTCAATTTACATTTTTTTCAGTAATAAATTATTTAATTTAAATATTTTATTTTATCTGATTGTGTAGGTAAGCCTAGACTTAAAATATAAATATAGTTAAAATTGTCATTATTTGTGGTAGGCCTATATAAAATTATATATATTTTAAAATATATACTGAAAGCAAAAAAATATTTAATTGAAAGCAAACTTGGACCTCGAGTGTGTTGTTGGCTTCCGACAGTGTTTCTTTCAGACTTTTTCTCGGGGGATGTGTATATATTTCTATATAAATAATTATAATTCGTTGGGGTGGCGGTAGACGTCCCTCCCCCCCCCCCCCCCCCAAGAGATGTCTTGAAGAAACTCTGGCCCCCGTACTGATATTTGATAGTTAATGCGGCCCTCGGGCTTAAAAGTTTGGAGACCCCTGGGCTAATAGAATTGTATAGTCATATTGTGAAAAGAATTGTAATATTTTTTACCAAAATGACTTTAATAGATAAATCCGTGAGAGGTTCATGAACTGGTGGCCGACAAAGCAAAAGTTTGATCTCTTAGCGAAAATATAACGTACGAGCCGGCCCGCGGCATAACATACGCCGCTATTTAGTTGTTCAGTAATATAAAATTTGTGAATTCGACAGTACCAACGCTGCCACTGAAAATATTTCTATAAAACACTATAAGTAGCTCGTTAAGGACCATAACCCCCCCCCCCCTTTCCTTTCCCCCCTCCCCCCCCCCCCCCCCCCCCTTACGTTTAAAATCGTTGGCTCTGCTTGTAAACATTTAGAGTGAACACCAGAGTTTCTTCCAGGCATCTCTTCGGGGGGGCGAAGCCCCCCCGAAAATTTTTTACCGCCCCCCCGAACGAAATGAAATTTATATAATTTATATAGAAAATATATACTTTTAACAGTGTCCGCCCCCCCGAAGAAAGTTTACCGCCCCCCCCCCCCCGAAGATTTCAAGTGCCCCCCCGGAGAAAAAAGTCTGGAAGAAACACTGGTGAACACAGCTCACTAAAACCATGTAGGGGTGGGGAGGTAGGGAGCGCGTTTACAGCTTGTTTTCTAGGCGCGTTTGCAGCTTGTTTTCTAGCGGCTCCCAGAAGAGAATTATATATATAGATTAACATTTTTATTTCACATTTTACCAATAAAAGGCAAATTTTTGAACATACTTTTTAGAATCAGCGCACTGTATCCATGGCCACCATGCTCAAGTGCACTGTAAGTAAAGAAAACTTCTTTAGTTGCTAACCGTATCTAACGCTGATTGACTGGGGATTTTTTTAAAGCATATAACTGTGACATGCACTGTCCCAATGCACTATTTTTCTTATGGCTAAAGTCACTTAAGACTGAAGTCAAAAAATTTCGTATTTTTTAAATTTTAAACTGCCAATTTTTATCCCTTACAGCCGTAATCACAAATTATATTTTAGAAAAAGTCAGACAACTCAAATATCTAAAAAGTTGTCCGGGTTCAAATTAACTCATCCCCCACCCGCAACCCAATCTACAAATATTTTTTGCTTATAAATGCAATAACTCATATTATTTAAGTTGTTTCCCTTTAATTACGCACATACAATATATCGTTACAACGAGTAATGTTCAGACTAATAACAAGCAAAAATTTGGATACGGAAATAAAAGAAGTTCCGGTAGATAAAATCTGAAAACAGCTACACTTGTCCTTGTGGTATGGTTCCTGAAAATATCTACGAAATGCAAAAAGGTTGCTTATTACACCAAGTGACGCGTTCTATGCGAGCCAATAAAAAACTAACTCAGATTTTTTTAAGTGTTCTCAAAATATGCTGAGCTGGAGACAACTATGCAGTTTTTCTACAGTATTTGCTGTTTGTTTCCCATTGAATGTGAATTACAGAAATAAAGATACTCTAGTGTTAACAGGTTGACACTTTGCTTTATATATTGTACGAGCCGACCCGCTGCGTATCATACGCCGCTATTTAGTTGTTTTTTTTCTACTTTTCAGTAATTTATAATTTGTGAATTCGACAGTACCAATGCAGCCACTGAAAATTTTTGCTTAAAAACACTAAACCCCCCCTCCCCCCCCCCACCCCACGTGAAAGCAGCCTCCTCTTAGTTACCTCCTCTAAGTTTAAAATCGTTTCAAACTAAATTATCTGCCCCTAATAGCCGTCACCAAACCCGTCTCTATGATTGTAAAATGTAAACAGCGTGAACCACAGCTCACCAGACAATGTGGGGGGAGGGGGGGGGGGGTAGCGATAGAGAGGAAGAGAGGGAACTGTAAGGCGCGCTTGCAGCTTGTTTTCTAACGGCTCCCAGAAGAGAATTATATATATAGATTTGCGATAAACGTCATTTCAGAGGCGTAGCGACCCTTCCCGGCGCAAACTTTCGATTTGCACCCCCCCCCCCTCGATCTTTTCATTTGCACCCCTGCCCTCAAACTTTCAATGTGGCGCCCCCCCCCCCTTAGGTCGGCGGGGACATATGTTCCCCCCCGCCCCCCCCCCCTCGCTACGCCTCTGCGTCATTTGTCACTATAAAATATTTGCAGTTTTAATAGATCCGGGTTAAGGCTTAAAAAAAATTAAAAATTCGTTTTTTTACTTTATAAAATTGTTTCACTTGTTAACTAAATATTAAAAAGCTGACCTAAAAGAAATTTCCTTAGAACGCCCTAATTATATTTTATCCCCAGCTTACTTTTTGTAGCACACCAAAGCGGATTTTTCATCTCCAAGGGCTTCATGGATATCTCCCAATAATTTATGGCCTTGTGGATCTGTTGGCTTCTCTTTGAGGAAATCTTCAACATACCTGAAAAGGTTTCAGTATTTGGTCTGAAGTGAAAAATATCTTGGTATAGGATGAGGTTTGAAGTCATTTTAAGGGTCTTTACTTACCCTAACGTTAGTTAGCTACTTTTAAGAGCTGGGTGGACTCCCGGATTCAAACATGAGACTTACGGGTATGCAGTGGCGTAGAGAGGCGGGGGAGGGGGGGGGGGGCGGGGGTGCGGACCGCACCGGGTGACACCATTTAGGGGGGTGACACCAAGGCAAAAAATAGAGAGAGAAAAATTATAATTCCGCTTAATTAAGTGATTAATTCGAGTGTTAAATAGTCGTGTAAGAGGACATTTGACAAATCCCGACAAGGGTGGATGGGGAGGGGGGGGGGGGGTATGCAAATCGAAAGTTTGAAGGGGGGAGTGCAAATCGAAAGTTTGAAAGGTTGATCCAGAGAGCGCGCCAAATTGAAAGTTTGTCCCCGGGCGCCGGGAAGGGTCGCTAGGCCTCTGGGAGGGTGACACCATTAAGTACCGCACCGGGTGACACCCGACCTCGCTACGCCACTGCGGGTATGCATTCTACTGCTAAGCCACGCCTTTTATATTATAAATAGGACCTATACATTTAAAGCCTGTCGCTAAACAGTTAAAGAACAACAAGCCAAAATAGTGTCACCACAATACAACTTGTAAAAAAAAAAGTTTGCAAACTTGCCACACAAAAGTTTGCTGTAATTAGAGAAATCTTAGCTAGAAATGAGTGGGGGTGGGGTAATTAAATCTGGCGGAATGGAATGCTGGGAAATTTATAATAATTTATTTGCATGCTAAAATAATATATTTTTTTATATTTTTAAATCAATGTTAAATTTACTCAACCGGCTGGACCATTCACAAAAGCTTCTCCAGTATTACTTAAAGCAATCGACTTCAAACACACGTTAATTACAAGTTACATTCACATATGTTGTATGTCTTACTCGTAATAAACAGATAAAATCATTACACAAGATTTAAACAAAGCATATATTTACTAGTTATAGAAATTCACCACAGTAAATGCAATATCGACGAAAGCTTTGAAAGTTTGAAGTTCTATAGATCGGGATGAGAAAGAAATTAGATTGATTACAAAGGTTTCGATACTTACTGTTTCGCTACATCATATTCTTCAATACTGGAGTATAATATTGCTATCTTTAGCCCTTGTAAACGCCTCTAAAAATTAATAAAATTATATGTACAGGCATATACATTATTTTGTATGTATATACATGTATATGTATATATATATATATATATATATATATATATATATATATATATATATATATATATATATATATATATATTTATATATTTATATATTTATATATATTTATATATATATATATATATATATATATATATATATATATATATATATATATATATATATATATATATATATTTATTTATATATTTATATATTTATATATTTATATATTTATATATTTATATATTTATATATATATAGGCCTATATATATATATATATATATATATATATATATATATATATATATGTGTGTGTGTGTGTGTGTGTGTATAGCGCCATACTATTGAAATATTTTCACACGGGGGTGTAAGGGAATATTATCTTCATTTAATTTCAACATATAGGCTACGCTCGTTAATACACACATAATCCCCCCCCCCCCCCCCCATCCTCTCCAGAAACTGCAACATTGTAAAGTCATTTTTCTCATCCTACTATTGCTGATATCATTACACAGGATCTCTTACCACCCGCAGATTACTAAATGTTTCATGTGCAATACGTGTAAAGCTATCTCCGTCATGCTTTACAACATCCAGTTTGTCAATAACTTAGAGAAAAAAACTCGTACTATCACAGTTTACACCTACACATCAACACCAGCATGAGATAACTTACCTCGGCCGCTGTACTGCTCTTAGACAGAATACTATTTACTTCTTTATCAACGTTAGTCTTTCTTGACGACATGATTTACTCAAGGTAGAAGTATAAACTGCATAGTAACTTGAATATCAAAAAGGACATTTAAAGCAAAATTGATCCAATATTCCTTCTAGGAAATAAGTCGTGGCTTACACATAAATTAAGACTTTGAACGTAGAGATCACGATGTATTGTGAGCTATTATTAACAAAACATAAAGAAATTTCTTTAAATTTAATTGCATGCAGGCTTATTTATATGATATTCATTGTTTACATGCACTTGATTTGCACAATTCAAATTCGCGTCTATGTCACAACGATTTCATTAGTTTCAGTTTCAATTTAGTCAGGTTGCGTAAGGTTGGAAAATACATACGCATATGGAACATCTGGAGCGTGTGGGGGATTTTAGATATTCAACTGTTACAATCGTATTGACTCGTTGTTGAAATTCTTATGGGTAAATCAATGTGGGACGAATAATCGATACATTCATGGTGTATCCCGTTTACACATTAGTATGTTCATTTCCTGCTTATATTTAAACTAAACATCTCATTTATTCAGAGTTTCTTCCAGGCATCTCTTCGGGTGCCCCCCCCCCCCCGAAAATTTTTTTTTACCGCCCCCCCCCCCCCCCCCCCCCCCCGAACGAAATGAAATTTATATAATTTATATAGAAAATATATACTTTTGACAGTGTCCGCCCCCCCCCCCCCCGAAGAAAGTCTACCGCCCCCCCCCCCCCCCCCCCGAAAATTTCTAGTGCCCCCCCCCCCCCCCCCCGGGGAAAAATGTCTGGAAGAAACACTGCATTTATTTGCTTGGAAGTTATGATGCCCAATTTAACATTTGTAAGGTTAAAATCGGCATTGCTTTGGCGAATTATTCAAAATCTAATCTGTTAAATTTTGAATAGGATAGTCGAGAATATCAAATGTAGTATATAATCGTGAACACTGTTATCATCTCGGTTTATTATTCAGCATATGCAGAAAAAAAAAAACACTATGTAATTATAACGATAAGCTAAAATCTCGACATTCAAAGACATTTACCAATATTGCAACACTGGAGATTTAGTTTGAACTCGAAGATAAAACTGATATTTCTTTTAAAATAGATGGAGTGATTGTTAACGTAAATAGCAAATCCTTGAGAATGTCAAATTTTAAACAGCGTTTAAACGCACACACACACACATATATATATATATATATATATATATATATATATATATATATATATATATATATATATACATATATATACACATAAAGAAACATATATATGTGTGTGTGTGTGTATAGAAATATATATACGTATGCATATATATATATATATATATATATATATATATATATATATATATATATATATATATATATATATATTCACATTACCATTCACATTCACATTTATATTTATATACATATCATCTATATATATAATTCTCTTCTTCGAGCCGTTAGAAAACAAGCTGCAAACGCTCTCCCTACCTCCCCACCCCTACATGGTTTTAGTGAGCTGTGTTCACTCTAAATGTTTACAAGCAGAGCCAACGATTTTAAACGTAGGGGGGGGGGAAAGGAAGGGGGGGGTTATGGTCCTTAACGAGCTACTTATAGTGTTTTAAAGAAATATTTTCAGTGTCAGCGTTGGTACTGTCGAATTCACAAATTATGAATTATTGAAAATTAGAAACAACTAAATAGCGGCGTATGTTATGCCGCGGGCCGGCTCGTATATAATAATATGTAATGTGAATGGTGTTTAACTAAATATTTTACATCGGTTATGTACAATATTACTTTAATTCAGAATCTACTGCTTTAAAAATCAGAACACCAAATCTAATTCCATAACAATATCGATATACACGATGTCTTTAATTCAGTTGTTAATAGATCGTAGAAGCATGGCGGGTTTTTACACATGTTAACTTTATTAAAACAAAAATGTAGCAGAGCGTGGTTTCGATCCACGGACCTCTGGGTTATGGGCCCAGCACGCTTCCACTGCGCCACTCTGCTCTTGATTTTAACAAAGTAAATAATACTTTTAAAATAGCTTGTATTATAGGTCCAAAATGAATTTTTTTGTAAAGCACATTGAGCATGATTTAATCAAGTGTGAGTGGAAAAGTCGATTTAAAAAAAATGGAGCTTTCAACGCAAAACAAGTGTAGTAGTTCCATGAGATGTGTTAAAGATGTCCTAATTGTTGCTGTATATCATATGAATTACCCCAAATAAACAAAAGATTTGTCATTAATCATGTACAAGGTTACATTAGTGTAGCGACTGCATTTAAAAGAGTAACACCAAATCGAGTTGCTTTCATGCATGACTTCAGGGGGGGGGGCGAAGAAAGTCTACCCCCCCCCCCCCCCCCGAACGAAATGGAATTTATATAGAAAACATATACTTTTACCAGTGTCCGCCCTCCGAAAAATGTTGTCCGCCCTCCGCACCCCCCCCCCCCCCCCCCCCGGAGAAAAAAGTCTGGAAGAAACACTGACACCAAATATCTTTTCATAGTAAAATGAATGTGCACAACTTTACCTTCATACTTACTCACAGTGCCATTAGTTTTTAACTCAACGTGGTCTTCTGCGGAATTCTATAAATTTTCTCTACCAAAACAATTTTAGCAGAGCGTGGTTTCGATCCATGGACCTCTGGATTAAGGGCCCTGCACGCTTCTACTGCGCCACTCTGCTACTTCATGTTACATTTTTAGTGTAAAGTATTTAACTTTATTAGGAATATATATATTGACCTCCCTAAAGGTGACAGTGTTCTTAAACGGATTTCGTTTTTCCAAACTATTCAAATCATTGAGCTGGATGAAAGTTAGGTATCGTGTTACATTTACGTAACAATTTTCAAAAGTCCTAGTTTACAAATGGTACATAACTGTAAAAAAATAATTTAAAATGCTCTGAACAAGCCTCTCCTTCATCGTCGCATATCGTCATTCAGTCATTTTAAGTACATCATATTTAAGCTTACGGGAGCTTTTTTTTTTCTTTTCTCCTCTATGTAAAGGGAAGTAACTGTTATCGACATAATAAGCCTAGCCTAGTTATAAAAAAAAAGTTCTGTTTTCAAACCTGACGGTTTATAGTGCATCTAACCAACTAAAAGACAAACTAAGTCGGGTGGACTGACTTGATCCGGGATTCGAACTCGAGACTCACGGGTTAACAGTCCAGCTCTCTACCGCTAGACCACTCCGTCACCATAATAAGATGTCAAACGTACAGAAGGCGATGGAGTTGGGTTGGTTGTTTAAATATAATCGGCAAAATAAACCTCATGTGCTTGGAAACAAATCTACCTACGTTTTTCGACAATGAGAAGAATAAAAAAAAACTCGCAACCTGTTGGGCTATTCAACATTTTAAACAAGTTACAAGAATCTTTTTTTTAGATTGATCCCCACTGTGCTTTGTAAAGTTGATTGCTGTGGTCGTGATCGATATGATAAAGACATAAAGAGATCAACCCTAGATAACTTCTATATATATAAATATTAGGTAGACTGTGTGTAATGACGGGGATGTTGTGAAAGTGTTTAGTGTATACAATTAGATGTTTGCTACGTTCCATTATTCCCCTCCCCGCGTCACCACCCCCACCCCCCATTTAACCTGTGAACACTACTCAGCCCCGCATCCGTCCGAACACACCAACTTGTTTACGTTGGACTAGCTACTGTCCTAAGTTAATTCAAACACACACACAAGTGTTCAACATAGTCCTACGTTCATTCAAACACACACACACACACGTTGAACAGTGTCAAAAACAGTGAAAACACAGGTTCATCAGCATTATCAAGCTCTTTAAAAATTCCCCGACTGTTTGTGTGTTGTGTTATTTTAAGCTCTGGTCTATTGACTGTTGTAATGATCCTGCCAGATAAATTAGCTATACTGTGTTCTGTTTGGTTATCAAATGTCACGTTTTGTGAAGGTGTGCATTCTGTAGTGGATTAGGATTTGTTACTGTGCTAAGTGAGGACGCTTTTTTATTCCATACCACGTCACTTCCTGGTTGCTCTGTCATCATTATAACACGTCGACTAGATGGTATGTCATGAGCATGTCAGGACCATGTATACTCATTAACGAGTGGACCCATCAACAAGATGGCCCCTAAACAAGATGGCCCATAAACAAGATGACCCTTCAATAAAGGGGCCCATCAAAAGAGAGAACCCTCTTCACCGAGAGGACCTATCAGAGGACTCATCACCGAAAGGACCCATCAACGTGATGACCCATCACCTAGATTACCCATCACCGAGATGACCCATCACCGAGATGACCCATCACCGAGAGGACCCATCACCGAGAAGACCCATCACCGAGAGGACCCATCACCGAGAGGACCCATCACCGAGAGGACCCATCACCGAGAGGACCCATCACCGAGAGGACCCATCACCGAGAGGACCCATCACCGAGAGGACCCATCACCGAGAGGACCCATCACCGAGAGGACCCATCACCGAGAGGACCCATCACCGAGAGGACCCATCACCGAGAGGACCCATCACCGAGAGGACCCATCACCGAGAGGACCCATCACCGAGAGGACCCATCACCGAGAGGACCCATCACCGAGAGGACCCATCACCGAGAGGACCCATCAAGTAGATGTTCACATATGAGTATCAGATAAGGGCTGAAAGTGTGTGTACACACCAAACAAAAACCAACACCTACAAATTCACTAACAGTCAACCAAAACAATAATAACCTAAGAACGCTAATTGACAACGGACAAACGAAAGACAACGAACCAACTAACAGACAACCAACGGACGAAAACCAACCAACGAACCTAACTAACACCACTAACGGACAGACGGACAAACGAACGACAACTAACCAACTAACAGACTACCAACGGACGAAAACCAACCAACGAACCTAACTAACACCACTAACCGACAACGGACTAACGAACGACAACTAACCAACTAACAGACAACCAACGGACGAAAACCAACCAACGAACCTAACTAACACCACTAACGGACAGACGGACAAACGAACGACAACTAACCAACTAACAGACAACCAATGGACGAAAACCAACCAACGAACCTAACTAACACCACTAACCGACAACGGACTAACGAACGACAACTAACCAACTAACAGACTACCAACCAACAGACGAAAACCAACCAACGAACCTAACTAACACCACTAACGGACAGACGGACAAACGAACGACAACTAACCAACTAACAGACTACCAACGGACGAAAACCAACCAACGAACCTAACTAACACCACTAACCGACAACGGACTAACGAACGACAACTAACCAACTAACAGACAACCAACGGACGAAAACCAACCAACGAACCTAACTAACACCACTAACGGACAGACGGACAAACGAACGACAACTAACCAACTAACAGACAACCAATGGACGAAAACCAACCAACGAACCTAACTAACACCACTAACCGACAACGGACTAACGAACGACAACTAACCAACTAACAGACTACCAACCAACAGACGAAAACCAACCAACGAACCTAACTAACACCACTAACGGACAGACGGATAAACGAACGACAACTAACCAACTAACAGACAACCAACGGACGAAAACCAACGAACGACTCTAACTAACTCTACTAACCGACAACGGACAAACGAACGACAACTAACCAACTAACAGACAACCAACCAACGGACGATAACCAACCAACAAACCTAACTAACACCACTAACCGACAACGGACAAACGAACGACAACTAACCAACTAACAGACAACCAACCAACGGACGAAAACCAACCAACGAACCTAACTAACACCACTAACCGACATCGGACAAACGAACGACAACTAACCAACTAACAGACAACCAACCAACGGACAAAAACCAACCAACAATCCAAACTAATAGCACTGAAAACGGACAAACGAACGACAACTAACAAGTCATAAGCAAGAAACCTTAAAGTCCTCAGCCAACTAGTCCATTAAGACATTAGCAAGCCAACAAGCCGTAGTCACCACCAGCAAGCCAACTAGCCGACATCAGCAGATAGCCAACTTGCCCTAAAGTCATCAGTAACAAGTCAACTAATCCTCAAGTCATCAGGAGTAAGCTAACTAGCCCCCAAGTCATCAGCAACAAACTCACTCTCAAGTCATCAGCTGCAAGTCAACTGGACCTCAAGTCATCAGGAGCTAGCCAACAAGCTGTTAAGTCATAATAAGCAAGCCGACTAGCCTTCATCAGCAGCAAGCAACTAGCCATCAAGTCAACAGCAGGAAGCCAAATAGCCGTCAAGTCATCCGCAGCAAGCCAACTAGCGGCCATAAACAACAAGCTAACTAGCCCTCAAGTCAACACAAGCAAGCAAAATAGCCGTCATAAGCAGCAAACAAACTAGCCATCACGTCATCGGCAGCAAGCCAATTAGCCCTCAAGTCATCAGCAGCACTCAAACTAGCCTTTTAGTGATTAGCTGCAAGACAACTAGCTGTCTAGTCATAAGCAGCAAGCCAACTAGACGTCAGCAGCAGCAAGCCAACTAGCCCTAAAGTCAAAAGCAGAAAGACAACTAGCCGTAATCTGCAGCAAACCAACTAGCCGTCAAATGATAACTTTAAGCCAAAAAGCCGTCACATAATATAAGCCAAACAAATTAGCCGTCAAGTCATCAACAGCAAGCCAACATTACTGTCATCAGCAGCAAGCCAATTAACTGTCATCAGTTGCAAGCCAACTAGCCTTCAATTCAAAAGCAACAAGACTTCTAGCCAAGTCTCCTACAGCTAGTCAACTAGCCGTCATTAGAAACAAGCCAATCAGCCTTCAAGTCATCAGCAGAAAGCCAACTAGCCGTCATCAGCAGCAAGTCAACTAACCCTCAATTCAGCAGCAGCAAGCCAACTAGCCCTTAAGTCAGAAAAAGCAAACCAACTAACCGTCAAATATTAACTTTACGCCAAGTGGCCGTCACATAATATAAGCTAAACAAATTAGCCGTCAAGTCATCAACAGCTAGCCAATTAGCAGTCATCAGTTGCAAGCCAAAAAGCCGTCAATTCAAATGCAGCCAGAAATCTAGCCGTCAAGTTACCAACAGCTAGCCAACTATCCGTGAAGAGAAGCAAGTCAATCAGCCATCATCAGCAGCAAGCCAACTAGCTGTCATCAGCAGCAAGCCAACAAGCCATCGTCAGCAGCAAGCCAACTAGCTGTCATCAGCAGCAATCCAACTAGCCCTAAAGTCAACAGGAGCAATCCAACAAACCCTAAAATCATCTGCAGCAAGACAACTAGCTCTCGCATAATCAGCAGGAAGCCAACTAGCCGTCACATAATATAAGCCAAACAGACTAGCCATCACGTCATCGGCAGAAAGCCAATTAGCCCTCAAGTCATCAGCAGCACTCAAACTAGCCTTTCAGTGATTGGCTGCAAGACAACTAGCTGTCTAGTCATAAGCAGCAAGCCAACTAGACGTCATTAGCAGTAAACCAACTAGCCCTAAAGTAAGCAGCAGCAAGCCAACTAGCCCTAAAGTCAAAAGCAGAAAGACAACTAGCCGTAATCTGCATCAAACCAACTAGCCGTCAAATGATAACTTTAAGCCAAAAAGCCGTCACATAATATAAGCCAAACAAATTAGCCGTCAAATCATCAACAGCAAGCCAACATTACCGTCATCAGCAGCAAGCCAATTAACTGTCATCAGTTGCAAGCCAACTAGCCTTCAATTCAAAAGCTACAAGGCTTCTAGCCAAGTCTCCTACAGCTAGCCAAATAGCCGTCATAAGAAGCAAGTCAAGCAGCCTTCAAGTCAGCAGCAGCAAGCCAACTAGCCCTGAAGTCAAAAGCAGAAAGACAACTAGCCATAATCTGCAGCAAACCAACTAGCCGTCAAATAATAACTTTAAGTCAAAAAGCCGTCACATAATATAAGCCAAACAAATTAGCCGTCAAGCCATCAACAGCAAGCCAATTAACTGTCATCAGTTGCAAGCCAACTAGCCTTCAATTTAAAAGCAACAAGGCTTCTAGCCAAGTCTCCTACAGCTAGCCAACTAGCCGTCATAAGAAGCAAGCCAATCAGCCTTCAAGTCATCAGCAGAAAGCCAACTAGCCGTCATCAGCAGCAAGACAACTAACACTCAAGCCAGCAGCAGCAAGCCAACTAGCCCTTAAGTCAGAAAAAGCAAGATAACTAGCCGTAATCTGCAGCAAACCAACTAGCCCTGAAGTCAGCAGCAGCAATCTAACAATCCCTTAAGTTAGAAGCAGCATGACCATTAGCTGCCATCAGAGGCAAACCAACTAGCAGTCAAATCAATAACTTTAGGCAAAAAAGCCTTCATATAATATAGGACAAACAAATTAGCCGTCAAGTCATCGACAGCAAGCCAAAATGTCGTTATCATCAGCTAGCAAATTAGTTGTCATCAGTTGCAAGCCAAAAAGCCTTCAATTCAAATGCAGCCAGAATTCTAGCCGACAGGTTACCACAACTAGGTAACTAGCCGTCATAAAAAGCAAGTCAATCAGCCTTCAAATCATCAACAGCAAGCCAACTAGCCATCAAGTCAGCAGCAGCAATCTAAAAAACCCTAAAGTCATCTGCAGCAAGACAACTAGCCCTGTAATTATCTGCAGAAAGACAACTAGCCCTTAAGTCATCACCAGCAAGACAACTAGCCCTTATTCATCAGCCGCAAGCCAACTAGCCCTCTCGTCATCATCAGCAAGCCAACTAGCCCTTAAGTCAAAAGCAGAAAGACAACTAGCCGTAATCTGCAGCAAACCAACTAGCCGTCAAATAATAACTTTAAGCCAAAAAGCCGTCACATAATATAAGCCAAACAAATTAGCCGTCAAGTCATCAACAGCAAGCCAACATTACTGTCATCAGCAGCAAGCCAATTAACTGTCATCAGTTGCAAGCCAACTAGCCTTCAATTCAAAAGCAACAAGGCTTCTAGCCAAGTCTCGTACAGCTAGCCAACTAGCCGTCATAAGAAGCAAGCCAATCAGCTTTCAAGTCATCAGCAGAAAGCCAACTAGCCGTCATCAGCATCAAGTCAACTAACCCTCAAGTCAGCATCAGCAAGCCAAGTAGCCCTTCAGTAAGAAAAAGCAAACCAACTAGTCGTCAAATATTAACTTTACGCCGAATGGCCGTCACATAAAATAAGCCAAACAAATTAGCCGTCAAGTCATCAACAGCAAGCCAATTAGCAGTCATAAGTTGCAAGCCAAAAAGCCGTCAATTCAAATGCAGCCAGAAATCTAGCCGTCAAGTTACCAACAGCTAGCCAATTATCCGTCAAGAGAAGCAAGTCAATCAGCCATCATCAGCAACAAGCCAACTAGCTGTCATCAGCAGCAAGCCAACTAGCTGTCATCAGCAGCAAGCCAACTAGCTGTCATCAGCAGCAAGCCAACTAGCTGTCATCAGCAGCAAGCCAACTAGCTGTCATCAGCAGCAATCCAACTAGCCCTAAAGTCAGCCGCAGCAATCCAAGAAACCCTAAAATTATCTGCAGCAAGACAACTAGCTCTCACATAATCAGCAGCAAGCCAACTAGCCGTCACATAATATAAACAGACTAGCCATCACGTCATCGGCAGAAAGCCAATTAGCCCTCAAGT